CCAGTTATATTTTTAAGGTCACATTACTCATTTACTTTCATTGGCCTACAAAACTATTTTTAAGGTCTAATGGATAGCGTATCGTTATTTCGACAAACCACTCACAGCTGAGGTGTCCGAGTGGTTAAGGAGTTGGACTTGAAATCCAATGGGTTCTACCCGCGCAGGTTCGAATCCTGTCCTCAGCGTACTTTTTGTTCTTTTCAAATTTTCATCTACTATTAAATTAATTAATATATTCATATTCTATAAATGAAATAATAATTTATGTACATATATTTTATTATGTATTTTTTTTATCCATAAATCGTAAATCTTGTAATATGGCCTTTGTTAAAATATTGTAATTCTCACGTGAGTTTTATCGACTACTACTAAAGAAAACAACTATTCTAAAAAAAACCAACAAAAGTCTATGGCGTCACAGTTTCTAAGTACAATATTTTCTTTGTAAACCCAGCTGTACTAACAAAGCGACTTTGTTAATTAGTACAATTTTCTTTGTCTACCTCATTAAACTTGCTATAATACAGATATATTTAGTAAAGAGGCTGTTTACGTCCGTCTGTTTCACCGTTTACCTCTTCTAAACTACGCGACGGATGTTAATAATTTTAGAGAAAATATAGATAACATTTTATATATGACATATATATTCTGAATTTGTATGTATTATATATGTTATGTATAAAATAAACCGTAAATTTTATTTAAAAAGTAGCAATAGTAATAGCACAGATAACAAAATATGAATACTCAATACTCAATACTCAATATTTATTGCATTCCATAATATTACAATGAAAGATGTTTATGATTCGTTTTCGATCATTATGGACCCTATTAATATAACTAGTTATAACATATAATTTAATATTATTCATCAAGTTATATACATTAATTAAATGTTACATAAAAACTAAACTACATCATTCAAATAATCACTTACATTATAATATTGTTTTTTACATAGTAAATCCTTTAAGTATTTTATAAATAGGCTATTCTTATTTAAAGTTCTTATAGAAGTTGGGAGTTGGTTAAATATTTTAATGATACCAAGGGGGATATTATATAATAATAAGCCACGATCGATACCTAGTCAGTACATTTATAATTTCCACTAATCATTACATAGTATAAAACAAAGCTGTCTATAAGCAATCGCTGTCTGTCCGTCCCTACATATGCTTAAAACTTTAAAACTACGCAACGGATTTTGAAGTGTTTTTTAATAGATAGAGTGTTTCAACAGGAAGGTTTATATATATAGGGTACTGGCACTAGTAGTCGGCCCCGCACCAGTACTCAGCCTTTTTCGGTTTAAAACCAATAGGAATAGCGCTATAACAGAAAATACCTAATCAAATTATTTTAAATAGCTTCTATGACTTCTCATTGCTAGAATTAAATCCAAACATAATAGCTACGTGGCTGCGAAGTACATTAAATATGAATCTATTTCGACGTCATCGGCTGACGAGGCGACATGCGGAGTGCGCGCCATTTTTTTATGAGTGAGAAGCGTTAACAGAAATGGTAATTTATTTCATTCCGCATTTTGAGTTAATTTTAGGCCACTTTGTATTAAAATTTACATTAATTAAGACTTTTGGCATTGTAATCAATGAAAAGTATCATGTTTTTCTTAAGAATTATTAAATAATGAAGTGGCCGACTACAGGGTCCCGTTTTTATATACATTATCTAGTACTCAACCACCCCTGGCTGACTACTGGTTTTAACGCTGTTTGTCAAAAACCTAATAGTCGGCCACTTAAATAGTTAGAGTTTGTTACATGGCTGAGTACTGGTGACAGTAGACCCAGTGTTTATACCGTCCATATATATATAATGTGTGTGTTTTTTATATATTTTTTTGTACATAAAAAAAAAGTATTAATATAAAAGCAGCTCTAGATTCTACCAAAAGTAAAGTCAAGGAGACTACAAAGAATAAAAAAAAAAAAAATTATGATTATAATAAGGAATTGAGCGTAAAGACACAAAGACAGGCTGAGATTTAGTGAAAATCAAACAGCATAAAATTAAAATTCTCAGTAATATACTCCTATCTCCTGAAACTCCTGACACAGAAACCAGTAAGGAAGATAAACTCCTAAAAAAAATTGTTAATCGGCGACAAACTTTTAGAAATAAAGAAGAACTTGAAATCTTTTTAAATGATGTTACTAAAGAAGTTTCCGACTGATTTAAGTTAGATAGGTATTTGATTGTTGTGATTGTTAGGGCACAGTTAAGTCCATTTAGGTTCTATGACCGGACTAATTGTTTATTAATGCTCTTAATCTTTAAGCTTGAAACTATTGATCTCAAGAGAGGCTGACCACTGGTGGCAATATGGCTGAGTACTAGTTTTTGGCGGCTGAGTACTGGTGAAAAGTGCCTTATTTTGTTAAAAAGTATTTTTCTCTTTATTAAAGGATAAGTTTGTAATTTTTGTTAATTTTGTACCAAAGTTTAATAAATGAGTAAGTTAATTTATACAAAAGACTTTCAATTTACTCTTTCTAATATTTTCTTATATAAGTTTGAACCCAGACTTACCACTAAAAGGCTGACTACTGGTGCCAGTACCCTAATACATGTACACCCGTGTGTCGGGGCGAGTAGCTAGTAATTTTATAAATGTATGTTTGTTATTTGTTCGTTCATTACCTTTTAATGAGTAAGCTGAACAAATCTTAATGAAATTTGAAGTGAAGATAGATTTGAAGTGAAGATAAGAAGTTTATAATATTATTAAGATTCTAATATATAACTAAACTGTGTGTATGGGATATGGAGTTGCAGAGAAATATTGAGGTCAACGGAACACTCGTGTGAGAGCAGTGGAGCCGGGGGGCACTCAAACAACGGGTGCATTTGTTGAAATGCATCCAGTATGTAAATTGTGCCTCACAAAGCCTGCCACTAATGGACTCGTCAAGTGACGAACTCATATTTACCAGCTCTTGAATAAGATTTTATTCAGATTTGCACTGTTTTCAATATTATGCACGATTATTTACTACTGTACATATTAAACAAACGGATACCCTTGCTATATATATATATATATTTATATTACTTATTCACTAAACAATTACTTGAATAGGACGCGCGTGCATGGCAATAGTTGTACATGCACTACATTTTCATTTAATGTTAGACATAGACACTTATATAAATATACATTTTAAAAAAGTAATTCAATTGAGTTTCTTGCCAGTTCCTCTCAATTGATTTATATACTGAAATGGACGGTAGGGAAAAATGTATAATATGAAAAAAAATTACGTTTATGAACGGCTAAAACATCTTTCATGAATAAATGATTCTTGAATTTGTAGTTTATAATATTGGAATGTTGATTGAAAACATTGTTTATATGTTGGATTAAATTGGATACAATTAAAAGTAATTTGTTGAAAACTTCATCGATTACTGCCTATATCTAATCATAGACGTATGTATGTACTTATGACAAATAAAAAAAATATAAACATAATAATTACACAATAAATAGGTATATGTATTAGGTCCTTACATATGAAATTGGCGTTTTGTCGTACTGGCCATTTTGATCTCAAATATCTCCTCTTTGGTTAGGAATTCCAATGTAAATTTATACAGTTATTTACTCATGCGTTTGTTTTTCGAAAACCGTTTTCCATATGTTTTTCCATCTTTGGTTTTTTCTTTGCGTCACACAGTTTACAAAATGGAAAACTTAAAATAATGCGTTATTTACGAGTACGAGTTCCGCCGTGGCGCCAGTGCTGCAAAAACGGCTCGAAGGATTAATGATGTGTATTTTTGGGTCCAACGTTTTCGTTCTGGAAATTTCGACCTGCAAAACAAGCCCCGTGGGCGGCTGAAGTACAAGGTTGATAATGAAGAATTGAAGGCTATTATGGAAGCAGATCCATCGCAAACCACGTCCGATTTAGCTGCAGGCTGCAGTGTTAATGACAAAACAGTTAATCCAGTTGAAGTAAATTAGGAAGGTGAAAAAACTTGAAAGGTGGGTCCCTCATGAATTGAGTGGAACAAATCGACAAACGCGCGTAGGCTGCTGCGTTACATTAGTCAACCGGCATAATAATGAAGGGATTTTAAATCAAATCATTAGCTGTGATGAAAAATGGATGATAAAACAAAAAGACAAACAAACATACTTTCGCATTTATAATATTAATAAATATATCAAATGGGTATGCTTCTCGGTATAATATTGTAAGTAAACAATTTAAAACACAAAAGAAACACTTACGCAAATACTGAAAATAGGCGCACTCGCAGAGCAGGTGTCTTTTTTTCGTAAATCTTCACACAGCTGAGGTGTCCGAGTGGTTAAGGAGTTGGACTTGAAATCCAATGGGTTATACCCGCGCAGGTTCGAATCCTGTCCTCAGCGAGTTGTGGTTCCTTTTTTATTTTGTAATTCTTTTCCGCAAGTGACTTATCTAGTCTAAGAACGGAAGAACAAGAAAAATGATCATTGGCATTTGAATATAAATTTTCTGATGATTCCTAATCTACAATGGCACCTATGTATAAATGTGGACATGCTGAATATTACGCTGTTACGTCCATACCTTACGATGTGTCACAAAGTCGATGTAGAGTAATTGTAGTGTATTTTTGTATGTAAACAAATTAAGAACATAATCAACATACATATAAAATGGTTATTAAAATATGCTAACTAAAAAATATTTGATCTAAGTTTTTCTATGTCTTCTCAGACAGCTCGTTCTCTCAGAACTCTGTTAAATTCAGAAATATTCTTTACTTACTTAAAAAAACCTGTATTTTAAAGTTTTCCGTAAATTCCAATGTCTAAAATAATAAAAAAGTTATTTTTAGATTGCATTGCAAGCATAGTGATTACTTGCTCAATCAAGAACGGAACGAAACTTCAGAATCCTCCTCCATATAGTATTTTTACTCTATGGCCTCCTGTCGTCATTGAACTGTCAAGTCAACGTCAAAAGTCAAATGTTTTGATTTTTTTACATAAATAGTTTTGCTTAATGTGCAATATTCGAACTTACTGTAAAAAATAGTTATGCTAAAAACTAATGGTGTAGTGCTAGTACCATTATTATAATGAACTTGTGACAGGACAGCGCTTGCACTGAGGAAGCGGGATTTTGCGTCGAGTATGATCGATGATAGTGCAAGATTGCGATAAGATGCCTTGTGAAAGCTGCGCCGTGCAGTTCAGTGTGTTCAGGCGGAAGCGGGCCTGCTGCGAGTGCGAACGTTACTATTGTAGTGGGTGCTTGCGACGCGGAGGAGGCGCCATGTGCGCGCCCTGCCGGGTGCTCTCCACTCGGCCTCTGTCGCGGCAGACTATCGCTCATCTGAAGGTGCGCGACATCCAGTGCTTCCTGCAGCGACAGAACGTCTCCACCAGGGGCTGTGTTGGTAAGTCTTCATTGGACTCTGATGAATATACTTGTAGAACTCATATATCACTACTTTCTCTTCTAGAATAATCTATTAGATATGGAATTAATATATGACTTTTAGAAGGAGATTTGTTAATTTTGTACTGTTATAGCGATAAAAGGACATGCAGAGATTGTTTTATAATTGCATTATGGTTAAGTGAACCTACACAATATGTATTTTAAAGAGGTGTGTGTGCACACATCAGTTTTGAGCTTTAGTTACTTAATATAACTTCATTGAGGACTAGAAGCTTAAATGATCCAATCAAGTATCTGAATGATATATTTATTATAATGTTCTGACCTTTTGTACAATTTTACACATGTCACTGCATATAAGACGACTTGAAGATCATTTTAGTCTACAACAACGGAATTGTAAACATAGACAAATCCTGAACAGCAGTGATACAGTTACTGTTGAGGCGGTGACAGCTACATTGCTGCCGAATTACACATGACAGGAGAAGAACAAGTTCTGCAACTTTTGTACCAATTCTTCTCTGCTGAGTCTACATTCAGATTAATGTGGTATAATTTAAGTATGAATAAACAGAAGTTAAAATTTATTTTCTGCAGTAATCTTTTGAATATCCGTTGTTTGTCACAGCAACTGAAAGTGAATTGGCGGTATGCATATGCTGGCTGTATTTTTTCAAATTTGATTCTATTATTATTTTGTTTTAAATAAGGATAAAAAGAAGTCACGGTTTTGCGGGCACAGATCTTTGACAAGACGGTAATACAGTTTAAGAGGGGTGCACAGATCTGTGTCAAAATGTTTGAAGGGTTAATCTCTATTTGTGTTGACTTGAGACTACAGAGCAGACTACATCTCGAACAAGCACAAAAACTTCCTGGTATCTTCACAGGCTACTTACATCTACCTGACTGTTCTGAGGGGGAAGTGAATTGTTACTGATCAGAACTAGTAGAAACTACTAGACTACTAGTAGAACTAGTAGATTGCTAGAAATGTACCATGTTACGTCGACATCCACATGGTTCCATCTGGAAACCATCATGATAAATTCCTAGTTAATTTGTCATGATGGGCTAACTGACCTGACATCATATTCATCTTATGCTTAAGGAGTAGATCCTCCCGCTGGGGTGGACACTCCTTCTTAGTTCCCACACCCAAAAAATCTGCTCGTAGTTCTGGGACTGATTGCAGATAGGAAGTGAAAAAAATTCATCTTATATCTTCCAGTGGTGCCCTGCCAGTGTAAACCATTACCATTTCAAAATCATCCTCAAAAAAAATTTATACCATTTTGACCATCTATTAGTAATATACTAATAAATGGTCTCACTCCAAACCATATTTGTGCAGATATATTCTCCTAACCATAATACCTGATCTATACATATATAAAAATTGATGTGTCTGTTTGTAATATTGAAATAACCATATTTTACTACATGCATATGAATATAAATATGGTACATACACCAAAATAACATTTTTTATAATTTTTGTCTGTTGGTTGTCAGTCTGTTTGTTCCGGCTAATCTCTTAAATGGCTGGTTCGATTTTGATGGAACTGTTATTGGCAGATATCTCATGTAATAAGGTGTAACTTAGGCTACTTTTATTTTAGAAAAATTCTTTTATTTTAGATAAATAAAGTTAAATTCCATGCGGACGAAATCGCGAGTGCAGCTAGTATAATATATATATCTTATATAACTCTAAATAGATTTAGTTATGTATTCTCACGATTGTAATAGGTGTGTACATGGTAGAATTCATAAACAATACAATGTAATATCTCATATTTCACTTGTATAAGTAAGTATCCGGTAGATTAAAATGTTTCATTGCAACACTTATTATGTTGAATGTAATTTGATACACATACTCATATTTCCGTATCCATGATCTAACTGAATGAAAGTTTAAGTGTATTGAAAGTAATTTATTCATTACAATAATATTTTGTTAGGAAAACAATCCCTAATACTATTAATGCGAAAGTAACTGTCTGTCTGTCTGTCTATCTTCCTTACAGGCCACCACTCAACCGATTTAAATGAAATTTGGTGGACATATAGTGTAGACCCTGAGAAAGGACATAGGCTACTTTTAAATGCGAAAAAAGGGTTGTAAGGGGTTGAAAGTGGGGATGAAAGTTTGTATGGAATATTGTCATTTTTGAAGCTAGAAGCTTGAAACCTATTTTTGAGGATGCTGATTAAATACTATATTACATAAGTATATGACATTCAAAGTTTGTAAAAGTGTTACCCTTAAGGAGGTAAAAAATTTATTCTAAACGGGATTGAAGTTTGTATGAAAAATCATTTAGAATTAGAAATAATCTTTATTCAAATAAACTCATTACAAGCACTTTTGAATAGTCATATTTTGATTCTACCACTTATTCGGAATGCAGATTCATCACAAGAAGAATGAGCAAGAAACTTGTGTGTTCTTTTTAATAGATGTTTTTTTATATAAATAATTACAGTATAACAAGTAAGAGGCATGCCATAATCAACATAGAAATCGCTAGGCACTCATTATTAGTGTAATCAGATAATATTGTCAGTTCTATGGATTTAAAGTTTTTCTATAAAAACATTATTATCGTTAACGAATTCTTCAATTTTCGTTTTATTTGCTAGCATTCATTTTTTTGGGTTTGATTATTGAATATTTTTTCTTTGTTTGGCCGAGGTTATAACACGTGGAGGAAGTCTCAGACACAGCTGCACAGCAGTTCCTTATAAATAAAATTATTTTTATATCCACAATCAAGTATTATATTATTTCAGTGTTGGTACTTATATATTCTTCACATGGCTATTAATAGTAATAAAGTCCTGAAACAATACAACATATAACTTGTGCATGTAAATCAATAACACAATCTGATTATAAACACAGACATGATCAGGTTGCTGCAATAGTACATCAATACTTAGCCACTAAATATCAATTAATCACAGAAAAAATAGTCTACTATAAATACACCTCGCAGATAATACTCGACTCTCCCGGTTATAGGTTGTATTAGGACAGGATTATAATAACAGACAAAACTGTACACCACAACAGACCAGATATAACACTACATGATAAGAAAAATAAAATAGTTTAACTTATAGATATTGCAATACCAAATACACATAATCTTCTATCAACACATACAGAAAAAATTACTAAATATACTGATCTAGCAATAGAACTAAAACTGCAATGGCAGGTAGAAACAGTAAAAACTCTCCCAATTATTATTTCGTCCACAGATGTCATTCCAACATCCATACACTGTAGCCTCAAAATATCACAGCTTCACCCACTTACTTTCATACTTCTCCAATAAGCTGTAATTGTAAACACCTTTAGAATAGTCCGCAAATTTTTGTCATCATAATCATTTCTTTTATAATTGTCATTGTTTGGTGATATTCACCCGCAATGACGAATTTAACACCCCATCAAAGGCTGATATAATATATATATATATATATATATATATATATAAACAATAATAATCTCAGGACAATTCACACAGCGCCATCTAGACCCAAGTTAAGCTACCTAAAGCTTGTGTTATGGGTACTAGATAACTGATACATATACATAGATTCTTTTTGTAAATACATACATATTATACATAGAAAACACCCAGACCGATACAAACAATTATTGTTTGTATCGGTCTGGTTTGTATACATCTGCACTAAATCTGACAGAGAGGCAATTCAAATCTTATATTAAACAATTTTTATGTAAGAAAGCCTATTACAGGATAGACGAATTCATAGAAGACAACATATCAAGTAAATAATTAGTTTATTAGCATACAACGTTATAATTTGTTTATCTCATTGCTTTCTTGATTCAATTATTTTAGAAATATGAAAGCGTAGCGGGTTTTGTATTAATTGCCGCATGCATTCTTATGTGAAATGTGAATACTATAAACATCAGATGGCAATTGTGAGTAGCTATGACGTGGTCTGGTGTTTTGAGTAGTCATGCTCACTAAAATGTCCAGACTTGTGGCGGCGTGGTGGGCCGGGTCATTGGGCTCCCTAAAATATGGTCGAGCGCAGTGATGGCTGGCTCATCCGTCATACTCGTGAACGGGTGCTGCTTGTAGGGACTGGTCTGCTCTAATCACTATGACTGATTTCCTCTTATTAATTGTTTAACCAGTTGGTTATGTATTCAATATTTTTTCTTTTTGAGTATTTAATTGAATTAGTGCTAATCGGTGGTTTGTATTCACACACTTAAACTTAAAAATGTAAAGTAATAATAAAATTATTTTAAAGAGCAACACGCAAGTTTCTTGCTTGTTCTTCTTGTGATGAGACAGCATTCCGAATGAGCGGTAGATTAAAAAAAAAAAAAATGTTATGACTATTCAAAAGTGCTTCAATGTAAGTTTATTTGAATAAATGATTTTCTATTCTATTCTATTCTATTGTAATTACAGAGAAGGAGGAGCTGGTGAGCCTGTGTGTATCGCACGTGAACAGTGCAGCGTACCGTCGGCGGGGCTCGCGCTCCGGCTCCAGCCCCTTCAGCACCCTCAAGGGGTTCACCAATAACATCAATGTTCTTATTAACAACGCCTTCGATCTGCGCAGCACGCCACAACCCGCGCCACCGTCGCCACACAGTAAGTTCTCGTTTTAATTGTGAAACTTTTGATTTAGTGGTCGAAAATCACCCTTTAAAGAGGATTGTTAGTAATGTGGACTCTTGACCCCATTGCTATCAATGTATTATGTCAGGTTGACCTCCACGCGGTTCCCTCTGGAAACCATAATGATAAATTACAGGTGAATTTGTCACGATGGGCTAACTGGCCTGACCTCATGCTTATATTATCACCCTCCACTGGTACCCCGCCAGCGTATACCATTAGCGCAGGCGAGTGTATCATTTCATTATAGGTCAATCATTGTGGCACAGCACTGACAGGGCCCAACTTCTTGTTACGTGCCGCAACACCGACCACGGCAATGTACCTATCCCGCCTACACTACGCTACCAAGGAACAGGACATTGTTGACTACATCCGGACTAAAAGCAACCTGACACAGTGAGGGTGACGCAGTTGGAATCGAGCCACAACGCGAGCTTCAAAGCGTTCGTGGCCCTGGTCCCCACCAATATGCTGCCCACCTTCATGAAGGAGGACTACTGGCCGAAGGGTGTGGTGTACCGGCGCTACCGTGGCAGATTGCCGTCGTCAGTGCCGTGACCATAGAGACAATTTTATTATTATTTCTTATGTATGTTAGTCTATAAGGTATAATAAATAAGTTAAACTAATCATGGTGTTTTTTTATGTGATATTTTTTTTTTATAAACACCATGATTAGTTTAACTTAGTAAACTAATAAGTGCTTTTTTTTAAATGTGATAATTTTTTTTTTATTTATTTATTTAATTCAGGCTACATGGCCCATATTATAAATACCTTATAGACTAACATACATAAGAAATAATAATAAAATATGTAAATAAAATTGTTGTACTTTTATTTTAGAAATTTCTCTAATTAACTTTTTGTTAAATTCTACGCGGATAAATTCGCGGGCACAACTAGTAAAGTATAAATGTTCGTATATAAACTATATCCGTGATCATCGGTATTAAGACATCCAAAACCGCTATACCACCGAATGTGGTCACCACGGTGGTCACACCACAATGAGTGTTTGTCAAAATTTATATATCATATTTTCTAGGCGAATGCTATAATTCGTCACATGTGCACACAGCGACGAGCCGGCCCGCCCCGAACCCGCCTCCCGACCCCCCGCAGCCCGCACCGCGCACCCTGCAGCGGGAGAGATTCACCACCACACCAGGTATAGAGTAACATTAACACCTTAATCGCCATGGTAATATCAGAAAACAAAAATCACTTTGGTCATGGTAACTTTATTAGATCATTTATTTAAAAATGTATCAAGGAAACTTAATGTATTGCAGAAAAACAGTTTTTTGTCAATATTCCCGGAAAAACACTTTATTAAAAAAAAATTCAAAATTCAAAAATCATTTATTCATGTAGGACATTTTAGCCGCTTATGAACGTCAAATTTTTACATTATAATTTTATTTTTTCCCTACCGTCCAGTTCGGTATATAGATCCAATTGAGAAGAACTGGCAAGAAACTCAATTGAATTACTTTTTTTTTTAAAGCTAGTTTATTTACAATGTATTTTTATATAGGTGTCTATGTCTAACATTAAATGAAAATTCACTGCATGAACAACTATTGCCATGCACACTCGTCATTCAAGTAATCGTTTAGTGAGTAATAGGCCTTGCTCAGTAAATATGATTTAACAGATGTTTTGAATTTATTTAAGGGTAATTCCAACATATCCTTTGGTATCTTATTGTAAATTTTTATACCTATTCCATTAAAAGACCTATTAACTTTTTCTAAACGATACTTGGGGACAGCAAGTTTGTCTTTAAATCTAGTATTAATATTATAAATATCGCTATTTTTTGGAAATAAATTAAGATTTTTATGAACATATAGGATATTTGAATATATAAATTGAGAAGCAACGTTGAGAATATTTGCCTCTTTGAATTTCTCTCTTAATGAGTCACGACTCTTCATACAGCAGATCGCTCGAACGGCACGTTTTTGTAATATGTAGAAAAAGTGCTTTTTAAATATGTTTTTGTAATATTAAAACTTATAGAATATATAATAAACTTATAATATATAAGAAACTTATAGATAGAGCCCTATATTAAAACTTTTTTTTTTGACGAGCCGTGTCAGTCTCGTCATTAACTTCTGCTATTATCGATTATTTTGGGAATGGATTCATCAGGTCACGATTCGAATCGATTTCAAATACGTTTTTTATCGGGAATCGGCATCCCTAGATGTGATACTCTTGAAAAAATAATAGATTTTTTGTAATCGGTCAGTTAGATTATCGGTTTTTTAGACCTCGATTGTTGCGAATTCCATTCATCAGATCACGAATCGAATCGAATTAAAAATCGTAATAATCGTAAAAAAAATTTTTTTTTGTAATCGTTCAGGTAGGTTTAATCGTTTTTTGGGAACCGATTCATCAAGTTACGATTCGATCGATAAAAACCGATCTTTATCGGAAAGAATCGGCATCCGTAGGTATGATACTCAGGTGGCGAGCGCGACATCCGGGTGCCGGTGCCGGAGCCCCGCGCGGAGGAGGCGGCCGAGGGCACCACCGCGCACTCCGCCGACTGCTACGAGATCGAGGACGTGGACGACGGCTGGGAGGTGGTCGCGCGGCCCGCAGACCCGCTGCCCAACGGTAACCACACCTATTATATGTCACGTGATGAGGTGTCCCCAGCCATACACTAAGGATGAGGCCGCAGCATAAAATACTCTAACTCTGTAACAAACTATACCTCCATTTTGTATGAAAAAATTATCTTACACTGATTACTTTGTCATATAAAACAGAGCACTCTGTATCTGTGTATTACAAACTGTCACCGCGGTCTTGCCACAATTATTTTTCTTTCAAAACGGAGCAGCCTGTATCTCTATGTTACAAATTGTACCCGGGGTATTGCCATGATTGTTTTTTCATACAAAACGGAGCGCCATGTATCTTTATGTTACAAACTGTACCTGCGGTCTTACCACGATTAGTTTTTTCATACAAAACGGAGCACCATGTATCTTTATGTTACAAATTGTACCCGAGGTCTTGCCACGATTAGTTTTTTCATACAAAACGGAGCACCAGGTATCTTTATGTTACAAACTGTACCTGCGGTCTTACCACGATTAGTTTTTTCATACAAAACGGAGCACCATGTATCTTTATGTTACAAATTATACCTGCGGTCTTACCACGATTAGTTTTTTCATACAAAACGGAGCACCATGTATCTTTATGTTACAACTGTACCTGCGGTCTTACCACGGTTATTTTTTTCATACAAAACTGAGCATCCTGTAGCAACCTGTATCTGTTATTTTTTGTGACAATTGTCGAGGATAAACTGTTTTACGGCTTTTAAGTATTGTAGCAGACTTTAAGTACTTAGATAATTTATTTTTTGGTTTGGTTGGGTAGTTTACAGGACAGAAACAGGGTGGGGCAAATACATGGGGATGTAAATATATCAATTTAATATTCTATTTGCATAAACATGGGTAACAATTAGTTCTTATCATAAACTACATTTTTATAAGCTCAGTCCATCGCGTTGGTGATCGATCCAGAGAATGAAGAAAAAGAAGCAAATAAATAAATAAACATTTGATCCCAACTGAACTATCGACCATACAGAGTCAAAAGTATTAGTCAATCAATTAAAAATCATTTATTTACGTAGGTTTTTTCTCTACCGTCCAGTTCAGTATACAGATTCAATTGAGAACTGAAAGGTAATCAACTGATTTTATTTACAATTTCAATTATAACGTTGGGTAGATTCGGAAGTGCTGATAACGGAGAGCGATGACCTCGATCATCCGGCGGAGCGGATGGAGAGGGCGGAGCATGCGGCGGGGGCGGGGCCGGGGGCGGGGCCGGGGGCGCGGGCGCGGGCGGTGCCGGCGCGGCTGGCGGCGTGCGGCGGGTCCCCGCAGCGCGCCGCCTCCGAGCTGGAGCTGCGGCCGCCCGCACACCGCGCCGACACCGCCAGCCTGCAGGACGAGCCGCTCATGGACACCGGTACCGACCCTCGTTATATATAGCGCCGCCGCACACCCCGACACCGCCACCCTCGTTATATATAGGACGAGCCGCTCATGGACACCGGTACCGACCCTCGTTATATATAGCTGGAGCTGCGGCCGCCGACACCGCGCCGACACCGCCAGCCTGCAGGACGAGCCGCTCATGGACACCGGTACCGACCCTCGTATATATATATACCGCCAGCCTGCAGGGAGCTGCGGTACCGACCCCGCTGGACACCGCGCCGACACCGCCAGCCTGCAGGACGAGCCGCTCATGGACACCGGTACCGACCCTCGTTATATATAGCTGGAGCTGCGGCCGCCCGCACACCGCGCCGACACCGCCAGCCTGCAGGACGAGCCGCTCATGGACACCGGTACCGACCCTCGTTATATATAGCTGGAGCTGCGGCCGCCCGCACACCGCGCCGACACCGCCAGCCTGCAGGACGAGCCGCTCATGGACACCGGTACCGACCCTCGTTATATATAGCTGGAGCTGCGGCCGCCCGCACACCGCGCCGACACCGCCAGCCTGCAGGACGAGCCGCTCATGGACACCGGTACCGACCCTCGTTATATATAGCTGGAGCTGCGGCCGCCCGCACACCGCGCCGACACCGCCAGCCTGCAGGACGAGCCGCTCATGGACACCGGTACCGACCCTCGTTATATATAGCTGGAGCTGCGGCCGCCCGCACACCGCGCCGACACCGCCAGCCTGCAGGACGAGCCGCTCATGGACACCGGTACCGACCCTCGTTATATATAGCTGGAGCTGCGGCCGCCCGCACACCGCGCCGACACCGCCAGCCTGCAGGACGAGCCGCTCATGGACACCGGTACCGACCCTCGTTATATATAGCTGGAGCTGCGGCCGCCCGCCGCCGCCCGCACACCGCGCCGACACCGCCAGCCTGCAGGACGAGCCGCTCATGGACACCGGTACCGACCCTCGTTATATATAGCTGGAGCTGCGGCCGCCCGCACACCGCGCCGACACCGCCAGCCTGCAGGACGAGCCGCTCATGGACACCGGTACCGACCCTCGTTATATATAGCTGGAGCTGCGGCCGCCCGCACACCGCGCCGACACCGCCAGCCTGCAGGACGAGCCGCTCATGGACGACCGTTATATATAGCTGGAGCTGCGGCCGCCGCACACCGCGCCGACACCGCCAGCCTGCAGGACGAGCCGCTCATGGACACCGGTACCGACCCTCGTTATATATAGCTGGAGCTGCGGCCTCGCTCATGGACACCGGTACCGACCCTCGTTATATATAGCTGGAGCTGCGGCCGCCCGCACACCGCGCCGACACCGCCAGCCTGCAAGGACAACGCTACCGACCCGCGTTATATATAGCTGGAGCTGCGGCCGCCCGCATTTCTGGCGGTAATCGACTGCGCCAGCCTGCAGGACGAGCCGCTCATGGACACCGGTACCGACCCTCGTTATATATAGCTGGAGCTGCGGCCGCCCGCACACCGCGCCGACACCGCCAGCCTGCAGGACGAGCCGCTCATGGACACCGGTACCGACCCTCGATATATATAGCTGGAGCTGCGGCCGCCCGCACACCGCGCCGACACCGCCAGCCTGCAGGACGAGCCGCTCATGGACCCCGGTACCGCCGATCGTTTTATTTGTCTGGAGCTGAGGCGGGCGGCACACCGAGCCGACACCGCCAGCCTGCAGGACGAGCCGCTCATGGACACCGGTACCGACCCTCGTTATATATAGCTGGAGCTGCGGCCGCCCGCACACCGCGCCGACAACCGCCAGCCTGCAGGACGAGCCGCTCATGGACACCGGTACCGACCCTCGTTATATATAGCTGGAGCTGCGGCCGCCCGCACACCGCGCCGACACCGCCAGCCTGCAGGACGAGCCGCTCATGGACACCGGTACCGACCCTCGAACGCCTAGCTTCTAGCCGTCTTCCTAGATTCAGCCGGACTCCTTTTTATAAACAACCTGGTGACAAACAAGCATACGGATCATCTGATGGTAAATACTTACCGTAGTGTATGGACGGCTAAAACACCAGGTGTCTCATGGGCGTTGCTGATCCTTAATAAACCTTAATCATCATCATCTCAGCCCAGAAGATGTCCTCTGCTGTACAAAGTCTTCCCCCAAAGATCTCCACGACGTTCGGTCCTGCGTTGCTTTGCGTTTACTATATAACCTAAAGGTAACTCGGTGTGTAATTACAGAAGGATCCGGTGAAGAGAGTGAGAGGGCGGAGTGCGGCGGGGGTGGTGGCGGGGGCGGGGGCGGGCGTGGTGCGGGCGGGCGCGTGTCGCTGGGCGCGCTGCGGGCGGAGGCGGAGCTGGAGGCGCTGAACGTGCGGCAGCTGAAGGAGCTGCTGGCCAGGAACCGCGTCGAGTACCGCGGCTGCCTCGAGCGGGCCGACCTCCTCGAGCGCGCCAAGATGCTGTGGCGAGAGCACCACCACTACGCCGACGGTAACCACTGCTACCATCATGTTCATATTATACTGTCCACATTCGGATTCGTACTTGCCCTATCTAGTACCTTTTTTTATTGTACGTATGGGACACAGTCACCTAGATACATAAAATAATAATTGCATTTAATAATGTCTAGTAAGACAAATTCAATATTGTCTACTAGGCACTGCTGTATCTAAACTGTGTCACCCCACGTTACATTTTCCTACTTTTATTTAGTATATAAGATCATTATTTCTATGTACACATTGTCAGTTTATCATCATCTGTAATATACATCGTCTCGACCAGCAACATCTTATTATTCACCCGCAACAGTACGTTTATTTACAATGTCAGTAATTGTAAGGGAAAACTTCTTTTGGAATATAGACTTTAAGTGTTACCATGTGGAGAGATATATCGCATTGTCTCTTGAAATTTCACTTTAACTATTTATCATACACAGTATACAGTTAATCGGTTAAGCGGAAGTTAAATAGACAGATAGAGAAACATTAACATAAATTTGACCTTCATAGAAAACTTATTTTTTAACTACACTAAAGTTAATTGAGATCATAACGGTGCACGCTCTTCGTGCACCGTTTATAAAACTCTCCTTTAAGGCTTACCGGCAAAAACTTTAACACCATACCAACCCTTTAGCAACAACTCTTGGACTTGGAATTACGTATGCAGACTAAGAAGGCCACGTCTGGCTACGAAAACAGCAGATGTAATAATAATATGATATACATTAAAGCTGAGTGGAGCCATTTCAATGCATTTTTGGATGTAAAAAATGATTATTTTATGTTTATTTTTAATTATCTACACAGTAAATTAAGTTTAATTATATGTACATTTTATTTGCTCTTTTGTTTTTTATTTTTTTTCGTTTGGTGTTTATATTGTATATTTTACATTGCACTGAATAAAATATTTTTCTTTCTTTCTTTCTTTCTTTCTTTCTTTCTTTTTTTCTTTCTTTCTTATGTATATAAAAGGCGGACCACATTATTGGATGTGGTAACTCAAAGCGACAGATAACGAAAGTTTTAAAATCTGATAAAAGCTAATTGGCTGATCGCAGATAGATAAGAAAAAAGCAAAAAAAACTAAACTTAATTACGTAATAATCAATAATAATCCATTTGACATAAGCAATGCTAAACTAATAATACTGTGACATGTGACCAGACATCGACAAGCTACCGATGGAGGAGTGCTGCAAGATCTGCATGGCGGCGCCGCTGGAGTGCGTGCTGCTGGAGTGCGGACACATGGCGGCCTGCACCGCCTGCTCCAAGCAGCTGGCCGAGTGCCCCATCTGCAGACAGTACGTCGTGCGCGCAGTCAGGGTGTTCCGCTCCTGAGCACCACCACCATCGTATGCCGACCCCGTCTGATGCAGTACATCTTCAAAGGTGATACATTTTAAGTACATCCCCCAGGAGTTTGTGGTCTCCATGAAGAATAGGACCGAAAGTTGAAGAGCCAGAGCCCTTCATAGTTATATAGGTTACTAGGTTGTAGCAATTTAATTCTTATTGTGATACTATATTGAAGTCATTATAGCATGGCAAATGATCAGAGCGACCCCGAACTGTATAGTTATAGAATTACGATTAATATTAGCTTTTTAATATCACTATGATGAGCATGAAACCACAGATATTAAAATATAGAAAGATATATCATTACATAGTATTAAACAAAATCGCTGTCTGTCCGTCCCTGTATATGCTTAAATCATCAAAACTGCGCAACGGATTTTGAAGCGGTTCTTTTTAATAGATAGAGTGATTGAAGAGGAACGTTTATATAATAATAATAATAATCTCAGTACAATTCACACAGCGCCATCTAGTCCCAAGTTAAGCTAGCTAAAGCTTGTGTTATGGGTCTAGATAACTGATACAAATACATAGATATTTTTTTTTCGTAAATACATACATGTCAATTATAGAAAATATCCAGACCGATACAAACAATCATACTCATGAATACAAATGTTTGTGCCGTGCGAGGAATCGAACCCGCGACCATCGGTCGTAAAGCGGTGTGCTAGACCGCTAGACCACCGAGGTCGTCATATATGTATAATATATGTACACCCGGGCGAGTAGCTAGTTATTGATAAGTTATAACAAAGAACAAACTTCCGCACTGAATTATCCGCATCATCGTCGTCATACTAGTGAACGGGTGGTGCTTGTAGGGACTGGTCAGTTCTGGTTACGACCACTGTTGTTTTCTTTCGACAGAAGTAGAATTGCATGTCGCCGTATGCTGGTGGTCACTCTACTCTCAATAATTTGAATTTAAAATTAAATCTGCGTTTATATAAACATGTTTCTTGTCAGTTCTTAGTTGGAAAGCACTCCGTACTGACTGTAGTCATGAGTCTGTAATAGACCTACATGAATAGAGATATATTTTGATTGTTTTTTTATAGGATCTTTGATCTATTTTCATCGTAGGGTATACTCAAGTCACGGAATTGAGTAATATTGCGGGTAAATTATACTATGTTGTTGGTTGAGACGATGTATATTACAGATGTTAGTTCACTGACAATATATACATAGAATTATTGATCATATATACTAAACAATAGGAAAATGTAAGGTGGGGTGACACAGTTTAGACACAGTGTGGTTGTGCAATATTGGATTTGTCTTACTAGACATTATTACAATTATTATTTCTAGGTAACTGTGTCCCATAAGTAACCCCTGATTTTTTTTAGTATCTGTGGTCTCATACTATCGAAGCGGAATTGGTATTTCGAATATATTTCTGAGTAGTACGATGGTGAAACTCATGCCGCTGGTATTAATCCAATACTAAAAAAATCCTCAGAACTTACTCCCCTGATTGATATATGTGGTCATACTATATAAATGCACAGAGATGCAATATATGTCGCTCCTCAAAAGCAGTGGAATGGGTCCGAGTCTGTGTAATCCGACATTCTCATTATTTGTTATTGAATATTACTTTGACAATATAATCTGCATATACATACATACATATATAACATAGAATCTTATCTTGATCTGTAATTTGTCGGATTACAAGATTGTTTTGTAAAAAATTCCGGACTATAAGCAGCACTCTATAATCCGACAAATACGATGGTCCGACACTGCCCTGCAAAACGTTTGTGGATAGAGATATATATAATATGAATCATCATTGATCTATAATTTTCGGATTAGGATCTTTTGTAAAAAAATTCGGACTATAAGGGGTCTTAGGCAGTACTCTATAATCCGACAAATTCGATAGTCCGACACTGCCTCATCTCGCGGCACCATGTGGAACAATCCACTTATAATTACATTAATATTAAGAGTTTATTACACTATACACACTTGTTGTTGAATAATAAGATGGCTGGTCGAGACGATGTATATTGCATATGATGATAAACTGACAATGTATACATAGAAATAATGATCTTATATACTAAATAACAATAGGAAAATGTATGGTGGGGTGACACAGTTTAGACACAGCAGTGCTTAGTACACAATATTGAATTTGTCTTACTAGACATTATTAAATGCAATTATTATTTTGATGTATCTAGGTGACTGTGTCCCATAGATATTCCCCCCTTGAGAGAAAAATATATATATATATATATATATATTACACACAAAAAAAAAATTATAAAAGTTAACTGTAAAATTTAATATATTATGCACTTTTGTAAAAATAAAAATTAATTAAACCCAAATAACGACGTAAATCTTACTGTCGTGGGTTTAAACTCTGACTCCATTTTTCTTGCGTTGGTTTCATCCCTTGGCTCGTTATATGATAACCAAGAAAATCTAACTCATTTGTGAAGAAAAAAATTGTTTGCGGCGAATAGTTTGAATTCGCTAGCGCTCTCTTTGGTCTGTGCTTGTTTTAAAAAACACCGAGATTTTTTTGCTCCGGTGCCCACCAAAATTCTATAGCCACTTTTAGAGTCGGTTATAGCTAGGCGGTTAGACGGATGAACAGCACAGCGTTCCGTCTTATTCTGCGTCAATCTAGTTTTCCGACGGTTGGACCCGCGGCATGTCACATTTGTATGCCTTTTCTTTATATTTCGATGATATAATATAAATAATAGTTTTTTCCGACTATGCAATGACCGTTGCGAATTTGACAATATGCTGCGTCTGTTTGTGTGTGGCAGTGCTTTTCGCGTATATATAATTTCTGATGGCAGTGTCGCAATTAGTGACGACAGGTGTGCAATGACGTGTACTTTGTCGGATTGTAGAAGCATTTTTGCTTTATTTTTCCAGTTTCAATTTTTCGTCCAGAGATTATATCCAGCAGGCAGTTGTGTTTATAGTCACGGGGATTTGTTGCGCAGTATTGCCAACGACTTTTATCCTACTTGAAATACGATGAGTCCGGGAAGCCGGTGAAAAACGTTTGTCGGATAACCGTCAGACAGAGATCTCTTGTATATCGTTTATATATCGTCTATAAAGGATCACGTCGGGGTCACCACTGTTGGGTGAATAATAAGATGTTGCTGGTCGAGACGATGTATATTACAGATGATGATAAACTGACAATGCATACATAGAAATAATGATCTTATATACTAAATAACAATAGGAAAATGTATGGTGGGGTGACACAGTTTAGATACAGCAGTGCCTAGTAGACAATATTGAATTTGTCTTACTAGACATTATTAAATGCAATTATTATTTTGATGTATCTATTACTGTGTCCCATAACACTAATAAAATTCAAAATTAAAAAAAAACACTTCAGTCACTTTTGTACGCACGGGCGGATCCAGCATTGGCGCCAGGAGGGGGTCACATAATCGTGGTCAAGTCAAGAACTTATAATTTAATTTTGATAACAATAGATGCAAGTAAAAAGTAGGCATATTATTATTAGTAAGTACTGTACTTAAAAATATTAATAAAATTTGTATTGTGACAAAATATGTAAATAAAATCGTTATGTTCAATTAGTGGTCCACCTAAGTCCTGGGCTCAGAGGGGGTCATGACCCCCATGACCCCCCTGGATCCGCCGTTGTATGTACGTCATTTTGTTGTATAATGACAAAGAAAAATTGCATATTGTCTCATAATTTTGTGTAATATAAATAAGAAAATAATTTGATAACCGTGATAGCTTAAGGTTTAACAGACTACCTTACTTTCCGATGGTCGCGAGATCAATACAAACGTGTATAATCGAGGATATTTGTTTGCATTAATAGGGTCAGATACAGGGTGTTGTCTTTGCATTTGAGTAATCAAATAGTATATTTTTTTATATACATAGAAAACACACTGATTAATACAGACAAATATCCATACCAAATAAATATAGACGTCTGGTACAGATAGTACAAGTTCCGTTTAGGGACTAGATGGCGCTGTGTTAATTGTAGTTCACGATTACTTATTGATTATCTCATTTGTACACCCAATCTTACAATCACATGAATTGGTATTGGTTTCAGATTGGTATAAAATACGTCACGACTTGTCTAAGAAATCACACATTGGTACGGCCTTCAGCCAGCTTTCCGACTGTATAGTGGCTTTAGTAACAGCAGCATATAAAGAGACAATAATACGAAATAACACTAGAACGAGAATGTAGTAACATGCAGCTAAGAACAAAACTGAGTGACACACAGTGCGGTCCTAGCGGCGCCGTGCCCTCACTCTTAATAAGAAGAATTTTTAATACTTCATATGAGGCTATAAATGTATTTAGGTTCAATTCTGGAAGAGAATCAACCTTAAAACGTCGTCCTAAGTTTTAAGATTGTAGTGTATAAGAAAAAAAAAAAGGAACGAATGAATATGATTGTGACTGGAGCGGAATAACTAAACGATTATTTAAAAAAAGTAATAATTTTACATGCCAATTAATTCCAAAAGAGCTCACCAGTCGGTCAAAAGTGATATATAAAAAGAGATATCAATGTTTTTTTTTTCGGACTACTCTAATGCTGTGGGCCGTAGCTTGCCTTTACAGCTTCACCGGACGTTATGGGGCGAGTGCGGATGGCACTCCAAACCCGCGGAAGGACTTATGGAGCGGCTGAAGGCCAACTCCGCCTGACGGATACGACTTTAGTCTGAGGGCACCGCTAGGGTTTCGAACCTCGGCTCAGGCCGTCGTAATTTCGATCCCCGTTTGAATTGGACGGGGGATCGATCGGAGGGGAGATATCAACGTAATATAAAAATAATGGTGAGCAAGCTGCCAGTAACAATAATGAAATTACAGCCACTGAACCACGGTCTTAGGAATCTAATAAGCGTTACCATAGAGATCACAAATTATTTTTCTAATGTTCGGTCACGTATAGACACTTGGGTACACGTCCGATACTATTCCAGTGATATATATATAAAATAGTAATATAAAAAAATGTATTATATTAAATCGTAACGGCGCCGCACCGCCCCGTGTGCCACCCTTAGTGCGGGCGCACATACAGTTCAGGTCAGATCCTCCCACCGTTCGATTGGTACATTTGGTTCCTAAGCCACGCCCACCTTGGAAATGCGCCAATCAGAACGGTTTCGCATAAACAAACTGATCGTAATGTGTGCCCGCACTAAGTAGGTAGGTAATGACTTTTGACGTAACGACACCGGTAGCTTAGTTTTGTATCGACACGGTACTATGATGTATATAGAATTTTGAGATATTTTTAAATTTGTACGAGGCTTGTTGGAATACTTATTAAAATGTACATATTAAAATCTACAGATATATCCCATGATTTATAAACTGAATTAACTCAAAAATAAAATATTGAAAAATCGACCTTATGTTTAAAATTTTAAAGTCGAATTCTCAATGTATATTTTTTTCTACTTAATGCATTTTTCTATAAAGCGTCCGATATATTCTCACTCTTTTATTCATAAAAACGTCATGTACGACCTATTTTAGCTGTTTGATTTTTTTTATCATACAACGAAATTTTTTTTTTTATAATTTTAACGTAAATTAAATACGTTTGTAGTTTTTATGAATAAGGGATGTTTGGTATTTTTTTTATTGTATTGGTTACATAAATTCATTAATGTTAGTGTTGGTAAAGGTGTTTTCTTTTGTTGGAAAATCATACTTGACCGTAATTGTCCTGAAATGTACAGAAATCATATATTAATATACAAATTAGATTAACAGGGTGTCCACACTTCGCAATAATCAAAGAGGGACTTCCAGTACAGATCCGAAGTGTTATTTTGTAAAGGTTGTGAATTTACATATCTAGTGAAATATAGAGGGCTTTCAGGTATTTTTTATTTAAAAATTACAGTGTAATTTTAATAAAGTGTTGTGCACAAAATGATATCAAGGGTCTAAATTTATACAACTGTGGACACCCAAAAAAAAATTATACGTGTATAATAGAGATGAAACGGATAGCAGTTTAGCCGGATACCGGATACCGGATATTCGGCCAAACATGTGACCGAATAGCCGGATATCCGGCAGAACTTAGCTAACTAATAAATTCATTTTCTTTCTATAACAGTGATTAAAAATTGAAAACAAACTATTTTTTTTCCTTATGTAATACTAAGACTAACGAAATAAAGCAAATAATTACTTAAAAAATATATTTATTTTTAATTCGGCTAGATGCCTATCCAGACAAATAGTAGTTTTCCGGTATTTGGCCGGATAGGCATCCAAATGAATAAAAAAAAAATTTTTTAAGTAATTATTTGCTTTATTTAGTATTAAGTCCGCCGGATAGGCCGGATACCAGATAGTTACCGGATATCCGTTTCATCTCTAGTGTATAATTAAATTCGCATTTACACGGTGGCCAATTTGATGGCACCACATTCTGCAAGCTACGACTGTAACACGCTTTCTGGATTTTGTTACTTTTTGAAGTCTTTTGTGGTCTAGCGGTTAACACACCGCTTTACTTCCGATGGTCGCGGGTTCGATTCCTCGCACGGTGCAAACATTTGTACTCATGAGTATGATTGTTTGTGTCGGTCTAGGTGTTTTCTATTTATATTATGTGTGTATTTACAAAAAAATATCTAAGTATTTATATCAGTTGTCTAGTACACATAACACAAGCTCTGCGTACCGTAGGAATAATGGTACTGTGTTAATTGTCCAAGATTATTTATTTATTTATTTAATTGATATATCTAGTTATTGTGACAATGTCACAAACATCAGAAAATCACGCATCCAATCGTCGACAAATCATTTGCACAGCGCTTTTTGGTAATAGACACAGACAGACATTTTGGGGCCACAAATTGACATCGTGTAAATCTGCCGTTAATGTAAGTTAATAATTGTCATATGTAAATATTAAATACTTAAACTATCAGCTACTTGTATTAAATAAATTAATAAAATATACTGAAGTTCGTCCGTGTAATAAATGATTTAATAATATATGTACTGTTTTAAACATGATATTTAAACTTAAAAATCAAAATATATATTATTTATACGTATAATTAGTAAAAATCACGGGATCTTACAACGTTTTATATTTATTTGCTGAGTTACCGATATTTCGGCAGTGTTTCAACCACCATGATCATCATGAACATCGAGCGAGTTCCAGCAGTAGCAACAAACGAAGACGTGTGAAGGTAGATGCATATGTCTGTCCATAAAAAATATTTCATTTACTATCTACCCGCTACTCTTCAGTTTACCCGTGATCATATACGTATAAATAATATATGGTTTTGATTTTTATATTAGCTACCATTACATATATATGTTGCAAATATGAAATCTACATGGCTGTTACGTTTCTATCTATTTAATGCATTAAGATAACATTTTCGCAAAGTATAACAAAGTTACTGTCAAGTTAGCAGGATAGGTAAGTGGAAGAAACCAAAAGGTAGTGTGGAATAAGATCTATTACAGAGTGTCAGTAGAAATAATAAAAAAAAATGTTGTCCTTGCGCTCCAAGCACAAGTTAGATTTATTTCCAGCATCTCGTTTCAAATTTCGAAATTGACATAAACGTATTTTGTGACAGATGGCGTTGGGCCGTAAAATACTTAATAAAAAAAATATGGCGTTTGAGTAACGAAGTAAGAAAAAGTAATTTCATTCCACACATGTCAGTTCATGACGTCACAATGACGCCAATATCACATAGTATAAATATAAAAACTCATCTACACTATATTATATATGTATAAAATATGTTTATTTAATGTATTTACATAATTTTTATATGTGTTTTCATAAATTATAACTAATTTTAATTAGTTTTCCAAATTTGTGTATATTTACTAGTATGTATAGCCCGGATTGTACCGTATTTTGGTGGAAAACAACGGATATTTAGCAATGTGTTAGAGAGATCATTTTATATATTGTATTTATATAATTTCGGTATGATGGTAGATCACAGAGGGAGACAGTCAGTTAACACACAGTATTGGTATTCTGCAAGCTTTTTATCAACTAATTTCACTCATCGCTACACTCGAGGCACTCATAATCACGTGTCTTGAGTAATCATGCTCACTAAAATGTCCAGACTTGTGGCGGCGTGGTGGGCCGGGTCATTGGGCTCCCTAAAATATGGTCGCAGTGATGGCTGGCTCATCCGTCATACTCGTGAACGGGTGCTACTTGTAGGGACTGGTCTGCTCTTATCGCTATGAATGATTTCCTCTTATTAATTGTTTAACCAGTTGGTTGTATACTTAATATTTTGTCTATTATTTAATTGAATCAGTGCTAATTGGTAGTTTGTATTCACACATTTTAACTTAAAAATGTAACGTAACAATAAAATTATTTAAAAGAGCAACACGCAAGTTTCTTGCTCGTTCTTCTTGTGATGAGACAGCTTTCTGAATGAACAGTAGATTAAAAAAAACGTGATGACTATTCAAAAGTACTTCAATGTAAGTTTATTTGAATATGATTTTCTATTCTATTCTATTGACTTGCAAAATTTAAAGTTCCTACCGAGCTATCGAGTTTGCCTATATTTCTAATAAAAACACAAGTGCCTGTTTTACCTCCATCCCGCCTCGTGCGTGGCACAGCAGTTGCTATCGTGTTGTACAAAATGCCAATGTACGATCTCACCGCGGATACCGCTTTTGAATTTGTAAGCGATGCTTACAGAATAGCTCTACTGATCATAGAATGAAAACAGTGGCGTATTAATATCATAGAATGAGTGGCATCGATGTAGTACTTTTGTATTGTAATAAAACTAGAAGCCTTCTACTGAAGTAGAAATCATTTTTATTTAAAAAATGTTATTATAAGCACTTTGAAAAGTCATATATTTATTCTACCACTCATTCGGAACGTAGATTTGGAATGGATGATTCGGAAGAATATTAAAAAATTTAAATTCCTAATATTATCTAACATTTGTTCTTTTTTAAATAAGTATTATACAGGTTAACAATTTTCTGTGAATACAAACTGCCAAATAGCAAAGTTTACATAAGTATTTACTTGTTTTATTTTGAAAAATAAATCAGTCATAGTTATCAGAGCAGACATTAAGAACGGCACACGTTTACCCGTAAACAACATACTCGTAGTTAGGCGAAAAAATAAGATAATTCCATGACAGATAATGCAGACTTTTGTGAAACGCTCTTAGAGTTGTATTACTCAAATTCGAACTAGAGACCCACGCTAAGCCGACACCAATTAGCTTCGAAACATACTACCAATCAATAGCGGCCATTACTCGGCACGTTCTTTCACGAGCGATCGAAATAGCGTGCGTAATTGTGAATGATTTTCAATCTATATTTTCGATTTACTTTCATTTCAATTTCATTTTATATTCCACTAGACTTTATTATCTGAAGACACGTAAGTTTTATAAATTATCAATAATTATTTATTTCGGTGCTTTCACAGATATTTTTCGCAAGCATGCATACAACTCTTTTTCTTTTTCTATGATTGTTCCGCTTTGGTTAGAGATTTTGATATATTGTTTTGCAATAGACACGCCATTTTTACTGGCTAGTATGCCTGGATGTCCGCCATTTTGAAATGATCATTATTACAAAATGGCGCGAAATCACTCACGATTGAAGGACGCGAGAATGTGTGAGTTAGCCCCGCGCGCGATCTTGATTCCTGTCTGTATTTAGATACTCATTGTTTCCTACGTGAAAGAGCGTACGTTTAAAAGCAGCTATTGTCCCACTAGTGGGATCACGGCTATTCTAGAATTACTATGAAATAAAATATTGTGCTATTGGACTATATATGATTTGATACTAATATTGTTTTATATGTTTATATTGTGTGCTCAGTAGACTGCTAGAGCCTTGGCTGTGTCCAATTACGTCACCATTTACACTGAACTCATACAACACTATACTTGAAGTATACAAATAGTTTTTTTTTTCAACTACTCTAATGCTGTTAACCGCAGCTGGTCATTACAGCTTCACCGAACGATAGGGGACGAGTGCAGATGGCACTCCAAACTGTGTGCTGCAGCAGCGCAAAATGGCTGTAGCGTAGTGTGATTTTTGACCAGGGATCAAACTTTTTTTTCAGCTATAACCTTCAGTAGATATGAGTGCGCAACAGCTTAGATATATATGTAATACATAGAAGAGAGTTTGTCTATGATAAGGTGCAATAATAATGAAAACAAAAAACTAAATAAATCTATACTTAAAATTAAAAATGGTAAAGTTTCTGAGACTAGAGGGTAATATCTACTGAAAAAAGTAGAGTTAATATGCTTAAACTAAAATTGACAAAGTTTCATACAAACTTTCAACCCCTATTTTATCCCCTTGGGGGTAGAATTAGTCAAAATCTTTTCTTAGCGGATGCCTACGTCATAACATCTACCTGCATTCCAAATTTCAGCCCGATTCGTCCAGTGGTTTGGGCTGTGCGTTGATAGATCACTATTAGTCAGTCACGTTTGAGTTATATATATTTAGATTAAAACGGTATGGTCTCTATCTGGTCAATAATTTGTACTCGAAACTCTTTATTTTCCATAAGATTATTAGGCAGGACCGAGTAATGCAATTTTTATGTATAAATTCATTCTAAGCCATACTTCAAAGTGTTAAAATGACGTACAGTGTAGATAGTTGATAAATTATATTTTTAATTTGTTTTAATATTATAATCTGCGTGTACGAACATATAGTGTATTGGCCTCCCATTATCTTTATAAATTGTGACACAAGGTAATTGTATAACATTATGTATATATAAATATTATATACATATATATGTGGCAATAGAGGAGGAGACTTTCGTTGTCACATTTCAAAATGTTTATTTAATTTTTGATATGATGTTATTTCTATTCAAATTCAAATTCAAATTAAAAAATCATTAATTCATGTAGGACATATTTTAGCCGCTTATGAATTAAAAATAATTATTTTAGAACTGATGCTAGAATTTAAACACTTTAATATGTGACATCTCGCTATAGCGGTGAAGTCTCACACATGTGACAAGGACCAGAAAAGAGGTTACAATAATATTAGAACTGCTGATATAATTTAATCATTTTAATATATGTCTCGCTATAGAGGGGAAGTCTGACACATGTGACAAGGACCAGAAAAGAGGTAACAATAGTATTAGATCTGCTGATATAATATAACATATAATTTAATCATTTTAAAATGTGACATCTCGCTATAGAGAGGAAATCTCACACATGTGACAAGAAAATTGTACAATTATTTTACCGGTATACTCACTTCCTAAATAAAACAATAAATCATATATGTATACAACTACAATGGTGAGGATAAACATAGCTACAAAGAAGTAAAAAATATGTAACAATTTATGGATAGTCAGATAAAACAACTAAATGTTATATTTATATAATGTTTTATATTATTTACACAAGACTAATTTGTACTAATTGTGTAATTGCAATTAGGTGTAACGACAACAAAATATTAATGAAACAAAATAGTACTCTATTTTGTTTTTGATAAGAGAATATTGTCACGGAGTCAGTCATTCGAGTACTCATATTTAGTTAAGCTTATGTCTATAGCCAGTTAATTATCAATATAATATTGTTAAGGCCCGTTCATTGATCACGTGATGTATTTTAGCTTTTTTTTAAACCTACCCTCTTCCTCTTGGTGATATGTGGTGAGACTTAATGCCCAATTTACACTCAGCCCGAGTGGGCAGGGAAGTGAGCAGCGCGAGAGTGTAAACACGAGTGGAAACACTTCCCATGCCATTGGCGCTGCCACTCGCGCTGCCCGGCGCTCCCTCGATTGTCGGTTTTTCGTGCGCGAGTTAAAGGACTGGCAGCGCGAGTGGCTGAATGTAAACGTAGCACTAAACCTTTCCTATCTACCCAAGATAACGTGTATTTTTAGTACCTACAAAGATTCTTAAAGTTTTAAGAATACTACCTTCCAATACTTGTGTAAAGGATAATGTAATTGTATTCTAGAAAAGTCAAAGGTCGTGTCTACATGCCACCTTTCGGCTGTGATATGTTACTGCACCCCCCTTTCCCCTGATGAGGGGGGTTGAGCCTCACGTGATTCCTGGACGGCCCTTTCGCAATCGTTAGCTGCATGCACGGACGCGTGCCTAGTATATGTTTTGTACGTAACCGGCCATTCGTGTATATAGAGCCATATGTTTTTTTTACAATACAAAGTTATTTTATTCCATATAATAAATATGTCACTGCGACAAATAAACATATATAATAAATTCATATATACACGTCGCATGTATTATATATTAGAAAAAATTGAAGAATTCGTTAACGATAATAATGTTTTTGTTTTATTGACAAAATTATCTGATTACACTAGCGATTTCTATGTTGATTATCGGCTTCTTGTTATACTGTAATTATTTATATAAAAAAACATCTTTAAAAAGAGCAACACACTTTCTTGCACATTCTTCTTTGTTCTATACCGAATGAGTGGTAGAATCAAAATATAATCAAAATGCTTGTAATGAGTTTATTTATATATATATATAAACCTTCCTCTTGAATCATTCTATCTATAGCTGAAAACTGCATTCGACTTCGTTGCGTAATTTAAAAGATATAACGAACAGCAACGGCGGTTTGGTCAAAATAAAAATCATTTATTTATGTAAAACCTTTTAAACGGTTATTAACGTCAAGATTTTTAATTATTATATTTGGTTACCGGAATTGGACGGTAGATAAAAAATTGTTAAACTAAATTAACATTTTTTCTACCCTACTAGCAAGAAACTCAACTGAATTTTTCTTTTGTGGCGAATTTAGTATTATCACGCGGCAACACCGTTGCCTACGACAGAACAATAAAATAACAGGTCTGTCATTCGAGACCGAATCGCCTTCTTGTACATATACTAATTGTAAATAATTCTATATATTATAAATATGTAAATAGACATCACTGAACTCATCATTTCACCTCCTTTCCTGATGCTGCTTCTACATGAACACATAATCATAAATAATAGCGGCCCCATCTTAGCCGCTAAACTTTTTTAGGGTTGCATTTTTTATGCCGAATAAAAAAAAAGATTATTTTGTTATCATTATAAATAGGCGCTGTACTTTCATATATCCATAGTTCTATATTATATACATATTACTATTTAGATAATTTCATATCACTGCACTAAAGTCAAGGCATTAGCTAGTCGCGTCCGAAAGTGTGTTTCTCTAGGGGCGGGTCCACCCTGAGCACGGTGGAGGCCACCGCGAAGTACCCCTCGTAGTGCGCTGTGGAGGGCGTGGTGTCGCCGTGGTAGTGGCCGCCGTCCCCGTGCGTGCTGGACCCGTGGAAGTGCTGCACGCGAAGGTCCAGGTCCTGGCGGGAATGGCAACAACAATAATAATATATTAATCACAATTTTCAATCGTTCAACTCTTAAAAATTTCATAGCATATTATCTTTAGGAGGGTGGTGTCTGAGATACAGCTTGGCCTAGTTTAGACACTACTGCACTGGACTTGGTATTAAATATTTTTTAAGAACTGTGGAATATATATGAAAATGTGGAAAGATATTGTGCGGGTAGATATTTCTGTAGTCATATCTACTTGTATCCAGAGCCGTAAAACAAATAAATAAAAAAAAATTGCCAAATTTGTCTTCAGGTTTAAAGGGAAAACATACCACATTTCACCCGAGCGAAGCCGGGTTTTTATCTAGGTTATTATTTCCATATTTTCATATATATTCCACAGTTCTTAAAAAATGACGACGACGACTGTTCTTATGGAATATTAAAAGTAAGCAAGGCATAGATTTGTAAAGCTTAGTTCATTGTGTTTAATAAATATAGTAAATAAAAAGTGCAAGTGTTTATTTTTTTGTAAAACTTTAAATTGGGCTAAAAAGGACTTGTATCCAGAGCCGTAAAACAAATAAATAAAAAAAAATTGCCAAATTTGTCTCGCAATCGGCCAATTTCAGGTTTAAAGGGAAAACATACTCTTTTATCATAAAAAAGTGAGTCAACGACCGAAGAAAATGCTAGTGAAATGAAAAGATGGCGACTGCGGTTTGTTTGTCAGTGTCATTAGAATTTAACGAAATACTCCATAATCCGATTTTTGCGGATATATGTTGTCGACTCGAAATCAATATTTTTTTATGTTTACCTGTTATTCACATAAGGTTTCGTTCGAGTCTACCGTACACCTTGACGAAATTATTAATATATATATGGAACGTTAGTTAAGTCCATTTTGTTTCTGTTTTTTGCACAATAAACTTATTATTATTATTATTATTAATCATATACATGTCTTATTCTTTCTAATATTATAAATGCGAAAGTCACCCTGTCTGTCACGCTTTCACGCTAAAAGTACTAAACTGATTTAAATGAAATTTGGTACAGATACTAATAGACCAAATTTGGTCGCCGATGAATCAACACTAGGCTTCCGAGCTGTACCCGAACTCTAATTAACGCCTGATGATGCCTCGTTCAGAGGCGAAACACGTGTCGCGATATGGGTGTAGACTCAACAACGGTCGGAATTTGATCGCCACTGGAGAAGGTCGCCACTGGTCAGGTTTCCACACCGAATATTCGTAGTCTCACACATGTTAATTGTACTTGACTTTTGTACTTTAACTTCCGCAAAATAACACCCTAATTCGATTAAATTGGTACAGATAGTCTAGACTCTTAGAAAGGGCATATGAAATTTCATTGCAGTTCATTTCATTACATCATTAATACGAAAAAATGTAAGGGGTTGAAAGAAAACATGAAAGGTCGTCATTTTTAAAGCTAGAAGCTTGAAACTTATATTTTAGGCTGTTGATTAAATATAATTAGGGTAAAATTTTACCCTTAACGGGGTAAAATATAAATAGGGTAAAATTTTACCCCTACGAGGGAAAAATTTTACCCGTAAGTGGGTTAAAAAAAATAAGGGTAGAAAGTCTGTATAGAAATTCGTCATTTTTGAAGCTAGAATCATGAAACTGTTTTATTTGGTTTTTAGGTTAGACTGTTAAATATTTAATGCATAATCACTATTCTACGCGGACGAAGTCGCGAGCACTGCTATCTATATAATAATGTTGGCTGCAGCTGGCCTTTACAGCTTCACCGGGCACATCTGGAGTGCCATCTGACACCATCTGCACCATCAGCCGACCACTAGAGTGCAGATTGCACTCCAAACCAAAGGAAGGACTTATGGAGCGGCTGAAGGCCAACTGCCGCATAAATGATTTTATATTTTGATGTATCAGCTAATTGTCATTCCGGTAAACAAAGTGTGATATACTAACGAGGTCGCCGGTGACGAGCGTGCCCACGTGCACGACTGGCGCACGCATCTCGAAGAAATGCAGCCAGTTCTCTACATCGAGTTCACTGCACAGCGGCGTGCTGGAGAAGTCCGGCATCACGTGGTGCTTCAGGCGGCCCTCGTGGACTACGAACGTGCCGCCCAGACCTGACCAATATACATTATGTATACATATAAATAAAATTGGAGTGTCTGTTTGTAATATTGAAATAACCGTTTTTTACTACATGCATATGAATATTAATACGGCACATACACCAAAATAACATTTTTTACAATTTTTGTCTGTCTGCCTGTTTGTTCCGGCTAATCTCTGAAATGGCTGGACCGATTTTGACGGGACTTTTTTTGGCAGGTAGCTGATGTAATCAGGAGTAACTTTGGCTAATTTTATTTTAGAAAAATAACGTCAAATTCCACGCGGACGAAGTCGCGGGAACAGCTATTATATAATAACACAGCACCATCTAGTTCCAAGCTAAGCAGAGCTTGTGTTATGAGTACTAGACAACTAATACATTTTTTTTTGTAAATACATACATATTATACATAGATAACACCCAGACCGGTACAAACAATCATTCTAATGTATTCAAATGTTAGCAACGTGCGAGGAATCGAACCCGCGATCATCGAAAGTAAAACGGTGTGCTAAACCGCTAGACCACTAAGGTTGTCTATTACAATTTTAAGTGTTAGTTACTATAACCACAGATAATATATATATAATACAAGTACTGACCGACCACTTTGTCTCCATAATGGTTCTGCAGAGTCTCCCTGATCGATGTGATGAAGTTGGAGTCACCAGTTCTGGTCTTAGCTACTACCTTGATCACCTGTAAAGTTAATAATAAGTGTGGTATACATCTCAAAGCGTAACAAACCAGCAAAATGTTGCATATGTTATATATAAAATTCTCGTCTTAGAATGATAGTTACTATACGAATCAGCTTAAACAGATTTCTGTGAAATTATATGCATATTCAGTAGGTCTGAGAATCTATCTTTCATACCCCTAAGTGATAAGCGTTTCCCACCCCTAACATTTATTTTTTAGACAAATATGCACCTAATGTGCCATTAAAAAATACATACAACCCTAAATTTTCACCCTGCTACCACCACCCCTATTTTTTAATAGCGATTTTAATTTATATGGCAAAGCAACGTTTGCACGTACAGCCAGTGATAATACACACGCGAGAAAAAGTATGAAATCACTTGGAATTGATACTGCGCCGTCTTAATAAAGTTAAGAATAATAAAAATTTGAAAGGTAACATTGATAAATTAATACCAAATTTGAAAACACTTAGAGCAATACAAACAATCATACTTATTGTTCAAAATCTACCCGGTATCATCGTAAGCACAGATTATTATATTAGAGTCAGTTAGTTTGTGTTCCCGCGCTTTGCCTTCCCCTCCCTCACCTAGTACTGAACCGAACGTACAGCGGCCATGACGCGCGCGCGCATTGTGTTGTGAATTGAAATAAATTGGAACTGTGAAACCTACTGTGAAACTGGAAAGCTAGCTAAGATATCTTCGAGACCCTGAAGCCCAAGAAATCCGCAGAACCATACAGGTACGTGACTGACGTTTCCCTAACATTTTGGTAGCAGAGTAGTTTCCCAAACACTTATGAACACAAATGTTCGCACTATGCAAAGAATCGAACCCGCGACCTTTGGAAGCAAAGCGGTGTGTAGAACCGCTAAACCAACAAGGCCGTATATTAGATTGAAAGCTACTGGTTTTCAGAGCTCACCTTGCCCGGCTTCCCTTGGCTGAGCAGGAAGTTCCCTAGCAGCGCGGCGCGCGTCTCGTGCGCCGGTAGCGGTCGCTGCAAGTACCCGCTGTGACCTTTGGCAGCGCCCACCGGCTGCACAGTCACCGCGCGGGAGCCCTGCTCCACCGTGCCGTTACGGACCGTCAAATTTATCACGCCCTGCAAATATAAACTATTATAATAAAAAACTATTTATTTAATATTTCGGTAAACACGTTAAAGACCGCATTCCCACTGGTGGGTCAGTCCGTAACGAAAGTAAAACACGTTGGGACCGGGTGATCACCCCCACGGGTGACCACACCCCACTTTAATTGAAATAAATCTAGGGGTTAAATAATTTCTACCTGAAATTATTGTACACTAAAGACATTTCAATAATAATATACGTAATTAAGAATAAAAAAAATTATTGTCTCTACACCCCTTGTAAAAGGGACCTTGATTACGTAAACATTTCTCAATTAATATATTGTTTTTTCAAACACAATGTGATGGTTGCCATTCGTGTAAAAAAGTAAATAACTATCGATGACGTAATCATCATCTAGACTTTACCCCCCATGTCATCCCCTCCCCCCCCGCCCCGTACTTACGTAATACTTGAACGGCCCCTTGATTAGTAAACATGCGGTCTATAACGTGTTAATGGGTCTATTTTAATTAATATATTGTTTTTTTCTTAAAATAAAAAAAAAAAAAAAACACAATGTGATGGTTGACCTACTTACCAATAGGCTCACAAAATGTCGTGTAAAAAATTTTATATATAACTATCGATGACGTAATCATCATCTAGTAACTGTAACTTTGTGACTTTGTTTTGTTGTTTATTTTTGAAAAGCAAATTTACACAAATAAACTAAATTTTGTTAGGTTATTAAAAAAGAGGTAGTTAAACAATGTAGCATTTATTCATTCATTTATTTATGAATAGCAATCTATAAGGTTACTATAATTACGGACCCTGTTGAGCACAGCAAGCAAAAGAGAAGAGAGGACGAGTTTATTGTGTGTTTAGTAATTAGAAAATTGGATAATCATCAGCACCGCTTAATAATCTCTACATTATATCTAACTCATCATTACATCATGATAATGACACACCTCACAATTGACGTTGAAGGCGGGCCATGGTCCTGCTCCAGCACCGATGATGTAGGCTGGGTCCCGGCGCAGGTGTTTCGCGAGCAACGCCAGGTCGTACAGCTTGTCGCGCTGCACCAGCGGTAACAGGTACTGCGTACCGCCCAACTCGATCAGTGTCTCATCACCACACAAACCTGCATAAGTGGACAAATGACGGTACCAAAGAAACCTAGTGACAATTTATAATTAAAAACAATTACACTCTTATTATAAGTCACAGGTTCGGCCGCACATGGAGTACTGCTCTCATCTTTCGACAGGAGCACCTGGATACCAGCTCGGTCCTTTTGACTCGGTTCAGAGACGAGCTATGAGAATTGTCGATGATCCCGATCTCTCTGGCGGTATCGAACCGCTTAGCTTGAGGCGAGACTTCGCTTCGCTTTGTGTGTTCTACCGATTATACAACGGACTGTGTTATGAGGAATTGTTCGACATGATGCCTACGGCTACCTTTTACCATCGCTCGCCATCGACAGGAAATTTATCCCCACACGCTAGAACCTAAGTGGTCTCGGACAGTGCGGTTTCAGAGGAGCTTCCTCCCGCGTACACTTAGATTGTGGAATGAACTTCCTGCCGAGGTTTTCTCACGAGATTACAACAAGGAGTTTTTCAAGACGGGTATATAAAGGTTTTTAAGGGTCGGCAATACGCACGTGACACCCCTGGTGTCTCAGGCGTCCATAGGTTACGGTAACCATTTACCATCAGATGGGTCGTATGCTTATTTGCCACCTTAGTACCTAGTACAAAAAAAACAATTCGTTTGTAATTGTTGATAATGTTACAGTGCACGCTGGCTGGAAACCAGTGCTTAATTAGAACCTCAGACAATTCACACAACCCCATCTAGTCCCAAGCTAAGCAGAGCTTGTGTTATGGGTATTAGACAACTTATATAAATACATAGATTTTATTTTGTAAATACATACATAATATACATAAAAAACACCCAGACCGATACAATGTCAATGACCGATGTTCCGAATTATATCATTTACATAACTTAATTATACAACTACAACCTAAAATTAAAAAGCTTAAAAAATATAATACAATAACTAAAATATATTATTAAAAGGGGTCCCTTTAGACAAGGTTCAGAAGATACTGGCAGCGTTCCCTCTTTGAATAGCTAGACTAATTCTTTGTCCGAGGTAGCTGCCAGTTCTTCGGTTTTCTGTGATGTCGACTAACCTTTTCGTTATTTCTTTGAAAAGTCTTATAGCGCTAAGAACCTAAAATACATATATACATTATATTTGTATAACTAGCTGTACCTACCTACTTCGTTCGCTTGGAATTTAACTTTAATTTTCTAAAATAAAAGTTGCCTAAGAAACTACCTGCTAAAAAAAGTCCTGTCAAAATCTGTCCAGCCATTTGAGAGATTAGCCGGAACAAACAGACCGACAGATAGACAGACAAAAATTGTAAAAAGCATTTTTTTTGTGTATGTACCGTATTTATATTCATACGCATGTAGTAAGAGAGACGGTTATATCAATATTGCAAACAGACACTCCAATTTTATTTATATGTATAGATTTAATATTTATTTAAATACAAACAATGTATGATTAGATAAAGTGTTCTGTTTCACGTTGGGACCATATATCACACTATGTACCTACACTTATATTTATCTATGTATTATATTAATTTGTGTTAATTACATAACAACAAGTAAAACACATTGAACATATAACCCGCATAGGGATGCCACCCCTCCGGTCGATCCCCCGTCCAATTCAAACGGGGATCGATATTACGACGGCCTGAGCCGAGGTTCGAACCCCTAGTGGTGCCCTCAGACTAAAGTCGTATCCGTCAGGCGGGAGTTGGCCTTCAGCCGCTCCATAAGTCCTTCCGCGGGTTTGGAGTGCCATCTGCACTCGCCCCCTGTCATCCATGTTCATGCATATGAATATAAATACGGTACATACGTCAAAATAACATTTTTTACAATTTTTGTCTGTCTGTCTGTTTGTTCCGGCTAATCTCTGAAATGGCTGGGCCGATTTTGATGAGACTTTTTTTGGCAGGTAGCTAATATAATAAGGAGTAACTTAGGCTACTTTTATTTTAGAAAAATAAAGTTAAATTCCACGCGGACGAAGTCGCGGGAACAGCTAGTATAAAATAAAATCGCGTCTGTCTGTTTCTCCACTAGTTTGGCAATGATATATACAAGTAAATAAAATTAAAGTGGCTATTTGTAATCTCAAATTAACAGTTTTCCCCAAATACATATAAAAGTATAAATACGGAACTTAAGTACATTAAAAAATTAATATTAAAGGTTTGGCTGTTTGTCTATTTGTTCTTGCTAATCTCTGAAATGGTTGGACCTATTTTGATGGAATTCACTCAAAGATGGCTAATGTTATGAGGCATAAATTATGCTACTTTTATTTTAGAATTAATTTTAATAAAAAAAATATAATTATAATTACATATGGTTATTTATTTACCTGGTGATGTAAGATTAAACGGCTCCTGCCTGAGATCAGGACAGTCCACTGCGGACACGCTCACAGTCTCGAAATTATTCTTCAGCCCACGAGATAACACTGGAAAAGAGAAAATATTGAAAAAAGACATATTATAGAAAGATAAAATATTGAGATTATACCTTGCAAAAAAAAATGAATACTTCACTATCCTATTTTCTAGATTTCAAAACTTCTCCCTCTTTGAAGTTGGTATTTTTTTTCATAAATGTTCTTGTGTTGGCAAAACATCTAAATGACACATGACTGACGACAAACTGATACGAATATAATTATTCGGGAATCGAACCCGCGACTTTCGGAAAGTAAATCGGGGGCTGTTCAAGTATTACGTAAGCAGATTTATCACAATTATTTACCCCTCATCCCCCGTTGTCAGCAAAAGTAAGCAAAGCTCTTACCCCTCCCCCCATGCTTACGTAAACATTTCTCAATTAATGTATTGTTTTTTTAACAAAGACAATGTGAGGGTTGCCATTCGTGTAAAAAAGTAAATTACGACCGATGACGTAATCATCATACAGACTCCCCCACCCCCATGTCATCCAAAATAAGCAAAGAAAAGACCCCCCGCCCCCCTATAGTGCTTACGTAATACTTGAATGGCCCCTCGCTACCAAGTGATTGTCAACAAGAAAGAATGTAGGTACAAAATAAATACTCACCTTCAGCCACTTCGTTCAAGTCAGGTTTGTAGAATGACTTCTCCTTGATTACTATTTTGTTGTAGTCCACTGACGCCATGCTGTCATTACAAATTCAAATTAATTCAAAAAATATTTTGTCTCACTCATTCGAATAAGGAAAATTGTATGTACAATAAGGACAAAACACTACATTTATGAAATTTTGAGTTTAACTTTATTTTTCTTAAATAGAAGTGGCCTAAGTTGGAGTAACTTATTACATCAGCTACCTGCCAAAAAAAGTCCCGTCAAAATCGGCCCAGCCATTTCAAAGATTATCCGGAACAAACCGACAGACAAAAATTGTAAAAAATGTTATTTTAATGTATGTACCGTATTTATATTTAAATGCATGTAGCAAAAAGCGATTTGTGCCTACACTTGTAATATTTCTGTCGACCCTTGAGACCCTTCCATTAGTATACGCCTCCACTAACATAGATTTAAGTTAAGTGTAAAATCAGTCTACGTCCCGACTCCGCGTCGACTGTACACGTTTTTAACAAGCCATGTAGAACACTACTTACTTAATAATTTATAATAAATCGTGCAATCATTTTACCGGTATACTCACTACCTACATACTACAATAAATATTATATTACGTAGCGCCACCTCGTCACAACATATATAACGCTACACTGATGAGAATAACCACCTCGCTACAGATTATTTCAATTACAAACAGACACTCCAATTTTATTTATACATATAAATAACAAAACATACCTCAATTAAAACAAAATCTATAATCACAGCACTAGAAAAACTATTCTTTATATTTATAGATACTAAAACATGCCTCAATTAAAACGAAATCTATGTTCACAACACTAGAAAAACTATTTGGTTAATTTAATTCACGAGGCAATGAACTGTACACGTGAACGTGAATTGTTGATACTAGTTGGTAATAACAATGTCGTCAGACCGACCGGTTGGCTTTCACTCACCTTACACCTGTATTTACCTCCAAGGCCGCTGTATTTATTGTTAACATTGTAATATAACATAACAAACAACTGTACATTGTTAGATTGTTAAATTTTAAACAGGAAAATGTAATACATACGTGTTTTTTTACTGTATATGTGTCGGTCTTGATGAGGCGCTCACGCCGTCTGGCGGTCGTTTGATTGTCACTCGTTATCATTCCTCTGATTTGTTCTAATTGTTTGTTTTAAAATCACACTTGGTGTTAGGGTCACGTTGTATTTATTACATAACACTAACATGACGCCCGGGCTACGCACGGTGCAATTACTGTACGGATCGTTAATGTTTTGGTGTATGAAATTGATAACATGGGCTATATTATCTATGTATGTTGTAAGTTTGTTTAAAATTGGTTTAGTATTTTTTGTTTAGTAGAAACGAAAATCATATCTTTATTCTTTAGGTACTAGTTGACCCGCGCAACGTCGTCTGCGTTTCATTTTCCCACCTTTTGCAATCGTTTTCATTGCAGCTCCGCTCCTATTGGTCGTAGCGTAATGTTATATAGCTTAAAGCCTTCCTCAACAAATGGACTATCCAACACAAAATTTTTCAATTCGAACCAGTAGTTCCTGAGATTAGCGCGTTCAAACAAACAAACTCTTCAGCTTTATAATCTTAGCACAGATAACATAATATATTAGTATAGATTTTTAGAAATAATAGATCATAATTGCTTAGCGATTCATAACAAGTGCAATAAAATATTCTATGTAGGTACTTGCCAATTTCTGTCATTTATTTTTACATTCATTATCTTTCCAGTGATGGTAATTACCCCGTATCGTAAAATACAAACGGGGATCAAAATTATTACAACACTACCGGAGCCTCAGGCCTTAGAAGTCGTCTCCGACAGGCTCAGGCAGGAGTTGGCCTTCAGCCGCTCCATAAGTCCTTCCGCGGGCTTGGAGTGCCATCTGCACTCGCCCCATAACATTATGTGAAGTTATAAATGTTATGTTTTAAGTTAATGTTTTTGTAATTAAGGATTTCTGATTCCTGCGACACAAGCCCTGAGCTTAGTGCAGGGATGGCTGTTAATTGTCTTGTCTACAACCATTAATGTAATGTGTACAAATAAATAAATAAATAAATAAATAAAGGCCAGCTGCGGTCAAAAGCATTAGTATTAATTCGTAATAAAGAAACTGTCTAACTATTAATATTACTTGAGTTTAAATTTTCATTTAACATAGTTAGTAACAACCTTATAAACTTTTTATCGAATTTAATCTAAAAATAATACAAACATGAGAAGAATGATACATAAGTAATCAACATAAAATTATATTTGTTCATTTTATACTCAGGTTATTTTTATAAAAAACATCGCAATACTTAATGCCACTTAAAAACAAACAGAATGTAAAGAATTATTGTTATCTTATATAAAAAAGTCTCAAGTCAGTGTTTGTAGCTAAACTCCTCCGAAACGACTTTAGCAATTCTTATGAAATATTAAAATTGAAAAAAAAGTACACAAATTACGTGTGTATATGTATATTTGTCGAAGCATCTACTAAATAGGTCCGTGCTCAGCGTAATGCTGCAGCGGCTGGAGCGCTGCAACACTGTAAAATATTTTTCATAAAAAAAACATTTTGTGTATTTTTTAATGATCTGCCATTAATATATACATACACTTAATTTTTCACCCTTACACCATCAACCCCTATATTTTTTAATAGCGTATTAATTTTTTAGAAAAAAATGTTTGCCGGTTCAGCGACTCTTATATACATAATTACAGTGTCACAGTATTAGTAGATAAAACTCCGAAACCTTGTTACCGATTCTCATGAAATCTTGTGTATATTCAGTAGGTATGAGAATATGACATAGAATATTTCTCAAATGTTTTTATTTATTTCATGGACAAAATTATATATTTAATTTCTTTATGATTAAAAATACATACCCGTTTCATTCACCCCACTACCATCAAACCCTATTTTTAAGTAACAATATTAGTATTTTAATAATTTTATACTATTGGCCATCAAGTAAGCATGTTTATGGCCCAATGGCAGACGGACTTGCCTACTTCTTCTATAAACATATGAATATATACATATGAAACATATATATATATGAACCCAAAATCTTACCACACATTTATAAGGAACTAACAGGAAACTATTAATTAAAATGTATTACGAATATAATCTATATTTAATGAAATACTACTTTTTTATTATTTAAAATAATATCTGTCGCTTTATTTTATAACCTGTTTGTGTATTCCTGAGTTTTTTTTAACCCTTTTAGTGCCATGTATTGTTCACAACTTGTGAGAACAACGCGACAGCGCTCCTTGGCACTGAAAGGGTTAAAAAACTCAGGAATACACAAACAGGTTAAAAATAATAAGACATAGGCCAAAAGGATATCTTCGCATAGGAAGCGACAGATAATACTTTAAATAATAAAACAAAATACTACTAACCCTGCAAATAAATAAAACAATTTCCCAAATATCAGTAATTTATTATTGCCAACAACTTGGTAATTATAAATACAAACGTAGCTGTCTATGAGAAACCTAAACATAATATATTACAAACATAGAACCACAGATAAAACAATATTACATAATAGAGAATTCAACTTTAGCTTAAAACAATAATTGCATTAAATTAACGCAAAATTATACAACAGTTAACCAGTTTCAGACCTTTCAGGTACATTTAAACTTAAATTCTCAATTCAGAAACAATTGTATGCTTTGGTATCTTGTTACTAATACACTAGTTCACATATAAACAAAATGTAAGTATTATTTGTCACTTTCTATAACAAACTCATAACCAAGATATAAAGTGTAAGGGATCTATGTATATAACTCTGTTGCAATGATTTCTTATTAATATTTATAATTATAATAAGACTTTGATATTCTTAAGCCGTTGGAAATAAAAATTCTTAGATTATTATAACAAAAGACAAGTCATCATCATCATCATCATCATCATCATCATCATCATCATCATCACCATCATCACAGCGCCATCTTGTCTCAAGCTATGCAAAGCTTGTATTACGAGTACTAGATAACTAATACAAACACTTCAAACTATACATAGAAAACACTCAGACCGGCAAACAATCATACTCATGAATACAAATGTTTGTACCGTGCGAGGAATCGAACCCGCGGCTATCGGAAGGCGATGTGCTACACTGTTAGACCACCAAGACTGTCAAAATTCATTATGTTTACAATAAAACAATAGTAACAATAAAAGAAAATAATAATCTTTGGTAAATATTTCATTTACATTGAAAATGTTCGTTTATTTTTTAAATTATGCTTTTGTTTCCCATAGACGCTGCCCATGATCTTATTTGAGTATTGTTTATTTTATATTTGTTCTATTATTTCCTTACTTGCTCTATGATTGTGGCTTACAATTTAAATTGTTCGTATTACGACCATGAACTTGTCTAAGAAAGGTACAAAAAAACGTTATAGTTTAGTAGTAATTGTAACAACAACGAATATATATTAGAAAACATTATCAGCAAAGTCAACATTTTGCATTTCTCATTGGTCAACAGTTAAATAAATAAATAAATCCAGACTAGTGCGAAACTAAACTAATCCACATGTAAATTACAACCTTGAATAACAATAAAAAAAACATGTAATTCGTTGCATACAAGAACAAAACAGAGTAAATTAGAATTAAGATTTCCTATGGAAATTAGAATTAAGATTTCAAGAAGAAGATCTATAGTCAAGTAAGAAGTGTGTGTTATAAAAAAAAAAAAGAAGGAAATCTATAGTCTATGAAACTAAATAATATACCATAAACCCACAGCCTCGAGGCTTCTAATAAAAAATATATTAATTTTATGAATAAATCAGTCCCTTTGCGATATATCACAGCCCGAGAATGTTCGTTCCACGAATTATTCACTATTCACGCGTTACACAAAATATATTCATATTCACATAGATTTATTCAAAATATAATTAATATATTTATATATACATTACTAGCTGTGATCGCGAAATTTATAGCCTATATGTGATTCTGATGTATTAGTTACATTACTGAAAAGTTTCATCAAAATCCGTTCAGTAGTTTTTGCGTGAAAGAGTAACAAACATCCATCCATACTCACAAACTTTCGCGATTAGTATAATATCTATATTTGAACACATTCAATCTACAATACATTATCCAAGAATAGGGCAATTGAATGGGACATTGAAGTCATACATATTGTTAGAGTTCACATAAATATTGTAGAAAAAATCTGATATTTTAAAAAGATATTAAAACAAGGTAGTTTGAAGTGATTAGTAGTAATGAAGTACCCAATGTAAAGATTATTACAAATATTGTAAATAGCGCCATCTAGTATTTATAGACCGACCTACTACATTGACTTCGGTCTATAGATACGGAGGTCGGTAGTTGGGTGAGCCGCGGCATTCAGTCGAGGAGCGCAGAGCGTGCCGGTTGTGTTTTGGATACTATAGTGAATTGTATTAGAAATGGGTTTATCCCGGTCTTAGTTGGGCCTGGGGGGAAGCTGCAAGTAGTGAAGGTGAGTGTTAATGCATTCTAAAAGGGCCTTTTAAACCTACACCCGTGTCACAAGTCACGGGCGCTCCTTAGGGTTTCCTTTGGCTTCAAAGCCTAAGTCGTCATCATAATTACTGCTTCTTACAATATACATACAAACTTATACCGCATCATTACTTAACATCAGGTGAGATTGCGGACAAACCCGTTCCAATTGTCTAGTGGGTTAAACAAATGAAAACTGCACTCGCATCGGATGAAGGGTCCTTACATTCAATTTATTGTTTTTCATCTAAAATACCTATATACTCAATCTCCCACCCCTAACCCCTATAGTAAGGCAATAATGGGGGTGAAACCCCTTGATAAAAACATTTTTTCTCCGTACCGATTCCGTACGGAGAAAAAACAATTTTAATCTTTATGAAATTGAAACCATATATTACTTTCGATAAACTACTTATAATCATTTTTTTTTATTTTTGCGATATGAAACTGTAAAAAACGAGTTCTATACTTTTTAGGGGTGGTTTTATATACCAACCCCTAAAGTGACACCTACCAAAAAATATATCTTATTTGTTAATTAGTTAGCTATATTCATCAAGAGACGCGAGTGCAGTTTTCGTATGCTAACCTTTAGATATTAAAAAAAATACTTCAATAGAGCGTATATCTAAACTTTTATATAAATAAACAAATAATAACATCCATAGTCATACCTATTTTAGTTTTTTTTTATACCACTTAGGTGGCAAACAAGCATACGGCCCATCTGATGGTAAACGGTTACCGTAGCCTATGGACGCCTGAAACACCAGGGGTGTCACATACGCGTTGCCGACCCTATAATAGTTACAGTTCGGTACTTGTTTTATTAGTCTATTTCTTAATTTGATCGTACTTGGCAACACTAAATGACATGAGCTTTTGCCGACGCAATGAGAAGGATTATGATTTCAACCGGTATGTATGTTCATCTATTCCCTCATAACTTCCGCCACGGCTTCGCACGGGTGAATGTTACATCACATAATTATTACATAGTATAAAACAAAGTAATCGCTGTCTGTCCGTTCCTATGTATGCTTAAATCTTTAAAATTACGCAACAGATTTTGAAGCGGTTTTTTAATAATAGATAATGTGAACAAAGTCGCTGTAGCTGTCGGACAGACAGCTACAGCGACTTTGTACTCGTATATAGCGTCCCTATATACGAGTATGTTTAAATCTTTAAAACTACGCAACTGATTTTGAAGCGGTTTTTAATAGAGTGATTCTAGAGGAAGGTTTATATGTATAATACATGTACACCTAGGCGAAGCCGTGGCGAGTAGCTAGTTACAAATCATTGAATATTTCAGCTTTTCTGTGCCATAATATGTATATATTATATATACAACCTTCCTTTTAAATCACTTTTATCTATTCCTGAAAACTGTATTAAAATCCGTTGCGTAGTTTAAAAGATCTAAGCGAACAGACTGCGTAAACGACTTAATTTTATACTATGTAAAGATTAGATGTCATATTAAATTTAACATGACGCCTTCTAGAAGACAGAAATAAATAAACACTACTTTAATTTTTCTATATAAGACGTGTGATATCCAGCTAAGTAGAGTTTGAACTGTTAGTTGCCTATTGCTAAACATATTTCAATACATAATATACATCGAAAAACCAGCCAGACAAATACAAACAGACAGTTTAGAATACAGATATACTGAAAGAGTGACTATCGCAGATCGTCACTGTGTAGGAACATTATATATCTAATCGACAACATATATCAGACAATTCTTATTTACAATTACACATAATATATTGTACAATATTCTTAAATATTTATATCTGAGCTTCAATAAATATACACATATATATTAAACTAGAGGAAAGTATGTAAAATCACTATGATATATCACATGAACTTCGACACTGAACGGTACATACAGATGTTGTTTATCTGTTTTTTACTACAGCATATCATGACCGTACACAGATACGTTTTAATTTATTGGAAATTTTATAAGGGATAAGAGAAATTGTCAAATATTTTCAATCTGCTTTCAACCTCTCTTTCATCTGGCTTTTTTGTATCTGCCTCTTTTTTATGTAATTGGAATAACAAACTGAGGGGCTACCTGATGGTAAGTGGCAGCCGTCGTCTATATACATGAACAGCACCACGGACAGAATATCATCATGTGACACCAGTTGGAGCATACATGTATGTCCGGCTCCGAAGGACCAAAATATCATACGTCCATATCCTGTGATTCTCCGTATCGTGACTGCTACTTTCTCTTCCACTTTCTATCTCCATGTTTCAGTAGCTGAACAATCTGCTTCCGTCGTAAAAGAGAGGTGGAATTTTTTTTTTTTATAAAACATTTTTTAAACAATTCGGGAAGACATATTATCGACAAATTTGCCGATTCACATTACCGAAATCATTTGATATGACACATATGGGTATGATAGAAAGAGATGGTAATATTTATTACATGTTTTGTGGAGTTTTATATTTGACATATGTTTATATCTCAGTCTTGAAAAGAACTCGGACAGACAAAGTACACGAATACAGTTAAGTCTCATACACTTTCAACCAAAGCGTTCACGCTAGATATGTTTATACATTTTAATATAACGAAAACAATTCTACTACTATATACACATTGAAACTAATTGCATTGATATATGAGCGCGTTAACAGGTTATGGGCCCTGTTAACTCGTAATGTAATCCGGTCTCGAAGGACCAATTATTACTGTCATTGGATTGTGTTTAGAGACTCGTGGTGTACCGCGGGCCGGTGCTTCGGCTACAGGTCGGCGTGCGGTAGCAGCGTGTGGCGGTGCTCGTGGTACAGCTGCCGCGCGTATGCGGCGTGGCGCGCCACCCACGCGGCCAGCTCCGCGCTGTCGCACTGCACGCGCGGCCGCCGCACGCCCTCCGCGCCCCCCGCGCCCCCCGCTCCCGCCGCCTCCGCGCCCCCGCGCACGCCCAGCTCCACCAAGTGCGCCCCGTCCACCGTCACCGCCGAGCACGACACCAGGTTGCTGTACATATATATGGACTATTCACCGTCCAGCCACGGATACGAAAACGAAATGTATTTGCGAAAAAAATGTCGAAGATAATGTGTAAGTAATTTACGACATTTTAACATGTTGGTAAAATATTTGAAAGTTATGTTTGCACTATAAAAGATAATGAAGCTTGATGTTGTACCTATACTATTTATTTAAATGGTCACCTGTTAAATATAAATATTTATTTCGATACAGTAGATTCAGTTCAATAATTGTAAATTTCGCTAAATTTGAAACATAATTGTAAGGTCTCTTACGACTCAGGACACTAATTTTTTTACCTCGTAATCGCAATAAATTAAGACGCAATCTCGCGTCAGCGTACGAGATCCTCGCGGGTGGAGCGATGGGCTGTACCTGAGATGCGTCTCCATGACGACTTGCGGCGCGGTGTGCTTGCAGGTGATGATGCGCAGGTGGGTGTCGGAGAGCAGCGCGCGGATGTCGTGCGGCGAGTCGCGCACGATGCGGTACGCGAGGAAGTGCTCGGGCGCGGCGGCGGGCGGCGCCAGCGCGGCCAGCAGCGCCGCGCCCGTGGCCTGCGCCGCGCAGTACCGCGGCAGCAGCGCGCCCGCGCCCCCCGCCGCCCGCGGGCCCCGCACGCGCCGCGGCACCCACCGGTCCGACCTAAGCACACACACCGACCTCAGCTCGCCACCGACACCAACGATCCCGCTCGAAGGACCAAAATGTCCTTTAAGATGGTGTGTGTATGACGCTTTAGAATTTAGATATTTGTACTACTTCATCGGAAACTTGGCTTAAAAAGATACAGTCGAGAGAGACAATAGAAATGTATTTTTTTTTCAGACTACTCTAATACTATAGGCCGCCGCGGGCCCCGCACGCGCTGTTGCAACCACCGATCCAACCTGCGCACCCACATCAACCTCAACTCGCCACCACCAACACCAATGATCCCGCTCGAAGGACCAAAATGTCCTTTGAGAAGGTGTGTGTGTATGACGCTTTAGGATTTAGATATTTGTATTACTTCATCGAAAACTTGGAAGCTTCAAATGATACAGTCGAGAGACAGAAGTGTATTTTTTTTTCAGACTAATCTAATACTGTTGGCCGCAGTTGGCCTTTATAGTTCTCCGAACGATAGAGAACGAGTGCAGATGGCACTCCAAACTCGCGGAAGAACTTATAGACCGGCTGAAGACCAACTCCCGCCTGACGGATGCTATTTTAGTCTGAGGGCACCGCTAGGAGTTCGAACCTTGACTCAGGCCGTCGTAATTTCGATCCCCGTTTGAATTGGACGGGGGAGCGATCGGAAGGAATATATTTTATTAAAGTGTTTCGGCCTTATATACGAACTAGTTTTTGCCCGCGGCTTCGCTCGCATTAATTTATCCCCTTAGGGGTGGGATTTATCAAAATTCTTTCTATGGGGATGCCTACGTCATAGTAGCTTTATACATGCAAAATCTCAGCCCGATCGGTTTAAAATTGACAAAGTTTCATACAAACTTTCATCCCCTATTTTATCCCCTTGGGGGTAGAATTAATCAAATTACTTTCTTAGCGAATGCCTACGCCATAACATCTACTTGCATGCCAAATTGCAGCCCGATCCGTCCAGTGGTTTGGGCTGTGCGTTGATAGATCACTATGTCAGTCACCTTTGAGTTATCATTAGATTTAGACTTGTCACCGGTGCGTGCGTGCGTGTGCATGGTGTATACATGCACCAGTGACAGCTGCGTCGATAAGCGTTACATATTCTAGAGGCAAAGAGTTCTGCGAAGGGCCATTGCGAGGACTAAAGGTGGCACATTGTATAAGGCTATAGTCCAATTATTCAGTTTTAATCGGTATCTGATATGCATTAGTTTATTACAATAATACTCATTGTGAAATGAATAATGACGACTACGTTTAATTTAATAATACAGTATAAAATCTCAAAAACACGAAAATGTATACCTAATTCATCAAACGAAATGTTCAAATGTAATTAATAAAATAGTCTATAAATTGATTACCGTCTGCTGGTGTCCCGTAAAGCAGAGGCCGTCTCTGCAGCCAGGTCGAGGACACCGATGACCGGCTTGGTGACGGTACCTACGAGGCCCTTCCCCACGCCGACCAGGAATCCCGGTAGGCCCTCTTGAGTGGCCCCTTCGTAACTGTGCTTAACTAGTGATGTCATACCACCTAGTAGCAACAAAAAAGATGGTTTACATTACACATACTCGTGAACGGGTGTTGCTTGTGGAGACTGGTTTGTTCAGGTTACGAACACTGATTAGACTTTGCTTTTGCAATAACATATGCTGGTGGGAATTCTATTCTCCCAAATTTGAATTAAAAAAATAATCTGTATTATTGCAGCACGTACGTACGTACGTACCGAGCAGGCCGAGGCCGAGTCCTCGGATGCCGGCGGCGAGGTGAACGCCGGAGGCTGCGTGTCCTCATGCGTACACTAACACAGTACACAGTACACAGTACAGCACAGTACGTACCGAGCAGGCCGAGGCCGAGTCCCCGGATGCCGGCGGCGAGGTGAGCGCCGGAGGCTGCGTGTCCTCGTGCGTACACTAACACAGTACACACAGTACACACACAGTCCCCGGACACAGGCTGCGTGTCCTCGTGCGTAACACAGTACACAGTACACAGTACAGCACAGTACGTACCGAGCAGGCCGAGGCCGAGTCCCCGGATGCCGGCGGCGAGGTGAGCGCCGGAGGCTGCGTGTCCTCATGCGTACACTAACACAGTACACAGTACACAGTACACAGTACACAGTACACAGTACAGCACCGTACGTACCGAGCAGGCCGAGGCCGAGTCCTCGGATGCCGGCGGCGAGGTGAACGCCGGAGGCTGCGTGTCCTCATGCGTACACTAACACAGTACACAGTACACAGTACACAGTACAGCACAGTACGTACCGAGCAGGCCGAGGCCGAGTCCCCGGATGCCGGCGGCGAGGTGAGCGCCGGAGGCTGCGTGTCCTCATGCGTACACTAACACAGTACACAGTACACAGTACACAGTACACAGTACACAGTACACAGTACAGCACAGTACGTACCGAGCAGGCCGAGGCCGAGTCCCCGGATGCCGGCGGCGAGGTGAGCGCCGGAGGCTGCGTGTCCTCATGCGTACACTAACACAGTACACAGTACACAGTACACAGTCACAGTACAGCCCAGTACGTACCGAGCAGGCCGAGGCCGAGTCCCCGGATGCCGGCGGCGAGGTGAGCGCCGGAGGCTGCGTGTCCTCATGCGTACACTAACACAGTACACAGTACACAGTACACAGTACACAGTACACAGTACAGCACAGTACGTACACGTACACAGTACGTACCGAGCAGGCCGAGGCCGAGTCCCCGGATGCCGGCGGCGAGGTGAGCGCCGGAGGCTGCGTGTCCTCATGCGTACACTAACACAGTACACAGTACACAGTACACAGTACACAGTACACAGTACACAGTACAGCACAGTACGTACCGAGCAGGCCGAGGCCGAGTCCCCGGATGCCGGCGGCGAGGTGAGCGCCGCCGGCCGCGCTTCGTATGCGCCGCCGGGTTTCCTCGTGCGCCTCGTCGCTCACCACGCGCTCCAGCCCATCGCCCAGCGACTCTATGGACCGTTCATCATATTAATCAAATTTCACATGCCTAAACCAATCAGATGGAACTATTTTCTGCTACAGAGAGACGTAAAAATTTACTCATATCTCCCCTAAAACTGTCAGTTATGTTGGCAGGATAGCAATGAAATAGGGCATGGAAAGCACAACGACTTACTAATTACTTCACTTAATTTTGTGGAGGTATACATCTAGTTAAATAATGTTCGAGTTCTAGCATAATAAGCTACCATAATAACATAAATAACTCGTCCAAAAAGTTATATTCTCAACGTGATCCGACCGTCATACTAGTGAACTGACCTGTGACCTTGGCGGCGGAGTTGGAGATGCCGTGGGTGACGTTCTTGAACAGCGCGCCGACGTTCCCCTCGAACAGCAGCCCCGTGACCCCCTCGGACACGTCCGCCACGAACCCCAGCGGGTTGCCCAGGAAGTCCACGGAGCCCAGGATCTTAGCCGCCTGCCACTTCAACTCCTGTAAATGGATCATAGTAAATATTACAAAAATCACGTTCGCAGGTTACATTGTGGTACAATATGAACATTCCTAAGTGCGTAGCGTCTCTTTACTCAAATGCATTTATTAATGTCCTCTGCTCATCTATGTTTAATTTCTTTTTGTAACATTTGTTTTACATTTTTGTTACTAGATGGCGTTGTTCAATTCTTAGAACGCGCTTTTATATAGTTTTCGAGTAACATAAGTTTAAGTAGTTTAATAACTATGTCTTTTACAAATCGCACACTTATAATACTGGCTTAACTCAAAAATTACAAATTTTGGAAAGTCTACTTTGTAACTGTGGTATTAAAGTCTAATTTCAAAATTTTTAAATTTCTGAATTGTACTAGATATGCGATATATGTGTACGTTGTCTTGAGAAGGAAAATGCCATACTATTACACTTTAGTCTCGACTTAAATAGTTCAAATTCAAATTACAAATTCAAAATATCTTTATTCATGTAGCTCTATTACAGACTCTTATGATATGTCAAATCTACCGTCATTTCGGAATGATTTCAAGATGAGAACTGACAAGGAACTCAGCTCGTATTCTTTTCAAATAAATGTTGTACATGTTTACAATAATACAGATACATTTAAATACAAATTTGGGAGAATAGAGTGAATGTGTTTTTATATCTCCTGCCGCGAGACGAAAGTTTATTTTTGAAGCAAGGACGATCGGTAGATCCGTGTACTTTTTTGACCCTACCGGGATGTGTACCGCATACTCACGTCCTTGAAGTGCAGCAGCAGCTGCCGCGCGAGGTATCCGGCGGTGTCGAACACGTGCGTGCGCCTGAACGGCTCCAGCTCCACGGCCGCGTCCTCGAACTTGATCATCGTGAGCCCCAGCCGCCGCTTCACCGCGCTCAGCGAGCTCTCCAACTTGTTTGCCGTCGTCATCGACAGCCGGATCTACACACGCATATATACCACTCACCTTCGCTACTCAATATTCTCCATACATAAATGGAGAAAATGTATAGAAAATTGGAAGAAAAATATTGGGGTTGTATAATGTGAGTGTAGAATTAGCAGGTACAGAAATGTGATCGAGTGCATACATATGCGTGTGAGTGAGTAATAGTTAAAATAAGGTAGATAATATAATTGTCATAAGTAGATAGATGTAATAATAGTTATACTTTTTGTATTAGGATTAACGGTTGTTGGCCAATAAACGTGTTCCGAGTAAGACATGTTTTAAATACTACAGTTACGTGTAAGTACACGATGACAAAATAAATACATAGGTATCTGTCAATACATGACATTTTTGTACGGTCTTGTGCATGGTAAATTTGATTGTAATACTCTAACAAGGCAAATTTATTATCGAGTTCCGTTTCGCACGAATAATCGAGCAACACGCAAACATCAACTGTTCTCCTATACTAAATGTCGTACTAATTCTGGTAAGCGCATACCACTTAATCGAATATCTAACAGCTATAATAGTGACTTTAGTGAAATAGATTTATTCTCCTGTAAACTTTCTTCTTTCAAAAACCAAATAACGAATGAACTGAGGCGTAAATATCATCTTTCGTAACTAACATAATAATTATTTGTAATATTGTAGTCTACAGTGTATTCATCATAAAATTCTTAGTTTTCTTTGTATTGTTAATATATAATAGTTTTGTTAAGAGTTGGTAGTGGTAGTTAATTAATAAGTAACATAATCTCTGTGACATGCCTTAGGCAGTATTGTATAATTATAGTAATCAGTGGTTAACGTAGTGGGTGACACATTTGTTAAAATTTATTAGTAAATAGCTATAAGTCATATATATAATGTGTAACTGTTTGTTGACCTAAATAAATTAAAAAACAAAAAAAAATACATGCGACTGCGTGCTGTTATACTTCAATTCTGTTCGCCATAATGCTGCCCTGGCGACCATACCTTGCTAAGTCAATGTCTGACTCACTGCGAACACAAATCGTATAGAATCTCTATACCAGTCTCTTTCTAAATTTAACCTACACCTTCGCGTGTTGTTTCACGTTAAGTCAAACAATATAAAAACTTAAAAACCTCTAAATACGAATGCGGATTTGGTTACATCCTTAGATATTTGTAAGAGCAAATAAATGAGTGGGTGCGGATGCGTGCGTACTTATGAGTGAGTGCGCACGCATATGTACGTACGTACATACGTACGCATCCACGTTTAAGTGCGTGCAGATGCGTGGGAATGCGTGCGCGTGTGTCACCTGGCTGGGCACGATCTGTATGAGCGCGAAGTAATATCTGGTGGCGTGCAGCGCGGTGAGCTCGTCCAGCATGCGACGCGTTTCATAGTCGGCCTCGTCCGCCTGCTCGCACGCGCCTTCCTCCTCTTCCACGCCCGCCCAAGACCACAGCATCAGGATCAGTCTACACACACATACCTCGTTGATCATACAACTTATTAATAAAACAATATATTTGTTTATGTAACTGGAAAAGTAAATGAGTCGACAGATTACATGGTGGTAAGTAGAAAGAATAGAAAATCATTTATTCAAATAAACTTACATTGAAGCACTTTTGAATAGTCATTACATTTTTTTTAATCTACCGCTCGTTCGGAAAGCTGTCTCATCACAAGAAGAACGAGCAAGAAACTTGCGTGTTGCTCTTTTAAATAATTTTATTATTACTTTACATTTTTAAGTTTAAGTGTGTGAATACAAACCACCAATTAGCACTAATTCAATTAAATACTCAAAAAGAAAAAATGTTGAATACATAACCAACTGGTTAAACAATTAATAAGAGGAAATCAGTCATAGTGATTAGAGCAGACCAGTCCCTACAAGCAGCACCCGTTCACGAGTATGACGGATGAGCCGTGTGTCACTGCGCTCGACCATATTTTATGAGCGCGAATGACCCGGCCCACCACGCCGCCACAAGTCTGAACATTTTAGTGAGCATGACTACTCAAAACACTAGACCACGTCAAAGCTACTCACAATTGCCATCTGATAGTTATAGTATTCACCCGCATAAGAATGCATGCAGCAATTAATACACACAAACCGCTACGTTTTCATATTTCTAAAATCAATAATTAAATCAAGAAAGCAATGAGAAAATAAAATTATAACGTTGTATGCTAATAAACTAATTATTTACTAAGTCGTAATCGTTGGCTGTATACGTTAATAGCAATGGTGCTTATGGAGACATCACGCCATATTATGACAGCGGTGCCGCCATCCGGAGCCATGCCGGAGCTTTAAGGTGTGACGCTTGTCTCCTATACATCCTTGCCTTCACCTTTCAAAAGAGACAAAGGGCCACGATTTTCGAGCAACTTGAACATTGAATATGTTCATGTAAAAGCATACCTCGGTCGAAAGCTTCACCGTTCACATATACGAGAAATGTAGTGAGACCAATACACGATTATAGACGGCATACCTCTCTTCAAGCCTGACCGCGAGCGGACGCAGCATGACGACGAGGCGGCGGAAGTAGAAGGCGTTGTAGCGGCGCACCGGCGCGCGCTGCACCTCCAGCGAGGCGTGCAGCGCCGGGGAGCCCCCCGCGCCGCCCCCGCCCCCGCCCCCGCCCCGCTCCGGCAGACAGTACAGCAGCACAGGGCTCTGCGTACCCGGCAGCTGACACACACACACGTTGGACATACTTCATATATATACATATGTAGTCGTACTGATGATTGTTGAAATTAATCGATTTTTTTTTATAATCTAGCCCCGCCCCGGCTTCGCACGGGTGGAATGCTGATACTTACCTACTACAGAATGTCATGTATTGTACATATAAATCTTTGTCTTGAATTACGCTATCTATTAAAAAATCTCCTTCAAAATCCGCTGCGTTGTTTTAAAGATTTCAGCATACATAGGGACGGACAGACAGGGACAGCGATATTTATTTTATACTACGTAGCAATGATGAATGGGGTGTTTAGTACAACTATATATTCTTTATCTAAGTCAACATAAAATATTTTCGTGTGCCACCGACGTCGCCAGTCCCCCCCGCCTACCTGGTTGTCCCACTGCATGTCCCGCACGAGCAGCTCCAGCGAGAGGTGGTCGGCGAGCGCGAGGTCCAGCAGCAGGCCGGTCGAGACCGCGTGCACCAGCTCCCCGGCCGGCGCGCGGCCCACCACCGACACCGCCAGCCCCGCCGCCCGCACGCTCACCGCCCACTCGCGCCCGCCCCCCGCGCACGCGCCGCCCCCGCCGCGCCCCGCAGGACCCTCCTCCTCGTTCTCGATCCAGCCGGACCCCTGCGGACATCGCGCGATCTTCATCTCTAAGGCGATCGTATATACGTTTAAGTTACAGATCGCAGATAAAATTTAGAAAGCTGATCAGCTTTAGCTGTTTATTCACATTTTGGGTCCGCAAAATTAACCACCAATCGGGAAAAATATTAATGGAAACGTGAGTTTAATTACAGTAGTTTGGAGTCGGCTATCCAGCTAGGTAGATCCAATTTCGAGAAAGAGGTCAATCGACGAATCCAACTCGGATGGGCAGCGTTCGGGAAGCTCCGATATATCTTTTCGTCGAAATTTCCGCAGTGTCTCAAGACGAAGGTTTACGACCAATGTGTGTTGCCAGTGATGACTTACGGAACAGAGACGTGGTCGCTAACTATGGGCCCCATCAACAAGCTCAGAGTCACTCAGAGGGCAATGGAGAGGGCTATGCTCGGAGTTTCTCTGCGTGATCGAATCAGAAATGAGGAGATCCGCAGAAGAACCAGAGTGACCGACATAGCCCGAAGAATTGCGACTTTGAAGTGGCAATGGGCAGGGCACATAGCTCGTAGGACAGATGGCCGTTGGGGTTGGGGCAGTAAAGTCCTCGAGTGGCGACCACGGACCGGAAGACGCAGCGTGGGAAGGCCTCCAGCAAGGTGGACCGACGATCTGGTCAAGATCGCGGGAAGGCATTGGATGCGAGCAGCGCAGGACCGATCGTCGTGGAGATCTTTGGGGGAGGCCTATGTCCAGCAGTGGACGTCTTCCGGGCTGCGATGATGATGATGATGATGAGTTTGGAGTCGTGCCGTATTAATAACTAAAAAGAGTGACAGAAGATCTCGGAAGGTGGCGAGAGCTCCACCGACAAGAGCACAACTCATCATCGCTCAAACTATAAATTAATGAATGAAGTTTAGTCAGCGTGTCATGTGCAATGCGAGGTGGAGTATGGCGAGGTACCGGCGCGTGGTGGTCGCAGATGCGCAGCACGCGCGTGGGTCCGTCGGCCTGCAGCTCCACTTTGAGGCGGCCCGAGCCCGGCCGCAGCGTCTGCCACACCACCGCCTGCTCGGCCGGGCACGCGCCCCCGCCGCCCCCGCGCCCGCCCCCGATCAGGCCCAGCACCACGCGGTTACCTGTGGAATTTCAACATGACTTCAAATTTCATATTTATCTGGATGTCTTTATTGTATCCGAAATTAATATAAAATAGAATAGAACAGAACAGAATGGAATAGAATTTATTAACTCTTTTTATCCAGTAATAACATAAGACGTACAAGGAATAATTTACACATAAAAAAAACAGAGACAATGTGGAACACAACTCGGCATAATGCTGGAAACATAATTTGCAGCGCTGATTTTCAGTTGGGCCCACAGTACGGACGCACTATGGTGATGATGATGATGATGATGATGATGATGATGATGATGATGAATATGACATAGCAGGCATTGTTGAGTTTTGACAGCCTAGGTGGTGGTGACATGATAGCCAGGCGTGCTGTTAGAGTGCAGGAGGCAGAGTTTGCGCGAGCGCCATGAGGCCGGCGCCGGCGGGCTGCAGGCAGAGGTTGGCGTGCACGCAGCCCATGCGGCCGTCGCTCAGCAGCCGCCAGCGCTGCGTGCTGGCAGCTATAGAGTGCAGGAGGCAGAGTTACCGGGCGCGAGCGCCATGAGGCCGGCGCCGGCGGGCTGCAGGCAGAGGTTGGCGTGCACGCAGCCCATGCGGCCGTCGCTCAGCAGCCGCCAGCGCTGCGTGCTGGCGCTATAGAGTGCTGGCAGCGCCATGATAGAGGTTGGCGTGCACGCAGCCCATGCGGCCGTCGCTCAGCAGCCGCCAGCGCTGCGTGCTGGCAGCTATAGAGTGCAGGAGGCAGAGTTACCGGGCGCGAGCGCCATGAGGCCGGCGCCGGCGGGCTGCAGGCAGAGGTTGGCGTGCACGCAGCCCATGCGGCCGTCGCTCAGCAGCCGCCAGCGCTGCGTGCTGGCAGCTATAGAGTGCAGGAGGCAGTGTTACCGGGCGCGAGCGCCATGAGGCCGGCGCCGGCGGGCTGCAAGGTTGGCGTGCCGACGCCATGCGGCCGTCGCTCAGCAGCCGCCAGCCTGCGTGCTGGCGCGATGTGCCAGCACCTACCGGGCGCGAGCGCCATGAGGCCGGCGCCGGCGGGCTGCAGGCAGAGGTTGGCGTGCACGCAGCCCATGCGGCCGTCGCTCAGCAGCCGCCAGCGCTGCGTGCTGGCAGCTATAGAGTGCAGGAGGCAGAGTTACCGGGCGCGAGCGCCATGAGGCCGGCGCCGGCGGGCTGCAGGCAGAGGTTGGCGTGCACGCAGCCCATGCGGCCGTCGCTCAGCAGCCGCCAGCGCTGCGTGCTGGCAATAAAATCTTTAAGCGCCATGAGGCCGGCGCCGGCCTCTTGGCGTGCACGCAGCCCATGCGGCCGTCGCTCAGCAGCCGCCAGCGCTGCGTGCTGCTGCGGCGCGGGTCGGCCCGCCGCAGCGCCAGCGCCGACGCCACGCCCGGACGCGGCGCCGCCTCCGCGATGTCCAGCACCTGCGCATCACACACACCCGACCTCACTATACGTCTCCTCACACAGTTCAGTCGCAATTCATTACTTAGAGTCTAGCAAGTGTCGGTAACTGTCTAATAAATCTTTGCTATTGGAAAAAATCTTTAAAAGATCGTCCTCCTTAAGAGTAACGAGGAGATGTGTGGAATTCTTACCTACTAATAAAACTACACGATGTAGTCTACACTACGACTCTGACGGCTGTATTATAACCCTATATCAAGGTTGCATGTCCCCGACCCCTCTCCATACAAAACGTGTTACTATGAAAATTTTCTACAATAACTAATTAAACTCAATGAAATTATGTGCATATGATAAGGCAACTAATGTAAAAGTTTCACACCTGTCACATTTTCTTTACAGAACTTTGTTTTAAAGTTACATTTAACTGAACTAGATTTTCACACAAAAGGACCTATGTTTCAGTCACTCAATATAAACAAGCCAAGTAAGGATAGAAACATGAAAAAATGTTCCCGACATTGAAATTATTATGAAATAGCTTTTGCTCACGGCTTCGCTCGCGTTAATTTATCCCTTTAGGTTTGGAATTTATCAAAATCCTATCTTAAGGGACGCCTACGTCATAGTAACTTTTTGAATGCAAAATCTGAGCCCGATCGGTTTAAAATTGACAAAAATTGAAGTAATACCAGAATGAGCCCAATCGAGTGGAATGTAAATATTTATGTCCAAATTCAATTGAAGGTAAAGTATTGCTTGCACTTGAATAAGAGAAGACGCAGTGTCTCCGAATACTGAAAAATAATTTGTGTAATTTTATTTCCCGGACACAGTCGCCTTAAGAGAGTGTATATAATTAAGACAGGATTACCATGGCATGAGATGGGAGCGCCTCCTGGTCGGAGTGCAGCGCGTCGGTGGGCTGCGGCGGGGAGCTGCCCTCGTGGATCAGCTGGTCGTTGGGCCCGCGCCGCCACAGCTGGCATCTGTTCAAAAAGAGACACCACAAACGTTCACTACAAACGTTTATACAACGGTTACAGATCGGTTAAAGCGTAATGGCTTCATGACGCCAGCAGTGTGCGCTAGAGACGACATAATACCTCCTTCTCTTTCACACGTACTGTGGGGGTTTAAGCCCACAGTTCCGTGATAATGATATATTGATTGATGTTTTTGCTAAATAAAACCGCCTTGGTTGAATGCTACTTGAGCACTAGATGTTATTGCTAAAATAAATGTAATGAGGTGAAATTGCATGTGTCGGCAATTGTGTATTCCACAGTAAGCAGGCATGTGTCCGTACACATATAGTTTCTATAAACTAAATAGCTTTATTTCTATTAGATACAAGCTGTTTCCGCGACTTCGTCTGCTTGGAATTTAATTATATTATTCTAAACAAAAAGGATTTTTCTAAAATAGAAGTAGCCTAAGTTACTTCTTATTATATCAGTTATCTGCCAAAAAAGTCCCAATAAAATAGGTCCAGCCATTTCAGAGATTAGCCGGAACTATGTATTAATATAGTGATGTGTAAATAATAAACTCACCTGTCTCCATATTTCTTCCTGCCGAGCACGACTCTCGTAGTACCAAACGGTACTTCTAGCACGAGCACGCCCTCGTCGGACGTCGGCTCACTACTCCTATGGTATTTAGTATTATTAGTACATTAATACATCATCATATTTATTATAGTTTAAGAAACTATGCAAAAAATCAATATACATGTTAGATTGTATGCAAAAATATTAAATCATCTGCTTCTTCCTTATCCCATTTATTTGTGGTCGTAATATGTTTTTCGCTTCCATTCATCCCTGTTCGCAGTCATCGCGTTATTTACTTCCTTTCTTATATCATCTTTCACACAGTCCATCCATCTCTTTTTTGGCCTTCCTCTGCCCTTATAACCATCCACATTCATTTGTAACATCTTTCTTAGAATATTATCCTCGTTCCTACGCATTACATGTCCATACCATGATATGGCCGGGGAGTTGGACCTCGTCAACCTTGGTTGGTAGTTCAAATAGGAGAAGGAAAACTCCGATTTTAAACCAAACAAGCCCTCCTGGAAGAATACTTTGAGGTGAGGCTACCGGGGAAGATCAAGAAAAGAATAATAACCCGAGATAGCAGGTATAATAACTTGCATCCTACTATTCCCAAGGAGGGTTGACGTCAGCCAAACGGCCGGTCATAAAAAAAAAACTGAAGCCAAAACCATTCTCTCGTATGCAAAAATATTAAAATTATACATTAATACTTTCGATAGTGAAATTCTCTATAAAACCGTTGTATGTTCATAACTTTGCTCTAATGTTCATAATGTATGCACCGAACATTGCGTATGGTATAAGTCTTTTATGGTATTTTTATCACACGCTACATTATCAAAGTTTTCATACGAATTTCTGACGTTTTTGAAAACAATCTATCGCTTTTAGTCATCATGAATAATGTAGATTTGTAATAGTAAATAAATTTTAAAAATGGATCCAGTAGTTTTGTTAGAAATATAAGGTAAATTTAATTCTCACAAATGACACTAGATGGCGCTGTCATAAAAGTAAAACGCGCCATGGTTTCGTTTTGTGCAAAATCAGTTGAGGTGTTGTCATGTTTTGTATTCAATCGTAGAATGTTCGAGAATGTTGTACGGTTCTATCGACCTAAGGGTACCTGTATTTGTGAACGAGCAATAAACCATATATATAGACACAAGTGTTTGGTTTATAGTACCCTTAGGACCTCAAGATTTTTCAAGTTTCGTAGTATATTCAATGCAAATATACAAACAATTTAAATCTTTCCTCTTTCTAATTTAAAATGAGTATAGATAAAACTGTGAAAAACGTCTAATAATATACTGTAGACAAGATGGTATCGACTTGATCGCTGTGTATAGCGTGTGCATTGTGTCACGCTTGGTGCGTGCCAACAACGCATAGTAGAAAGACTAGAATCTTATAGCGTGTGCATTGTGTCACGCTTGGTGCGTGCCAACAGCGCATAGTAGAAAGACTAGAATCTTCGTTACGTGTTAGCGCGCTCATTGTGCGTGCTCGCGGTGACGTCACGCTCGGTGCGTACAGCGAGGTGCGCGGTGTGGTGGTACGTACCGGGGCGTGCGCGGCGGCAGGGTGGCGGCGAAGGCGACGTACACGAAGTTCTGGTAGAGGAGGTGCGCGGCGGCGGGGAGCGCGGCGAGGGGCAGGGTGGCGCGCTGTCCGCCGGGCGCGCGCAGCGTCAGCGCCGCCGCCCCCTCGGGCTCCGGCAGCGCCCACCGCGCCGACGCGTGCGCGCCCACCGCCGCCTCCTCCGCGCTGCCCACCTGCCCACGCACAACCAACCACATTATCTTCGTTAGCTGTCTTTACACGACATTATTTCATACGCGATTCATTGCAGATAACCCAGCGTTTGCAATCGCAAGTTATTCTTTTTCAGTTTCTTCTCTACAATCTGTTAGTAGATCACAGACCATCATATGTTGCGTCTGCGAATGACTAAGCATCATGCCTAAGCACGTTATAAATAATAATATAATATAATATCATTCAACAATATTTATTATAGTTTGGTATAACACGAACATTGGTCCTTCGAGCCGGATTTTTTACAGTCACTCTATATATAAGAATCATCGAATAAATCTATCTCACACCTAAAGAAGATAAATTAACAATTGATTATACTGTATTTTGCATATTATATAAGCACTGTCAGCAACAGCAAGGACATGCTGGCACCCTGCACCACCAGCACCATGTGGTGCGGTAACCTGATGACAATGGCACGTACCTGGTGGAACATGAGTGAGACCGGCGAGTAGTTGTCGATCCGGAGCGGCGGCGGCGCACTGTCTGCGTCCGTGAGCACCACGAACATGCTGGCGCCCTGCACCACCACCTCCACGCGCACCATCTGGTACGCGCCGCTGCTCAGCCTACACACCAGACAAACCGACAATCGTATTAGTTAATGATATACAATGACATCATGTTTGTATCATTATAATGCTAAAAATGGACCATTGTACATTTAATATGCTACAGCTCGAATATTCTTTTGTAAAATACTAGCTGTATCTGTTGTTTAACCCATTGAAATTATTGGCCTATATGTTATTCTGATGTATAAGCTATATTACTGTGTTCATCAAAATCTGTACAGTAGTTTTTGCGTGAAATAGTAACAAACATCCAACCATATTCACAAACTTTTGCGTTTATAAGATTTTCATTGCCATCGATTATTGGACAATATTTTTAGTACCACTAGTAATTAGCCTAAATACAATTTTATTCATATATTTAAATGAATTTTAAAAAGAATCAATTTATGATAAAGAACCTTACTTATATACTTACTTCTCTCGACATTTCGACTAGGTTGGACTAGCCGTGGTCACGAGTCGACTGCAGGAACAGCGTTTTCAATGACAAAAGTTATCGGTAATTTGTTCACCACACTCGTGACCACGACTAGTGCAACCAAATACTGCTAAAATAATCGGTGTTAAACCCGTTTAACTATATTAATAATATAACAGGAAAGTTTTTATTAAGATATCGGAATTCAACCGGCTGCACTATAGTCGGAGTCGAATTCTACAATAGAACAAGTGAGGGCACCTGCAGGCGATGTGCAGCGAGCGCGGCGTATCGATACGGAACCCGCCGGACCAGGCCGTGAGGGCGCGGGGCCCGGCGGAGCCGGCGGGGGCGTGGGCGGCCTGCACGGGGCCCGCGGGGCCTGCGGGGCCCGCGGGGCCCGGCCCGGACGGGGGCGGGGCCAGCAGCCGCACGCACAGCAGTCGCTCGCGGTCCGCACGCGCCCAGTGCCACGGCAGGTAGCAGCCCGCCACCGCAGACACGTGCGTCGCCATCGCGCCAGGGTCCCACTGCGCAGCATCAAATACCCCAATGCATCTTTTCTCTCCGATCGATCCCCATGCAATTCAAATTACGACAGCCTGCGCCGAGGTTCGAACCCCTCAGACTAAAGGTGGGAGTTGGCCTTCAGCCGCTCCGTAAGACCTTCGCGAATTTGGAGTACCAACCGCACTCGTCCCCTATCGTTCGGAGAAACTGTAAAGGCCAGCTGCGGCCAACAGCATTAGAGTGGACCGAAAAAAACGTGCTATGATAAATATCTTATTATGTGCATTCGGTACCATTATACTTATGATACGAAGACTGATGAAACTGACTAAAATAATAATAATAAGAGTACAATAGAATAGAAAGTAGGCTTTTGGCAGGCAGCCGATGTAATAAGAAGGAACTTGGGCTACTATTATTAAAAAAAAAATCTTTTATTTTAGAAACATAAAGTTAAAATCCACACGGTTACAGCTAGTAACATAATATAAAAACAAGGTGCGTATTACCAGGGTGGTGGCGGTGCACTTCTGCGCGAACTGCAGGTGGTGCGAGGTGTTGTTGTGCAGCTGGTAGCGCGGCGTCAGCGTCACGATGTTGGTGTGACGGTAGCGGCCCCGCCCCGCGCGCACGCGCACGCCCACCGCGAACTCGCGCTCCTCGCACGCCTCCCCGCCCCCGCCCCCGCCCCCGGCCCCGGCCCCGGCCCCGCCCCCGCCGCCCCCGGGCCCGGCCCCCGCAGACCCGCGCGACGTCAGACGCTTCACAGCCACGCCCGGGCCCAGTCCGAACGGCGAGCACCACTACATCACACAAACAAAAACGTCAGTCATCATTTGAGAAGCCTGTTATTCATGGGAACTAGAATCTCATTGTTAGCAATGTACCATGTCAGATATACCACCAAGTAATTTCATCTATTGATGGACTAATTGACCTGACATAGGCTGAACTGTTCTAACCTCATTCTCGTCTTATCATCCTCCACTGGAGCCACGCCAACATATACCATTACGCAGACAACAGGGTACCATTCCATTGTGTGAGAGAAAGAGAGGTGTCACCTGCGGGTTGAGTGCGCGCGCTCGTCCTAGTCGGAGGACACGAGCGGCGCCAGCATGGTGGTACCTGCGGGTTGAGTGCGCGCGCTCGTCCTAGTCGGAGGACACGAGCGGCGCCAGCATGGTGGTACCTGCGGGTTGAGTGCGCGCGCTCGTCCTAGTCGGAGGACACGAGCGGCGCCAGCATGGTGGTACCTGCGGGGTGAGTGCGCGCGCTCGTCCTAGTCGGAGGACACGAGCGGCGCCAGCATGGTGGTACCTGCGGGTTGAGTGCGCGCGCTCGTCCTAGTCGGAGGACACGAGCGGCGCCAGCATGGTGGTACCTGCGGGTTGAGTGCGCGCGCTCGTCCTAGTCGGAGGACACGAGCGGCGCCAGCATGGTGGTACCTGCGGGTTGAGTGCGCGCGCTCGTCCTAGTCGGAGGACACGAGCGGCGCCAGCATGGTGGTACCTGCGGGTTGAGTGCGCGCGCTCGTCCTAGTCGGAGGACACGAGCGGCGCCAGCATGGTGGTACCTGCGGGTTGAGTGCGCGCGCTCGTCCTAGTCGGAGGACACGAGCGGCGCCAGCATGGTGGTACCTGCGGGTTGAGTGCGCGCGCTCGTCCTAGTCGGAGGACACGAGCGGCGCCAGCATGGTGGTACCTGCGGGTTGAGTGCGCGCGCTCGTCCTAGTCGGAGGACACGAGCGGCGCCAGCATGGTGGTACCTGCGCGCGGGTTGAGTGCGCGCGCTCGTCCTAGTCGGAGGACACGAGCGGCGCCAGCATGGTGGTACCTGCGGGTTGAGTGCGCGCGCTCGTCCTAGTCGGAGGACACGAGCGGCGCCAGCATGGTGGTACCTGCGGGTTGAGTGCGCGCGCTCGTCCTAGTCGGAGGACACGAGCGGCGCCAGCATGGTGGTACCTGCGGGTTGAGTGCGCGCGCTCGTCCTAGTCGGAGGACACGAGCGGCGCCAGCATGGTGGTACCTGCGGGTTGAGTGCGCGCGCTCGTCCTAGTCGGAGGACACGAGCGGCGCCAGCATGGTGGTACCTGCGGGTTGAGTGCGCGCGCTCGTCCTAGTCGGAGGACACGAGCGGCGCCAGCATGGTGGTACCTGCGGGTTGAGTGCGCGCGCTCGCCCCAGCCGCACGGCCAGCGTGGGCCCGCCGTCGGCCTCCGCGAAGGAGAACATGAGCGGCGCCACCATGCGCGCCACCTCGTGCTCCTCGAACTGCCCGGCCGCCTCCTGCGCGCCGCCCTCCGCGCGGAACACCAGCGGCAGCCCCGTGCGGTTCACCAGCCAGTACGCCGCTGATATCGACACCTGCACCCACCCCACCCCGCACGCGCCACTACTATACTCTACTGGCTAGTTTTTTATTTTAGGTACACATTGAAATACAATATAATATTGATATTCAAATGATTAAGTAAGTATTAAATGGACGTTCATCTTTTTTTAAAATATTCCCTATATATTATTATCACTTTATCGCTATCAACCAAGTATAAGGATCAACCCTCTACATAATGACTGCATTTAATACTTACTTAATCATTTGAATATCAATATTATATTGTATTTCAATGTGTACCTAAAATAAAAAATCGTTTGTGATTACACATTTATTTTATTACTTTTCAGTAAACTGATTTATAGTCCACGTCACAGCGCGGTCATACAGCTGTATAAGTAATTTATAAAATAAGATATTGCATTTTTTTTTGTAGCAACATTGAAATTATTAGCTGGCAACTTTTTCTCTCTCTCTCCATTCGTTCATCTAGGTGCACACAACTCCATATATAAATAATATAAATTTAAATACTATTAACTTGTAAAGCTTCAATAAATAAGAAAATTATAATAATAATAATAATCTCAGGACAATTCACACAGCGCCATCTAGACCCAAGTTAAGCTAGCTAAAGCTTCTGTTATGGGTACTAGACAACTGATACAAATACATAGATATTTTTTTTTCGTAAATACATACATATTATACAAAGAAAATACCCAGACCGATACAAACAATCATAGTCATGAATACAAATGTTTGTGCCGTGCGAGGAATCGAACCCGCGACCATCGGACGTAAAGCGGTGTGCTAGACCGCTAGACCACCGAGGTCAAAAAATTATGAACCAAGAGACGTTATTATTGAGCCACCATCACCCACGCAGGTAAGTACATCGCCACTAACAAACGAACAAACATCAAATACAAAACAGCACAGATATAGAATGGTTTTCCGCACAAATTATTTGGAAAAAATCATTCTAATTACTGCTTACGAGAGTACGTGTAAAATATATATATATATATATATACCTTGATCCCGTCAGTCTTGCTGTGCGAGACCCTACCGTTGAGGTACAAGCGTCGCGAGCGAGTGTCGCGCAATTTTAATCGGGCACTGAATGAGCCTCCAGTTCCCGCCCCTGCACCACTACCATCAGTCCAGCTCACCACCAGCACAGACGACCATCCGAAGCCTTCCAGTTTCACGCTTAACTCCACGCCCTCCTCAACGTTCACCTTACATTAAAAATAATAACAATATCTATTAATATCGAGTAAAATAAAAAAAACATTTTTGGTTATTCAAAATATTTATAAATTTGGTGGTATAAGGGAGGCAGGAGTGAAAACTATAAAATAATTATATAATATATAAAATTATTTTATTTTTCTTCTTCTTTTTTTCTTCTCTTCGTACTCAATTTGCCAGAATAAAAATTCAAATATGTTTCAATATTTTCTTTGTAAAAAAGCTTATTATAAAATTGATGAATTTATAAATGATAATAATGTCTTTGTAGGAAATATCTAACTTAAAATTCATAGCGCTGACAATGTTATCTGATTGAACAGAGATTAAGTGCGTAGCGGTTTCTATGTTGATTGTCGCATGCCTAATCCCTGTTGTTAATTAAATATAATTAAATCAATATTTATTTAAAAGAGCAACACAAGTTTCTTGTTCATTCTTCTTGTGATGAGTCTGCATTCCGAATGAGCGGTAGAATCAAAAAACTTGACTATTCAAAAATGCTTATATTAAGTTTATTTGAATAAAGATTATTTCTATTTCAAAATGAAAAAAAAGTTCTAGGCAGTGGTAATACAGTCTAAAACTAGGTGTATTATTGGCCTCTGTTTACTACAGTCTCGAAAGTCTACTCATGTGATATGATAATTGTTAAGTTAATATTAATAGACTAGCTGTAACCTCGACTTCGTCCGCATGGAATTTAACTTTAATTTTCTAAAATAAAAGTACCCCAAGTTACCCCCTTATTACATCAGCTACCTGCCAATAAAAATCCCGTCAAAATCGGTCCAGCTATTCCAAAGATTAGCCGAAACAAACATACAGACAGGCAGTCAAAAATTGTAAAAAATGATATTTTGGTGTATGTACCGCATTTATATTCATATGCATGTAGTAAAAAACGGTTATTTCAATATTACAAACAGACACTCCAATTTTATTTATATGTAAAGATTAGGGAAAATATTAAGTTGAATAATCACCTCGTGGAAAGGCCTGGTCCCGCCAGGTGGCAGTGCGCCTTCTACGTACGGCGAGCTGTCGGAGCCCCTGGTGGCGCGGTACTGCAGTTCCAATGGCAAAAGGTTCTCGAGTCGCAGAGCAGGCACCAACGTCAACGTGTGACCCACCACGGGCGCGCCACGGTCAGGTGGGAAACGTTCGCGGACTATTGAACAGCAGAATCTGTGCACACAGGATATTTAAAAAAATTTTACGTTAAATGATTTAATCATAGGATCGTAATAGAAGAACCGAAAAGAGCTGCATGTATTTATGGCTAGAGTTAACTCAGTGATTCCCAAAGTGGTCTATGTAGACCCCCCAGGGGTCTATGACAAACTGCAAGGGGTCTACGATAGTGGTAAATTTTGTTTTTAAAACTAAACTTTACTACAGTTATAAGTTTACAAAAAATCAATGCCAGGTAAGAATGGGGGGTCTATCCAAAACTGAAAAATATGGCAAGGGGTCTATGGCAGAAAAAAGTTTAGGAACCTCAAGTTAACTGATAGATAGCACCATAATCGGTGTACTAGTCTGATGAGCATCATATCTGGCAGCTTCAGTGGTCTAGCGCTTTAACACATCGCCTCACTTCCAATGTTTGTGGATTCGATTCCTCGCGCGGCACAAACATTTATATTCATGAGTATGATTGTTTAAGTCTGTCTGGCTGTTTTCTATATATAATATGTATATATTTACGAAAAAATGTATCTATGCATTTGTATAAGTTAGCTGGTAGCTAAGATGGCGTTGGACGAATCGTCTTGAGATTATTATTATTGCTAGTACATTTCTCATTTGATCTATATCTATATTAATAAAAAAGATAGGATACGCATATAATTTTAGAATAGAATAGAAAATTATTTATTCAAATAGACTTAATTTAAGCACTTTTGAATAGTCATAACAATTTTTTTTAATCTACCGCTCGTTCGGAAAGCTGTCTCATCACAAGAAGAACGAGCAAGAATCTTGTGTGTTGCTCTTTTAAATAATCCTTGTAAGGTTACATTTACAAGTCGAAACGTGTGAATACAAACTACCAACCAGCACTATTTTTTTTGGGTGACATATACAATAAGATTAAATCAGTCGTAGCGATAAGAGCAGACCAATCCCTACAAGCAGCACTCGTTCACGAGCATGACGGAGGAGCCGGCCATCACTGCGCTCGACCATATTTTAGAGCGCCCAATGACCCGAATGAATGAATTTAAATCATTGTAAGGTAAGCTATATAAAGTGTAATTGTTTACAAACAAACCGACCTGTAGACTCGGTCTGGCGGCGCTCGACACTCGTAGTGCAGCAGCGCGCGCTGGCCGACACCGTCTTTCCAGTGTATGGGCGCGGGGAGCGCGGGGAGCGCGGGGAGCGCGGACAGTGCGGGGAGCGGCGGCAGCGAGGCGGGCCCGGGCCCCGGCACGGGCCGCGTCCACAGCGCGGCCGGGGCGCACGACAGCGGCGCCGCCCACGTGCCGCCCGCCGCCACCTGGGCCGACCGCCCGCCGCTCGCGCCGCTCCATTGCACTGACGCACGTGTCCACGCAAACAAACATACAGTAAACACATCCCATGACAGACACCAATTGTAAACTCTCCAACTAAATTTACTAAATCCTGCTACTGTTCCAGTAACAATTCACCATGTTAAGTCTACCTCCACAAGGTCCTCCCTGGAAACCATCGTGATTAATTCCTCACTATGAGCTAACCGGACCTAACTTCATGCTCATCCTATCATCCTTCATTGATGCCCCGCAAGCGTGAACCGTTAGCGCAGGCGGGTGCAACATTTTATTATCATCCATAAAAAAACTGTCACCCATGGTGCGGGTGCAGGTACATGTGCACGATGCAACAGTAATACCACAGATAACATAATATTACATACAGATACCCCATCCCATACAAGAAAATGGTTCCTTCCTAACTCGGGCTATTCTTCGGGCTATTTTATTTCGCCGCCGTAGCCGCTAGATGTCTCTAGATCTGAAGCAGTTCGGATTACTAGTGGGTGCTTAGTAACAAAGCACGAAAATAGATGGCAGTCAATTCAGTCTACATGACATCTGTTTTGCAAAGATAGGTATATACAAGATATGTAGGTAACTGTATCGTGTACCTCATTAGGGACGATTCAAGATTCAATGTAAATGTGTAGGTATAATATCGTCAGCCGAACCCTGCATATATGGCTTATGTGCGAATGTATATATTATGTTATAGTTTATTCTACATTCCATGCCTATTTTTTTCTCTCGACGAAGATATGTTGTAACGCGTCTGCGCTATACGAATAGCCCGATTTTGATACGTTTATACTCGTACGTATCAACATCGGGCTATATGATTTTTTATTTCAATCGTTATGTGTAAGAGACTGGTTTTAGCTACAATGAATTTACTGTTATAATGTTACTGTTATATACTTCATGTATTCTACGATGTACCCCTCTTTTCCCTAATGAGAATTCCGCTATATCTTATATATAAACTTCGTATCACAGTGTTAGTTGCCATATTTCTCCCACATTTTGATGAAATTTGATATGTATACTTGCTAGGTCTGAGGTAGGGTTGTTATCTATTTTTTATACCCCTAAGTCATAGGGGTGGCCTACCCTGAATTTTTTTTTTTTTTAATTATGGACAATTTTTTATTTATTTATAATGTTACATACACGCCTAAATTTTGGCCCGTCTTTCACCAACCCCTATTTTTAATAGCGATATTCTTACAAATATTATAAATGCTAAAGTAAATCTCGCGTTACACGTTAGAAATGTGTAACGGGGGAACATAATACTTCACGAAATTATGTATATTACAATAAAACTTAACGAGAAAATATTATAATGATGTCACTGGAACACTCATTGCTTTACTACTATACCGTCCATTAGTCGCGAACTTTCTGGATGCGCGAGAGGCGCGCTCTATTGGTCCGTCGGTGCGGTTACCGCACGACGCGCATGCGCTGTACGCTTAGATGAGTCTCACGGCACGGGCGTAAGTACTTACTATGTAATATATATGGGTATACATATGGGTGTCACAAATGTTTTTATTACAAGTAATATTACTCTATTATCTAAGCCAGTAATGTGTGCTTATTTTGAACTTGATAATATTCAGAATTACTTGTATACATAACTTTCGATATCTACAATAATAATATCTTTGATGTATGAAAGAAATGTATGTACCTACATTAAAAGATAATTTTTGACATGTATGAAATGTATGTACCTACATTAAAAAATAATTTTTGAAATGTATGAGATGTATGAAAGAAATGTATGTACCTACATTAAAAGATAATTTTTGACATGTATGAAATGTATGAAAGAAATGTATGTACCTACATTAAAATATAATTTTTGAAATGTATGCACCGTATAATAACAATACGTTAAACATCATACCACAGAGTCATACGCAAGTTAAAAACAAACTGCTATGATATTAATGAGAAAGGAAAATCAACTTTATGGTATTCGAGTTAGGGTCGATTTCTCTCTTTTTTTAAATACTATTTTAATCTTGCCAGTATTCAAAGACAACTACGATTCGTACTCGATATTTTAAATTATTATGTAATCGATTTTTAGTACAAATGTAAATAACCAACGACACTAATAATGTACTACTATATTCCGTTCTTTGAAACGGAACACTGCTATAATACAAAATAATGAAAATTTACTGTTCACAACGACTCATTAAAAGCATCATCGAATAATGCGCTGTAATAAAATCCTGTTATCGATTATTCAAAAAAATCGATAATACATGTATTTATTTTTAATATGACAACACTTCATACATAAGTATTATTGGAAATAGTATTACTTGCTTGTTCGGCTATTTTTAATTTACTTAAAATTTTTTTATATGTTTAATTTACAATAATGATATATTAAGTGCTTTTTATTGGAAAATATAAAAAAGACATTTAATTAGGCCGATACAAATGACAACAATGCCATCTATGAAAGCATTTTGAAAACATTGAGCCCCGTATTAGCACTGATTAAATTAATTAAGTACTGGAAAATAACAAAATGAGTAAATATATGACAATTACTTTTCTAAACGCATTATTTCATTTTAACATGTATATATAACTTTTTAAAAATTGATTAAACATTTTTGTAAACACAGTTTTGTTTTTTAAAACGTTTGCAAAACTATGAAGAATTCCATCGATCCCAATCACGCCATCTATATGCAACTTTTAGTAATAATAATGGCTACTTCCTCACGGATTGCCACTGGTAATACTATGTACATTATACGGTAACGTTTCGTTTCACAATTGAAAGTTCCGCGATTTACAAATGATATCTTAGTATTTCAGCTGTACCATATTCGTAATATATTAAATCATTAATAACTGTTTTAACTTAAATTTAACCCAGAAATAAAAATAGAAATAATCTTTATTCAAATAAACTCATTACAAGCACTTTTGAATAATCATATTTTGATTCTACCGCTCATTCGGAATGCAGATTCATCACAAGAAGAATGAGCAAGAAACTTGTGTGTTGCTCTTTTTAATAGATGTTTTTTTTATATAAATAATTACAGTATAAGAAGTAAGAGGCATGCGACATTCAACATAGAAATCGCTACGCACTCATTATTAGTGTAATCAGATAATATTGTCAGTGCTATGTATTTAAAATTTTTCTACAAAAACATTATTATCGTTAACGAATTCTTCAATTTTATAGTAAGCTTTTTTGCAAAGGAAGTGTTTTATTTGACATTTAAATCTTTTTTCTGGCAGATTTATAACAGACTCTGGTATTTTATTGTAAAACCTTACGCAATTGCCATAAAACGAATTACTAACTTTAGCCAAACGACATTTAGGTAAAATCAGTTTGTTATTGTTACGTAAGCTTTTATTAGTGCAATCATCAGATATCAGATAGAATGTTTTAATCTACAAATACAGTTTATTATATATGTTTCGTCATCATTTTTATTGATTTATATATACGTTTCACACACGCAGTCTAAGTGAATTGAAATGACCAATCACTGACCAGTTTCTTGACTGGTCCTACTATAGCCAATCGTAACAGCAATCAGCTGATCACGTGACAATGGTCGTGATCAGAAGTCTAGTCTCTCGATTCGATGCGAATGGCAGTTACAACGTAGCTAAGTGTTATAAAATCCAAATTTAAGCCAAAGAGCCCTATGAACCATCATCATTCCTCAAGTTGTGAAACCTGAAGTGGACAGCAGATCCGAAGTGGAAACCCGAAGAGCAAAACGCAACAAGGAAGAATCGATCCCCGGCTCTTCCAGGGGAATATACGACGATCCGGCTATATGTAAGTAGTGCTTGGTCTGTATCTTTTCACAAAGACTGGCGTGTGGGATCGTCTTACATAAACTGGGTCTCCCAAAGTGTCATCGGTTCTACCGAATTGATAAATTTTTTATAAATGTAATATTGAAAATTACCAAAACAACATAAATAATGTCGTCAAAATAGTGCTATGATATACATATGAATTCTATAGGTACATACTCTACAAGCCAACAAGAATATCTATATGTACATAGAGCGATAAAGGTGCGGTTACCGCAGTGGAGGCGCAGGGGGCGGAGGGAGCGGAGGAGGGGGCGGCGGGGGCGCGCGGGGGGCAGGGGGGGCACGCCGCGCCGCACCGCCGCGCACGCACTCCACCGCTCTACACCCACAACACCCGCATCACCTGACGGCTTCGGCACCCTCATCGTTTCAGCCTAATAATCATACCCCTATCTACTGCTCGTAAACGTCGACTGATCCTGACTGAGAACGGTGGTTTTGGGAAACGGTTGCACGGGATGAAACTTAATGAGCAAGTCTGGATAAGGACCTCCATCACGTCCTATGGAAGAGTTTGCTTTATATGGACCTTAGATTTGAATTTTAGTCATTATTTCTTTCTTCCCTTGGAGAAGATTACTATATGCTTGTCAAAATAACTTGCACGAGCAAGTGTGGGTAAGGACCTCCATCACATCCTGTGGAAGTGTTCTACACGGATATCAGAGAGGAGTTGGTGGAAGGGATTCGTCGCGAGGAAACTAAGAAAGAGGGTCCTGTCTATTACTAGTTTTAGTCATGACTTCTTCCACTGCTCCTGGAGAAGATTACTATATGGTTGTCAAAATAACTTGCACGAGCAACTGTGGATAAGGACCTGCATCATGTCCGGTGCAAGCGTTAGCTTTATACTGGCCTCAGAGAGGAGTTAGTGAAAGGGATTCGTCGTGAGGAAGCTTAGAAAGAGGGTCCGCTCTATTACAGTGCCTTGATGATCACGGTGGATAAATTTAGTCATTAGTGGAGCTGGTGGAAGTTTCGTCGTGAGGAAGCTAAGAAAGAGGGTTCTATCTATTAGTAATTTTAGTCATTACTTCTTCCACTACCCCAGGCGAAGATTACTCTATAGTTGTCCAAACAGCTTGCACGTTAACGTCAAGTGCGGTAACCAGCATTCGTGTTCGCCCTGTAGATACAGACAGTGACAATACCTGCGAGGGGTGCGAGGGGTGCGGGGGTGGCGACGCCTGCAGGGTCGTGTCCGAGGTCGAGGCGCACGTCGACGGCGTGCGGCAGCCTGTTGACCAGCACCAGCGCCGACCGCACCGTCACCAGCTTGCGGGCCGAGCCCTCCAGCGACACCTCCAACACTATACGCGCCTCCGCACCAGTTTTCTAACGTAGTAATATGATTATAGTAATTTAGTATCCATAAAGAACTGTTATTTTTAAACATCAATGTAATTTAATATGTTTACTAATATAATGAATGCGAAAGTAACTTTATCTGACAGCCTGTCAGGTTTTCGATTTAAATGAAATTTGGTATACAGATAGTTTAGATCCTGAAATAGAACAAGACTATTGTAATGGGAAAAAGGATTGTTGAAAGAGGAGATATGGAAAGTTGTATGAAAGTATCGTCATTTTTAAAGTTAGAAGTCTAAAACTAATTTCTTAGACTGGTGATTAAATATAATACAAAGTTTATAAAATTTTATCCATTAGGGATATAAAGGGGGTATTATAATATAGTTGTTTTGGTGTAATTTTTCGGTCGGGTGCCTGGTGATTTGTACTACGGGTAATAACTATTTAAAACAGCTGTTTAACAGCAATCGTTTCTAACAGTATATTTTCTGCATTGTTGATCCAAGAACACTGCATGCATTTGTTAACATCTATGTACTCGTATGTGAGGAGAAATAGAAATCTATACGTGTGTTTGGGTACCAACACTACAGGTAGGTATGTGAGGAGAAATAAAAATTAATAGTGGATACCAATAAATACATGTACTGTTTTTGGAAACATAGTGTTGGCCTGGTTTGTGATACAAAAAAAAATATATATGTGTGTGTGGGTACCAGATGCGTGAGGCTGCGGAAGTAGACCCCGACGCGGTCGACACAGACGGGGTCGGGCGGGGCCCAGCCGTCGAGCCGCAGCGCGAGGCGCGGCAGCGCGGCGTCCCGGGCCCGGCCCCGCGCGCGCCGCGCCCCGAACGAGAACGGCTCCGTGTCCCCGCCCCGCACCGACACCCACGAGTCGTCGGGGCCCGCGCGCGCCCCGCCCCACTCGGGGCCCGTCGGCTCCGGGCCCTCCGCTCTGCGCGCGACAAACTACTTCACCACCCACTCGATACTGAGTGCTCCTCTACGTTTACTCAAATTAAAACACCATGTGTATAGAAGTCGTATCGTATCAAGACTTAAAGAGTATGATGGAAGACCGTAGAAAGTGTCAAAAGCTCCACTAATGAGAGCGTTGCTCTTAAATTTATGAATGAATGTGTATAGAAGAGTGCAATTTTCTATATACATGGTGTTTTAATAAATTCTATTCTATATGCGAATAGCGCTATAGGCTTCAACGTTATATTGAACCTGTTATATATGGATAGTATGTTATAAATCATATTGAATAGATATTTATAAAAATACTGATAGAAATAGCTAATAGAATCTTTTAAAAAATCTAGGACTGTGTAGAACTGCAGTAAGTTCGATACTTGCTAAAACGTATACCTAAAGCTACACTAGGAGGCTAAATTTGGTTAGGCAAGAGATGAAACACGAACTGAGTTGAATGAGTAAAGAATATACATTGCAAGGCAAGTACCCTAAACTAACAACCTGATCACAAGTCAAGGAACTACTCGGAATTTCCCCCTCTAATATATATATGGAACCAATTCTCACAGCTTAAATCATTTTTCTTATAGCAGCACATACGATGGTAAGTAATTACCGCCGCCCATATATATCCGCAGCACGAGGAAAATCCATGGAATGTTGAGAAGTTCATCTGTCTGATGTCGTCACAAAGTTGAATTTAACTTCACACACTAAGAAACACGCATCATAGTGCGGTGTGTACGTACAGATGCGAGGTGGTGAGCACGGTGGTGAACCAGAGCCGGTGTCCGGTGTGATTCCGCAGCGCGTAGGGCACGAACGGCGACCGGCGCCGGTGCCCCGCCGGGCTGCCCTTCGGGGACTGGTCCGCGCCCGCCGCCGGCTGCGGGGACACACCACTGCTTACCATGTCTTATGACATATGACACACTTGCTAGTGAAGTGGGTCTGACTACACCGGTTTTTGTAAACCAAGTGTCCGGTATAACCGCAAGTGAAGTTGTACGTATGATTAGTAAAAGTCACGGGAACTTACCACGTTTTATATTTATTTGCTGAGTTCCCGATATTCCGACAGTGTTTCAAGCGCCATGATCACGGGTAAACTTAAGTTTACATGGTGGTTGAAAGCAAAAAATTATAAAACGTGGCAAGATCCCGTGATTTATACATACTTACTAATTATACGTATAAATAATGAGCGCGTCAAATTTAAAACAGTATATAAGTGAAGTTATATTCCACAATCGTGCGGCTGTGGAATATTTGCTATTTTTTTTTTTATTTCGAACAGAATCAAATTTATTTAAAAAAGCAACGTAGCGCATCACAATTTTATGGTTGAGTTCACTTATCAAGTGCGTTAAAAAACGTCCGGATAATGTACGTACGTCCTTAAAACAACAATTAACAAACATCCAAAAATATTAATTCATCCATTAATATATATATATCCCTAAAAAAACATATTTTGATATTGATTCTCCTCAAATACTTGATAGCTTTAAAAGCATCATGAGAGCGCAATGCGTGTAGTATGTAGATCACCTGCGGCGCGTAGTAATCTGCAGTCCAGTTAGCTCGCACCAGCTGCCAGAGGTCTATAAGCGATGACGTCACGTTCATGTTGAGCATCTCCGAAGACTGCACCAACACCTCTATGCGCGGCAGCAGCTTGCTCGTCAACTTGTACTCCCATGTTGTCTCGAATCTACACACCATAGACGTATGCGTAAGGCATGAGAACTTTCAGCCGCTCTATAAGTCCTTCCTTTGGTTTGGAGTGCCATTTGCACTCGGTAACTATCTTTCGGTGAAGCTGTTAAGGCCAGCTGCGGCCAACAGTATTAGGGTAATTTAGAAAACCTATAGAAGTAAAAATCACGGGATCTTACCACGTTTTATATTTATTTGCTGAGTTCCCGATATTTCGGCAGTGTTTCAACCACCATGATCAAAGGTAAACTTTACTAGTACTGTTACTATAGTACTAGTTCAGTAGTAGGTACAGCAAGTGGTAGCGTATTCATACGTATATAGTATAGAAAAAGGATAAAAAAATCATGCTATATTTTCATTAGTAATCTCAGTGTCAGTATTAATGGATATTTCACATGTCTCTGCTCGTTCTAAATCTACTAGTTATCGATCAACGAATATAACAATAGAATTAAAGATGAATATCAGCTAAGATGTAACAACTTATGTGAGCAATTTAAGAACTAAATTTATTTATTTTAAGTCACTTTCTAATAAAATAATTGTCATTTATGACAGAATAGATGTATAGAGAGAGACCTCCAGGGCTCTATGGCGGGCTCCCAGCCGGAGAGCATGCGGTTGTAGTAGTCTATGCTGAGCACGGCGGCCAGCCGGCCCGCGCCCGCCCCCGCCGCGCCCCACGCCGCGGGGCCCGTGGGGCCCCCGGGGACCCCGGGGACCACGGGGACAGCGGGGCCCGCGGGGCCCGCCGGCGTGCTCACCAGCATCGGGTCCTCCAGACTCTCCTCCACTTTGCGGAGATCCTGGCCATCATTGTCAATGCAGATATTATATTTACTTAAATTACAATTAATAATACAATACTTTGTAACAATTGGAGATGAGTAAAAGAAAAAAACATATTACGCCGACCTCAAATAAATGGGATAAGGAAGAAACATATGATGATGATGATGACTTTGTAACAATTAATTTTTATCTTGCAAATTCGATCTATACAAGTGATCTATATACTAAATAACAACAGTCAAATGTAAAGAGCGACACGGTTTGTGGAATGCTTATTAGACGACATGTATATAATGACAATAATATACATATATAGTATATATTGCTGATCCGTTTGTCCTGGACTATCATGGTAAACGTGTCCCATAATATGCATTGCATAAATTATGCGCGGATTCGACACAGTGTCCGATGTAAGTTTGATACTGACCTGCTCCACGCGCAGCTCCGCCAGGGACACCTCCAGCAGAGGCACGTCAGAGTCCAGGCAGTCGTCGATCACGCACAGAGTGATGCACTCCGCGCTTAACTGTCGACAACACACACACACACACATAAATTATAACTGAACACATTTCTTTTATCACGGTTTTTTTCTTACACGGGTTTTTTCTACTTCACGTGTAAAGGTTAACTGTCATAACTGCGCTCAGTCACAAAAATGTCCCTCAGCAATTCACACAACGTCATCTAGTCCTAACCCAAGCAGATCTTGTGTTATGAGGACTACATAACTAATAGAAATACTTCGATACATTTTTTATTAAATACATACATATTATACATAGAAAACATTCAGGCCAATTGAAACAATCATTTATGAATACAAATTATGAGGAATCTAACCCGCGACTATGAAATGAAATGAAATGAAATGAAATTTTGTGCTAAACCGTTAGTACACCGGATGTGGTATTTTGAATATTATTATATTGTTCGCACATTTAGTCATTTCTGACATGCAACAGACAATTGTCAATTGAAATATTGTCATTATACATTGCTCATCATTACATACATATATTATTATAATTTATTTATTTATAAGTTGTGAAAGGTATTCGTCTATATTATAAAAGCAGTTAGATAACAACCAATTATACAATTCTTTTTTTAATTTGCTTTTATTTAATTGTTTTAACTCCCGCGCAACTTGTTAAATATTTTTATGGCCATTGGATAACAATTAGAGCTTGCTAGCGATGACTTTATCAACGGATAATATAATTTATTAGGACGGCTCCTTGTGTACTTGGTCTCAAAATCATAAGATGTTTTAAATAATTCAGGATACGATTTAACAAATAGGCACAGTTCGTAAATGTACGTAGATGGCAATGTTAACAGTTTTAATTTTTGAAATAACGGTTTGCAACTTGTTATTGGTGAAACATCAAATATGGCTCGTATACATTTCTTCTGGGAAAGAAAAGCTCTACTTAATTCCACCGAATTTCCCCATAAAACTAAACCGTATCTTAATTTAGAGGCAACGTAACTGTAACCAATACTAGAATAGCGGTTTTTGTTCCTGCTATGGGAAGTAAAGCCGTGTGCTTAACCGTTAGACCACCGCGGGTGTCAATAGAAATAAGATACAACTAGCTTAGCCTACATGCACGGCTCGCAGCGGCCAGATGGCGGAGGGCGGGGGCGCGGGCGGCGGAGGCGGAAACAAACAGACAGACAGACAAAAAATTTAAAAATGTTAATTTGCCCGTGTATTTACCGCCCATTCCCACGCCGGCGCGCATGTGCAGGCTGTTCGCCGGGGCCGCTTCCGCTTTCTCTTCTGCGCCAGTTTTACCTAACACAATTCAGTTCCCATTATTAATATTCTTTTCTATATTGGTTGACAAAAAAAAAATGTGTATTGTCTATAAAGTTCAAAATTTTATGTAATACTAGCTTATCCGCGTAACTTGGTCTGCATCACACTTACTTAACATTTATCATTATACTATCCATTCCCGCGATTTCGTCCGCGTGGAAATTAACTTTATTTTTCAAAAACAAAAGCAGCCTAAGTTACTCCTTATTACATCAGCTACCTGCCTAAAAAAGTCCCGTCAAAATCGGTCCAGCCATTTCAGAGATTAGCCGAAACAAACAGACAGACAGACAAAAATTGTAAAAATGTTAATTTGGTGTATGTACCGTATTTATATTCATATGCATGTAGTAAAAAACGGTTATTTCAATATTACAAACAGACACTCCAATTTTATTTATATGTGTAGATAACGAAATATTTACAATGGATATATATACAAGTAAGCGATTCGGTTTCGAATGACAGACCTGTTATTTTATTCTTCTGTCGTAGCTATGCAACGGTGTTGCCGCGCGATAATAGTAAATTGACCACAGAACTATGTATCTGAAGGTATACATATAAGTATGTAGTGGTACCTGAGAGCGCGGCCCGCGCCTGCTCGGGCAGCGACTGCAGCATGGCGGCGAACATGCGCATGTCGTGGTACGACAGTCGCAGGTTCAGAGTCCCCAGCGCCACCTGCACCCACAACATTACTATTATTATCTATACTACTGGCCACCCTGTGGTCGCAATTCAACCATAGATAATTTAACATTCAGACCATAGATAAAATGACGTCAAAGACAACCAATATTAATCTATTCTCAATTTTACCAGAGACTTTAACAATAAAACTATAAGTTTGCGTGTGCGAAATAAATATTATTGTGTGTAATGTTTTTTTATTGATTTAATGATATTTTAGGCACAATTTAAAAAATATATTAACATTCTGCTATTCACTATATAAACTGTAAGTCAGCAAAATTTCATACCCCTTATTCCGTTAAAATTTCGAAAAAAAAAGGGTACAAATTATTTATGACCCAAAATTGCCAGGAGCGCGGTTGCGCTCCCAAAATCAGTTGCCATCTAGCTCTCCGCAGAGAAGATATGATTACAATTGGGCAAGTTTTCAAAGCGATACAGATTTTTTTCAGGAAAGGGTATATGACATAAAAATTGACTATTTTTCTTGGCATTTATAACCTATGCACTCAAACGGATAAAAACCTTATGCACAATATAAATAGAAGTGTAAATCCAATGGATGTTATATGTCCGGTGTGCGTACGTACGTGCAGCGGCTATTTCTCTTGGCAATTTTAGGCATACATGAGTAAACCTATGATACTCAAACGGATAAAAACCTTATGTACAATACAAATAGAAGTGTAAATCCAATGGATGTTATATGTCCGGTGTGCGTACGTACGTGCAGCACGCGGTCGGCGTGGAGCGCGACGTGCAGGGCTGCGGGGTCGACGATGGCGAGCGCGGTGTCGTCCTCGAGCCCCAGCACGCACGAGAACACCTCCAGCTCGTTCACCTCCATCACCACCGGCCGCCGCGCGTCCCACGGACGGTACGTGATCACCGTCGTGCTCTATGTACCCCACCCCACCCATACACGATAATATTAGCTTGTTGTCCAACAAACATCGTTTATTAAAAAAAAGTCAATAGGTCTTTTATGGGAATAGGTACAAAAATTTACAATAAGATACCAAATTATACATTAGAATTACCCTTAAATAGAATAGAATAGAATAGAAAATCATTTATTCAAATAAAATTACATTGAAGCACTTTTGAATAGTCATTACATTTTTTTTTTAATCTACCGCTCGTTCGGAAAGCTGTCTCATCACAAGAAGTACGAGCAAGAAACTTGCGTGTTGCTTTTTTAAATAATTTTATTATTACTTTACATTTTTAAAATGAATTCATAACATCTGTTAAATCATATTTACTGAGCAAAGCCTATTACTCACTAAACGATTACTTGAATGACGAGCGTGCATGGCAATAGTTGTTCATGCACTGAATTTTCATTTACTGTTAGACATAGACACCTATATAGATATACATTGTAAATAAACTGGCTTTAAAAAAAAGTAATTCAATTGAGTTTCTTGCCAGTTCTTCTCAATTGGATCTATATACCGAACTGGATGGTAGGGAAAAAATTAAAATTTGACGTTCATAAGCGGCTAAAATGTCCTACATGAATAAATGATTTTTGAATTTGAATTTGAACCTGGTGGACGTTAACCCCTCCAGGACTATGTTCATGTGTGTGTCATGTGATTGATCAATCAATGATGATTTTGTAAAATGTCTACTTTTGGTAAATTTGAGCGTGTATTTTCAATGGTAAGTTTTTAATATTTTAACGGCAATCATCATTGTAGTTTTGAATTACAGTTTGACTAATTTCTCCTTATTCTTATTGTATTTCTCCAATAATAAGTGCCAAAGTATCGCAAAAACAAAATTGAATTTTAATAAAAGAAGAGTCAGGCCATACCCTGAGTATGACCGCGTTGGTGTCCCAGACGGAGGCGTCCTCGACCAGCACCAGCTGGGAGTCGGTCACGTTCAGCTTCAGCTCGAACTGGGCCGCCGCGGGCCGCGCCTCCCCCGCCCCCGCCCCCGCCCCCGGCCCCGCCCCCGGCCCCGCCCCCGGCCCCGCCCCCGGCCCCGCCCGCACCACGCGCGCCACGTGCACCGGCGGACATGTCTCCTCACTGTTGCATAATATTAGGAGTCAACACAAGTACGATATTTTTTCTGTTTATTCTGACACATACAACAATTAAAAATCATATATATATATATATAATGCAGTATTACTAAAACTAAGACATTTAGTATCGAGACTCAAAATGAAAGTAGTATTGACTAAAAGTATCGCTTCGTTTTTTTTTTTTATACTACTATGGTGGCAAACAAGCATACGGCCCATCTGATGGTAAATGGTTACCGTAGCCTATGGACGCCTCGTTAACATTACTATGATGCGTATGATAGTTTATATTAGTCCGGGTGATTTTTTTATGGATGATAATAGAACGGTGCACCCATCTGCGCTAACGGTTTACGCTGGCGGGGCACCAGTGGAGAATGATAAGATGAGCATGAGGTCAGGTCAGTTAGCCCATCGTGACAAATTCACCAAGAAGTTATCACGATGGTTTCCAGGGGGAACCGCGGTCAACCTGACATGGTACATTGCTAGCAATAAGATCATCTGTCCACATTACTAACAATCCCCTTTCCCCCTAGTCTGGGTGATTGGTATATATATTATATAGTAACAAAACAATGTATTTATATCAGTTGCATAGTACCCATGACACAAGCTCTGCTCAGTGTAAGAATCCTGAGTTATTATTATAACGCTAACACCGTTTGGTCCTTCAAGCCGGATTACAACATGTACAGGAAGTCTATTCATATATATATTATGTATAAAAAAAAAATGTATTTATATCAGTTGTTTAGCACCCATAACACAAGCTCTGATTAACTCGGGACAAAATGTGTGATTTAACCTGGGTTACTATTATTATTATATTAACCGTTTGGATCTTCGAGCCGGATTACAACATATACATGAAGTCTATTCATATATATATTATGTATCAACAAAAAATGTATTTATATCAGTTGTTTAGCACCCGTAACACAAGCTCTAATTAACTCGGGACAAAATGTGTGATTTAACCTGGGTTACTATTATTATTATATTAACCGTTTGGATCTTCGAGCCGGATTACAACATATACATGAAGTCTATTCATATATATATTATGTATCAACAAAAAATGTATTTATATCAGTTGTTTAGCACCCGTAACACAAGCTCTAATTAACTCGGGACAAAATGTGTGATTTAACCTGGGTTACTATTATTATTATATTAACCGTTTGGATCTTCGAGCCGGATTACAACATATACATGAAGTCTATTCATATATATATTATGTATCAACAAAAAATGTATTTATATCAGTTGTTTAGCACCCGTAACACAAGCTCTGATTAACTCGGGACAAAATGTGTGATTTAACCTGGGTTACTATTATTATTATATTAACCGTTTGGATCTTCGAGCCGGATTACAACATGTACATGAAGTCTATTCGTATATATATTATGTATCAACAAAAAAAAATGTATTTATATCAGTTGTTTAGCACCCGTAACACAAGCTCTGCTTAACTCGGGACGAAAAGTCTGAAATCAAAATGTGTGCCTTGACCTGGGTTACTATTATTATTATATTAACCGTTTGGTCCTTCGAGCCGGATTAGGACAAGACTATATAAAAAAATACATCTCTATATGTATATCCGTCTTGTGCAGTATTTAAAATAATAAACCACGTACAGGTGCTGTTGGTCAGGGTCCACGGGCGGTGATGGGGGTTGCATGATGAACTGATTGGCCGCCTCCCACCAATCCAGGATCGCCATCAGCCGCATATTGTTCACTAGTATAGTGTACGCGGAGGAGTCGCGACGCTTTCTGACAACAAAATGGAATTATATTTGTTTACTAGCTACTCGCCCCCGCTTTGCACGGGTGTACATGTATTATATATATAAACCTTCCTCTAGACTCACTCTATCTATTTAAAAAACCGCTACAAAATCTGCTTCGTAGTTTTAAAGATTTAATCATATATAGGGACAGGCAGCGACAGCGACTTTATTTTATACTATGCAATGATAACTAGCGACACACCTCGGCTTCGGACGGGTATGTAACAAAAATTCTAAGAAATATAATATTTAAATATTTATTTCTCACACTCATTTCCACTTTTAATACTAAAACTATATACATTTCATTACATTATCATAGTTTCCTTATGGATCCATAACGTTTTTGAAAATATTCTGTTTTCACAAATAACACAGGTTCCAAACGATAAAAGAATTTTTAGAATAGGACCCGTAGTTTCGAAGCCTATTCAATGCAAATCTCCCTCTTTGTAATATTGGTAATAAGTTTTAGTAAAAGTATACAAAAATCTGTATTACATGTCTGTGTAATAGTATTACCTGTAGCAACAGTCAATAAAATACGTTCTGGCTTGACTATTAGACAGATCAGCCATGTATCAAAATAGTCAGCGAGGGAGGAGTAATGAGTGAGGGGGGAGTAGTGAGTGAGTGACGGAGGAGTAGTGAGTGAAGGGGGTATTGAGTGAAGGGGGGTAGTGTGTGAGGGGGGGGGGGGGGTAGTGAGTGAGGGAGGAGTAGTTAGTGAGGGGGAAGTAGTGAGTGGGTTTTTACCTGGCATGCACTTCTGCCTGCACGCTGTGCCGCTGCTCGGCCATGGGCTGCACGATGTGGCTGAACACATTCCCGCGCCGGTTGGCAGGCTCCTCCGAGTACCGCGTGTCGCTCACCAATATCTCCTGCAAGGTACAATAGAATCCAATGGAATTTATTTAGGTCTCTGATCTTGGTTCCATTTTATAGATAGCGGTGTGTACCTGCGAGACGAGGTCGATGTCCTGGCCGAGGTCGGAGTAGGTCTCTACGAGCAGCCGCGACTTGATGAAGTTGACGCAGGCGAGCGGAGCCCGCAGCCCGGGCGGGCACAGCTCCACGCGCACGTCCTGCAGCTCCAGCCGCACCGACACCGTCGTCCACACCTGCCACGCAACGTGCCACGCGGCGGGGATTAATAATAATAATAATCATCTCAGGACAATTCACACAGCGCCATCTAGACCCCAATTAAGCTAGCTAAAGCTTGTGTTATGGGTACTAGATAACTGATATATATACATAGATATATTTTTTTTGTAAATACATATATATTATACATAGAAAAACCCAGACCGATACAAACAATCATACTCATGAATATAAATCTGGTTACATATACTGCATCTAAATCGAATTGTTATATATAACCCAAAGGTGACCTCCACGCTGTTGACTGACATAGTGATCTAATCGGTACGCACTGTGACTTTTTATTTTTACCTATCCCAAACCACTGGACTAAATATATATATCGGTGACTGATATAATTATGGCATTTGAAATTTGATGAAATTTGGCATGCAGGTAGGTGTTATGACGTAGGCATCCGCTAAGAAAGGATTTTGACTAATTCTACCGCCAAGAGGATAAAATAAGAGATGAAAGTTTGTATGAAACTTTTTCAATGTTTGTATGAAAATTGCAGGATGTAAATGTATTAGTCTGAACCTATCAGTACCTAATGGAACGAAGAAATTAAGACGAACAAAATAATTTTTATTTCTTTAGGCTACTTTTATTTTAGAAAAATAAAGTTAAATTCCACGCGGACGAAGTCGCGGGAACAGCTAGTAGACCATCGACCATCAGAGGTAAGGCGGTGTGCTAAACCGCTAGACCACCGAGGCCGTCATGAGATGAAAGATGAAAGATGCTATGCTTGTATTGTGATGACTAATTGAAATAACGGTGGCGGGCCGGCAGATATATACACATATATATTTAAAACTATACCTACTTTCTCATATAGACCAACCAATAGTGTGGTGTGTGGTACCTGTTCGTGGTGTGCGGGCGGGCGCGGCTGGTGGGCGGGGTGCGCGGGGTGCGCGGGTTCGAGGTCGGTGAGGTCCTCCCCGAGGTTGTGGGCCAGCACGCCGCGCACCACGCGGTACTGCGGCGGCTGCAGCGAGCACGACAGCGTCGTCAGCGTGCCCACGATGCTCATGTCCGCCACTGTCGCCACCACACGTGACAATATCATCAATATCTTTACATGCACAAATAGTGCAGTTTACAAGGGATAAAGTTAAAATAATACTCAATATCCCAATTTACAAGTCACTAATAACTTTTTTGTAATTAAAATAAGTCATTTTGTATTTTTCAATCCGGCTCGAAGGATTAGTACTAATTTATAACAGATATTTGTAATGTCAATGAAAAAATAAATACCGTTATGGGTGCGCGAGAGGTTGTATTCTATGTGGAGGTGGAGGCTGGCGGGGCGGTGCAGCAGCGGCGCCCCGCGGGCTCGGCGCGGGCTGCAGCGCAGCGACACGCCCTCCAGCGACACCGCCTGCACCTCCAGCAGCTCCGGACACTCTGTGTCCACACCACCACGACGTCCATTACTCACACTGTCTCACTAACTCGCACTATCTCGGACCGTCAAAACTTATGCTGATTTAAGACGCATTCACGAATACTAATGTAGCGGTATTTGAGTGTGCAAAAGTTTTGTAGTCTATAAATCGACGGCCTCGGTTGTCTAGCGGTTTAGCACACCACCTCTTTTACGAAGGCCGCGGGTTCAAATTCACGAACGAATTCATGAGTATGACAGTTTGGGCGTATTTTATATATATTATATAATATGTATTTTCTAGGCTGTTAAAATTATATGAACTCGTATAGTTGCCTCGGTTGATAATTAAAAGACGCGTACACGCAATAAGTAAACATATTGATTGACACGATTGAGTACGCACCTCAGTGCGTACGGATAAGCGACGGACTCGAAATATCACGAGTTGTCGGCAGTTAAGGGGTAGAAGTGATGATACAGATTTGCATGAGAATAGAATAGAATAGAAAAGTATTTATTCTAATAAACTTAATTTAAGCACTTTTAAACAGTCATAACAATTTGTTTTTTATCTACCACTCATTCGGAAAGCTGTCTCATCACAAGAAGAACGAGCAAGAAACTTGTGTGTTGCTCTTTTAAATAATCTTTGTAAGTTTACATTTACAAGTCGAAACGTGTGAATACAAACTACCAACCAGCACAAATTTTTGGGTCAAATATAAGTGTACAATTAGATTAAATCAGTCGTAGTAATAAGAGCAGACCAGTCCCTACAAGCAGCACTCGTTCACGAGTATGACGGACGAGCCAGCCATTTCTGCGCTTGACCATATTTTAGGGAGCCGAATGATCCGGCCCACCACGCCGCCACACGTCACATCGAGTCGGCGCACTTCATACAAGTTTGTATAAAAATAAGTACACATATTTTCTACCCTGTTAAAATGAACTCTCGTAGTTACAGTTAACGGGTAGCAGTGACGGCACAGATGTGCATAGTGGTCGGCGACCATGCCGATCACGGGGTTCAAACCTCAGGCGTTGAAGTTGAGGGATTGCAGCGGCAGTACCGACCTGCGTGGGGGTCTGCGCGCACGCTGACGGTGTGCGGGTGTCCGGCCGGGAGGAACCGGTTGGTGAGCCGCAGCCGGGACAGCTGCGCGGCCAGCGCGGCGCGCGCCCGCCCCGACACCGGCACCACGATCTCCGGCGCCTCGCAGCGCACGCGCAGCCTCCGCCGCCCCCCGCGCCGCGCCGCCGCCGCAGACACCTGCCCACCGCCGCCCACGCCACTCGTTAACAAACTCAATCGTGTCACCGCACGCTTTACATGGCGAGTACGTACACTTTATTACACTTTATTTTACACCAATATTATACCTATCAAATATATCGAATGGTACATAAATATTTTTAAGAGTTATTTATTGTTCGTCACACATTATACATATATATATCGACAGCCTCGGTGGTCTAGTGGTTTAGCACACTGCTTTACTATCCGATAGTCGTGGGTTCGATTACATGAATACAAACATTTGTATTCATGAGTATGATTGTTTGCATCGGTCTGGGTATTTGCTATGTATAATATGTATTTATTTACAAAAAAAAATTTATCCATGTATTAATATCAGTTGTCTAGTACTCATAACACAACCTCTAATTAGCTTGGGACTAGATGGCGCTGTGTGAATTGTCCTGAGATATTATTATATATTATTCTCGTACTGTTACATGTTTAAAAAGACTTATTGTCTGTGTAACGCTAGAAAATATGTTTGTATACTCTTAAATATATATATATTTGTATTGATTTTATAATACTTAAAAAAAATACCGGCCATTCTAAATGTCTGCTGACTAGATTTCAATTATAGATATAACATATACTGTACAATACTTCCACATAATAATTTATAAATAGCATCTACTGTTCTATTATCTACTGTCATATTATGACAGTTGCTACATGTCAATGTCAGGTTCACCATTTTTGCTTCTTGTTCAGATTGTCGAGCATCTATATGCCACATTACTTTGTGTATTTCTATAATATACAATAATTCAGAAATATAAACTACTAACTACTCGCCCCGGCTTCGCACGGGTGTACCTGTATTATATATATAAACCTTCCTCCTGAATCACTCGTATCTATTAAAAAAAACCGCTTCAAAATCCGTCGCATAGTTTTAAAGATTCAAGCATACATAGGGACGGACAGACAGCGACAGCTACTTTGTTTTAAACTATGCAATGATTCTAATTACCTTCCGTCTAGCCTGCAGTATGACCTTGCGCAGCAGGCTGAAATCCCTTGCAAACGCCCGTAACTCCTGCACGAACCGCTTGGTGTGAACGTACGTCATCGGGCCCATCTCGATACTCAGGCTGGTCTCGTATCCTGCTTCCTCAGCTTCCGCGGCACTCAATCTGTATTGTTAAGAAGAAAATATCCGTCCAAAAATATGTTACGTATTTTTAAGTAAGTAAGTCATTTATTCGCATTACAGACAGATATGCACATAATAAAGCCACAGTGATATTCGAAGGCTACGCTGTAAAATGCTTTTTTTCAGTAGGCATGGAAGTTTTATTAATAAACCTAATATATATAACTCAAAGGTGACTGACATAGTGATCTATCAACGCGCAGCTCAAACCACTGGACGGATCGGGCTGAAATTTGGCATGCAGGTAGATGTTATGACGTAGGCATCCGCTAAGAAAGGATTTTGATTAATTCTACCCTCAAGGGGATAAAATAGGGGATGAAAGTTTGTAAATTTTAAACCGATCGGACTGAGACTGCATTGACAAGCTTGTATTTACATATATTAATACATTATAACAATTACATACATATTAGATATTCAGAATATAACAATAAAATATCTGAAAGTAAAATTACAGACTACGGATATATCATCTTAATTTTCCGGAATTGCAATGTGTTGCAATTGTGGTGCTGTTTCAGTGCAATAAGTACATCTATTCCACACAAATACTGTCTGGAAAGCTTTCACTCTGTACGATATAGTCGTGTACGCTCCGGACACGTACCTGTGGTACTGGAAGGAGAGAGCGCGGCGCGCGTGCGTGGTGAAGCGGTCTCGCCACAGCGCGGCGGCGGGCGACAGGTCAGTGACCCTGAGTGCCCCCAGCCGCCCCCTGACGGAGCGCGCGCCCCCCGCGCCCCCCGCTCCCCCCGCTCCCCCCGCGGGCCCCGCCGTGGCCTCGATGGAGACGCGCGAGACCAGCGCACGGCAAGTCTCCGCGCCGCCGCGCACCAGCACCGCCGCCAGCGACCGCACCGACACCTCCGTCTGTGTGCTGCCGCCCTCCGCCCACACAGACACGCCCTCTGACGACAATACGCGCCTGGTAGTTAGCGATCACATCCTCTGCACGTTATACACGCCTGGTACATGACGATTGTTCATACACGGAATCTTCATTCAATGTTAGTCATAGACACCTACTACTACACATATAAGTACATAATAAAACTGGTTTTAAAGAAAAGGAATTCAATTGAGTTTCCTGCCAGTTCTTCTCAATTGAATCTGTACACCGAACTTTGAATTTGTATACGGAATTGGACTGTAGCCAAAAAAATATTAATATAAAAGTTTGACGTTCATAAGCGACTAAAATGTCCTGCATAAATAAATGATTATTGATTTCATTTATATAACTTTTTTAATACATTTCATTGAAGGAATACGAAGTACTTTTTTCAACCAATAAAACATTATCTTAAATCAATTTTAGGAAATGTTTTATTACAAACTACCTTCAATTTTAGTAGAGTTCCTTAGCTCTCCTATATTGTAGTAACTATTGACTTAGGTACATAACACTTCCATTCTGCGAAATAGAAATATGATCATGGATGTCACAGTATATTTTATAAGGTTCTAATACTGGGCAAGATTATATTAATTCATCCGAAACAATACAAATTGTGTAGAATAACACAATACTCACTTAAATTGTAAATTTTTATATGTCAGCATAGTGCAATAGGTCAACTAAAGTCAAATTCAAATTCAATATCATTTATTCATGTAGGACATAGTACCGCTTATGAACGTAAAATTTTTTCCCTACCGTCCAGTTCGGTATATAGCTCCAATTGAGAAGAACTGGCAAGAAACTCAATTGAATTACTTTTTTTTTAAAACCCAGTTTATTTACAATGTATATTTATATAGGTGTCTGTCTAACATTAAATAAAAATCTAGTGCATGAACAACTATTGTCATACACTCTCGTCATTTAAGTAATCGTTTAGTGAGTAATAGACTTTGTTCAATAAATATGATTTAACAGATATTTTGAATTTATTTAAGGGTAATTCCAATATGTATATATATGTATATATATGTATATATATATATATATATACGCGTCTTATTCATCAGCTCATTAGTTAAAACATTCATTAGCGCTATTGAAGGTTTATAGAAGTGCGTTATTCATAAACCTATTATAAAGCCTCGCTAACTAATAGAGGTTTATAGGACTGTTTTTATCATTATGTTGCAATCTTGACGTTGGACTGTTTTACCATATACGCAGGTGACGTAATCAGTGTTGCTATTTTAATTCTTCACCACTAAATCTAGCAGAATTAACTCCTCCAGTATTGAACAAATTATGTAAATTAATACATTTTTATACATTTTCCTATTGAATATATATAAAATTGTATTTTATTATTGTAATTGTATTTCTATTTAATAAAGTTAAGGGAAGATAGACTGTATTTTTACATAGTTTTTAAATATTACAATGATTTTTGGTTTAAATATGCATGTATTTTTAAGCAAATTTTTAATATAATGGTTTCAAGTAGTTTTATTAATTCATTAATATTGATTTAAATATTTTGTAAAACTAGGTTTCTTTGCTATATAGTGGATTCAATAAAACATCGTTGGCAACACTGGTTCTGTCAAAACGATTGTTTTATAAATTGCATGTTATAATTTACGATTGTTTTAATATAGTTACAATTCGTTGAATTAGAATTAACGGATTTATTACATATTACGGATTTTCATTGTCTAGTAAATTTTAAAATGGATAAACAAAAGAGAGCACGAAGCGAAAATTGGTTGGAAGACGACAAGGTAAGATTGTGTTTACTTATCAATATTTGTTATTTTTGTCCAGTTTTGGATCAACATTATTTTTTATGTACGACTTTGAATTTCACTTGTTTTAACTTTTTATTACATTCATTTAATGCATACCTTATTTTTGATAGAATTTATTGTTGGAATTGATCCGCGATCGTGTCGCCGTACTAGAGAATAAGAATACGGATACGAATACCAACAACTGTAAAAAGAAAGGATGGCTGGAAGTTATGGAGGTTATTTATTATTTGTAGAAGCTAGCCCGTAGATTAGGCGCGCTTAGTATAATTTTATATGTGAATTGTTATTGCTCATGTACTTACACTTCAATATATTTTTCAGTTTTAATGCAATGTGCAAAGGTAGCAGACGCACATTGCAACAAATAAAAACTCAGTGGGGAGTCATCAAAGTAAATAAAAAGAAAAATTTAGCAGACCAGAGGCGATCTCTGAATAAAACTGGTGCGCGCGACCACCTACTGTGACTGTTCCAGTGGACAGTACAGACATATTGGCATGGTTACCGCAGGAGTTTTACGTGGACACCAATCTATATGACTCTGACGCTAAAACAGGAATTCCAGATGATCATGTAACCTATTTTTTATTTTTTCATTGCATATAATATAAAAAGTAAAGGTAGTAAGTGTAGGTTCATTAATCATTGTGTTCATATTTCAGATAAATGAAATAGATGTACCTGTTAGCGCTGTAAGTAATATATAATATGTAGTATCTATTATATCATGACATCAATGAACTCAGCATAATGTATATTATATAACATATATATATTATTTTTATAAAAGTACATGTGTAATTAAAAGATTCCAGACAAACCTAGAGAACCAAACTGAATGAAAAAGCCCGGAGATGCCAGAAATTATTTTGGAGATTGATGAAATTATTGAAAATGTAAGTAATATAGAACTTTTAAATATATTTTTGTGTGCTAAATGACTGGGACCAAAGATTATAAAGAGATGTTTGATATGATTGATTAAATTGGTTGGTATAATATGGTGTTTAATATACATAAATTTTGTTATTTCTTTTGTAGTCTCAAAGTGGCAGCACAAAAGAATATATTTCAAATGAAGGAAAGAAATGTAATAAAAAAAGAAAGGTACCCAAATAAATTTATACACCATAAAATACAAATATTTTTTATAATTAAATAATTGTTTTTTTTTTATTATACAGCTCACAAATACAAACAATTATATACAAAAAATAGCTGATACAGAGATCAAGAACAAAAATGAATTACATAATATACAAATGGATAATGAAAGAAAGAAAGCAAGAAATTTAGACTTGGAGTATGAAATTCTCCAACAAAAATTGATATTTTCTAGAAAGAAAAACAACAAGTATGTAGACAACTTGTAACAAGTTAAATATAAAATATAGTAAACAAAGTAAATTAACATAATTTATTTTATTAAAAATTATTTTGTATAAATGTATCCAAAATATATCGAGAGTGTCTTCTTACAGCACCATTGCCCATTCCTTCATCAATTTGATGTTGTGATTGAATGGTAACCTCTTCAAGATTCTCATATTCTGAAATTAATAATATTATTACTTTACAGGCCCATAATTTATTGAAAAATATAATGTATTGATACTTATCAAAATACAGCTTAAACAACAAGGATTAGAAAATGTCTGTATAACTATATTCAATGGATGACTGTGACTGCATCATATATCAGAAGATATAAATAACAACAATGTATAAACTACATTAAAACTTTGTCCTTTACACATAATCTGGATAAATAGTTTGAGTTACATATTCATAGCAGACCTGTTTCAAAAATAATTATATGGAAGATTTTTACAAAAATACATTTTCATATGAAGTCACAGGCAACCGCTAGTTGTAATAATTGTGTAACAGTGCAAATTATGAATGCACTGAAGTTGATAATCAAATATAGTAAACAAATTAGTGTTTGTACAAAAATGTATTGTAAATTTTTTGTAAAAATTGTGTTTATTAAATAATATTGAAATAAATAAAGTAGTGTTTCATTAAAAGAATTACCTAATATATCGTCATTCCTACTCATAGCGATATTGTGGAGCACAGCTAAAGCCACTATAACTGCCTTTCCATTTTCCAGCGATACACTTAATCCATGTAGTAAACATTGGAATCTCTGTTTCCACACTCCAAAACATCTTTCCACACTATTCCGTGTTTTGATATGGGCAGAGTTATACCTTTCTTCCTTTCTACATGCAGGATGCAAAATTGGTGAAAGGTAGGGCAGAAATATGAGTCATGGTAAACATGTCTAAAGTGACCATTATTAAACCTTTTTTATAATTGACTCAGTAAATATTCTACTGTCATGAGTACTGCCCCTCCATCTTGCTACAACATCTCTTATTACAAGTTTTGCATCACAGACAACCTAAAATCAAAATAATTAAGTACTTTATACATTTGTACATATATATATATATATATATAAACCTTCCTCTTGAATCTATTATAACCCCCCTTCAACATGCATTGTATAGTTTTAATGTGACTTTGTTTTATACTATGTAATGATAATTAGTTAATCAAACAATATAGATATGTTTTACACATAATACATAATTTTATCACCTGCACATTCAAAGAATAATATCCTTTCCTATTTATGTAATATTGGGCTGCATCACCACCTGTTTTTTAATTTTAATATGGGTACAGTCTATAGCCCCTGTAACCCCTGGAAAACCAGCCAGACTTTCAAAATTTGTCATACAAGACCGTTCCTCTGTGACAGTTTCTGGCATTTATATAAAAGTGGAAGCAAGCTGAGCAATTGCCTTTGCCACCCTACTACATATCCTACTAACTGTGGGTTGACTGAGTCCATGAAGATCAGCACAATCATCCTGAACCTATGAAATGAAAGATATCAAGATTAATTATGAGTTTGAATTGTATGAAAACTTACATATAAAAACTTACATTTTATATATATATAAATATATATGATATGTATTGTAAAAAAAACTTACCTCTCTTCGTCCCCAACACCTCAAAGCAGTTAACACTTGCAACTCTGGAGAAACGGCACCACCTCTGGGATCTTGTTTTAGTTGATCGTATACCAAGGAAATTATATAACAGTACTTTTATTGAATCGGTATTTATATTTAAAGCACTTATCTGGTAAAAGAAATGGATTGACTTTTTTTTAAATGTTTTTTTTTGACGTATTCTTGACATATCAATTAAATTAATTGTAGAAATGGTCGTAATTGCTTCCATTTTATTAATTAACGGAATAATTATTTCACAATTTTTAGGTTAAAATGCCGCTAAAGTAGGGAGTCGGCTCTGTTAACTTTATAGGCTCGCTATTTGACGTTTTGACTTTATCGGACCGCTATAGAGCGTTTATGAATAACGTTTTTCACTATCAGAGGTTTATCATAGGTTTATAGAGGGTTTATAGAACTGATTGCTAATGAACAGTTATAAGAGCTTTATATATATAGAGATTTTTATAAAGCCTTTATATATATGTATATATATATATATATATAGTCTTTATGGTCATCATTATAATAGTAAGTTTTTAATTGTCTCATATGTCTTACCGTTATGCTGCGGCTCGGGCGCGGGCTGGTCATCGGGCAGGTCGTCTCCAGCTATGCCGAAGAAGTCCAGCACGGTCACCCAGCTGTCGATGCTCACCACCAAGTTCAAGCAGTTGAAATCCACTTTCGTCAATTTCGATATCTATGGAATGGAGGTAAAGCAGGCACTAGTGACTTTTTTAGAAATATAGGCAAACTCGATAGCTCGGTAGGGACTTTATATTTGACAAGTGGATACGAGTGCCTTGAAAGAAGGGATGAGAGAAGGCACAAGCAAGAGTACCATTCCATCAGTATTCACATAAAATACTCACCTTGTTGTACTTCTCTTCGAATAGCGGATGTTGCGGGTCCCGTGTGTGTACTGACACCCAGACCAAGTTGTCGTCCGCGCTCAGCGACTCGTCGCCGTCGGGCTCCGCTCCCCCCGCGCCCCCCGCTCCCCCCGCGCCCCCCGCTCCCCCCGCACCACCCGCGCCCCCCGCGCCCCCCTTGGGAGCGCCGCACTCCGGCGAGCAGGGCGGCGTGGGCCCGCACTCGCTGTCGCGCTTCTTATATCGCAGCTGACTCTATTAACAAAAGACATTATTATAATCAATTGTCATTTTTGTATGCTCAAAAACAGTAAAAATATAGTCAATGTACAACACATTTATATAAAGTTGATCATAAATTTAATTTCTGCACAATACATATATAATAGATAAATGTTTTATAATTATATTTAACATTTGTATTCATGAGTATGATTGTTTGTATCGGTCTGGGTGTTTTCTATATACAATATGTATGTATTTACAAAAAAAAAATTATGTATTTGTATCAGTTATCTAGTACCAATAACAAGCTTTAGCTAGCTTAACTTGGGTCTAGATGGCGCTGTGCGAATTGTCCTGAGATTATTATTACTATTATACTACCTATAATTAAAAGGGAAGAAAATACTGCATGATCAAAATGCTCAAAATTAAACCCGGCAAATGTACTTACTATTACATATAACAACAATACAATAATAGTATTACTTATACACTGTGTAAATTAAAATTAAATAAATAGGAATTAAAATTTAAGTTCTATCTTCACTTCGAGAAAAATGCTACTTACAATTTTCATGCAAACGTAACTATAAAACGTCTCGTAATATAAGATATGCGTGCTCAGCACAGACCAACCTCCTTATCGAGCACGTTGAGCTGCCCGGGCAGCGAACCCGCGAGCCTGGAAGTCTGGTGCAGGCAGGACATCGGCGGCTGCTGCTGCTGTTGCTGCCACGCGAAGTCCGGGCACGACTTGGACACGAACACGGCTTTTGGCGGCACTTGCGGCGTGTGAGACACCATCATCATGCGGTGCTTCGAGTCTGGCTCCTTAGTCAGATCCTCCATGGTAATCGAGTGTAGTGATACCTGAGGTACATTCAATGTTGTTATTATTACTTTATATTTGTTTACATATTCAAAGTCAAATTCAAAATATCTTTATTCATGTAGGTCTATTACAGACTCTTATGATATGTCAAATCTACCGTCAGTTCGGAATGATTTCGAGATGAGAAGAACTGACAAGAAACTCAGCTCGTATTCTTTTTTAATGTTGTACATATTTACAATAATACTATTTCATTTAAATTCAAATTTGGGAGAATAGAGTGACCACCAGCATATGCTATATAAAAAAAAAAAAAACTAATCAGTGTTCGCAACCTGAACAGACCAGTCCCCACAAGCAGCACCCGTACACGAGTATGACGGATGAGCCAGCCATCATTGCACTCAACCATATTAGAGGGAGCACATCGACCTGGCCACCACGCCGCCACAAGTTTGAACTTTATAGCGAGCATGACTATTTCAAGTTACTCCACTACGTCATTTATATTATTTACAGCATAAACTGTACCAATCACAGTTTATTCGTTCATGTAGTTGATTTTTCCTATGAGAGGAAGGTAAAAGAGTTTTTGATTCATTTCATACATTTCAATCAACGTTCAATCATTAATCGTAACCAAGATGAAGATATTTTCTAATACAACTTTGAGATTGGTGCACCCGTGAGGGAGATAGTACGCGTTATCGATGGCCTGCAATCGTAGCGCCCGGTGAAATACATGATTCGTGATCTATAGTGACTGCAACATAACTGAAGTGTAAGGTAGATAGCTTATTTGAAGTGATATGTTGTTCAAACGCGTAGCCCGTTACAGCATGGTCTGGTGCGGCTGCGTGTTACCTGCAGCATGGTCTGGTGCGGCTGCGTGTTACCTGCAGCATGGTCTGGTGCGGCTGCGTGTTACCTGCAGCATGGTCTGGTGCGGCTGCGTGTTACCTGCAGCATGGTCTGGTGCGGCTGCGTGTTACCTGCAGCATGGTCTGGTGCGGCTGCGTGTTACCTGCAGCATGGTCTGGTGCGGCTGCAGCGCGCGGTAGTGCAGTGAGAAGTCAGCGAAGGCCAGCAGCACCAGGCCGCGCTCCCCCGCCCCCGCGTCCCGCTCCGCGCGCAGCTCCACGCGGAACGTCGACACCTCGAACTTCACTGAATACAGGACAGTTCATAATGTAATAGATCTGTAGCAGCATACAAGTAGTTTCCACACGTGCCACTTTTAGTCCTTGTAACTATTCTTCACCAGAAGACCAGAACATTTCAGTTAAACATACACTTCTATTCTGTCTTTCGACTGTATTGTTATACTAAAGGGACGTGTATATTTTAATACGACATTGTACGACGACGTGTACATTTTTACGACATTTTAATTAACTTGCAAAATAAATAATAATTCTTTACATTTGTGTACAGTAAAAGAATTACTTTTAGCAATTTTTTTAGAAAACAATATATTTCAACAACATAGGTACTATATATATATATCAAATATATTTGTTTAACAGTAAATTCAGCGTATTTTTATTTTGGACAGTCAAAGATACCTTACATTACATATATAATTCTATATAAGCAGATAGTGAAATAACATTTAGATTAACATACCGCTGAGCGCATTGTAGGCTGCGAGCGATGCCACCCGGGAGGGGGCGCGGTCTGTGGCCGTGGACTCGTTTGTGGGCGTGGCGGGGGCGGGGCCGGGGGCGGGGCCGGGGGCGGGGGAGGAGGAGGGTGAAGGGGCGGCGAGGACGGCGGCGCGAAGCGCGGGGTGCAGCTGCAGCGTAGGCACCGCAGATTCCGACAGCGATGATGTCTGTATGTAATAATATTTGAGGAATTTATACATTAAATTAATATTTATACGTTTAATATTTATACGTAAATCACGGGATCTTACCAAGTTTTATTTTTATTGAATTCCCGATATTTCGGTACTGTTTCAAGCGCCATGATCACGGGTAAAAAAGTTTATAAGATACCGTGATTTACCCTACATATAAATAATGACCGCGAGAACTTAAAACACTATATAGTATAATAATGTATATTATGGGACACAGTCACCTAGATACATCAAAATAATAATTGCATTTAATAATCTCTAGTAAGACAAATTCTTAATAACAATAATGAAGCTGAGTTAACTCAAAAATCATATAGAAATCTTTATTATATTAAACTTAATATTTAGCACTTTTCAATAGTCATATTCTTTATTCTACCACTCATTCGGAACACAGACTCATCACAAGAAGAATGAACAAACAACAGCTATGATCGGAGAATGCCTATATATATATATATATATATATATATATATATATATATATATATATATATATATATATATATATATATATATATATATATATATATATATATATATATAAATAATAAATTCTATAAAGTTATCACTACAGAAATTTACCAGAAAAACTTAATATGAATAAGAACTAAATGGTTGATAAAGTAGCAAATTTTAGTATTTTGAATAGCTGATATCAGTAGTAGACGTACGTGCGCGCCGTCGACGGTGGTGGTGGTGGTGGCGGCGGTGGAGCTGGTGGTGGTGTCTGCTGCGGGCGCGGTGAGCCAGCGCAGCGTGTCCAGCAGCTGCTCGTACTGCTCGCGGCGAGCTGACACCTGCAGCGGGCCCACCACCGCGCCGCTCACCTCGTACTGCGCGGACAACACAAATGTTACATATACTATTTTATAGTTATATGGGAAATGATTTTATTCAGTTCTGGTTCATCCGCAGGCCCTTATGGACCGCTGGGTTCGGGCCCCGAGCTTGCGCTCCTTACCCGGGCATCCTGTTGGAGTGAACCACCCCTACATCGTTCATTTACCGGCCGGAAGCCGAAAGCCGACTATTTTTAAATAGTCGGTTGGGGGGAAAGATTTCGCTCGCCGTGACGACTTGGCGCCGCCACGTCACAAAGACGTGATAACCCGGTGAAGAGTAAATTATGTGGGAGTAGAGTTGCGTCGGCGGGTGCACGTGGAGAAGGGCGAGGGTGCGCTTCGCGCCCGATATTCGCTAGAACATCGCGCGCGTCTACCGAACGACAAACTGCTCCAACGATGGAGTAGTTTGACTTTATAGTCATGGGCGATTACATTGATTTTGTTACCATTTTAAAACATAGAAAACTGAATTGAGAAACACGAAAGTAGATAAACGTATGAGAAACCAACACGGAGCTTCGTCTACGCCGATACAAAATTCAATAACGCACTCACTGCGCGTACGATGTCGTGCAGCACAGGCGAGCCGCACCTCCACCACCAGCAGCCGCTGCACCGAATGCGTTATGAGTCCGGGCGTCGTCCGGGCCGGTGCAGTGCAGCGCGAGCCGCACCTCCACGTACCTGCGTCCGGGCGTCGTCCGGGCCGGTGCAGTGCAGCGCGAGCCGCACCTCCACGTACCTGCGTCCGGGCGTCGTCCGGGCCGGTGCAGTGCAGCACGAGCCGCACCTCCACGTACCTGCGTCCGGGCGTCGTCCGGGCCGGTGCAGTGCAGCACGAGCCGCACCTCCACGTACCTGCGTCCGGGCGTCGTCCGGGCCGGTGCAGTGCAGCGCGAGCCGCACCTCCACGTACCTGCGTCCGGGCGTCGTCCGGGCCGGTGCAGTGCAGCGCGAGTGCACCTGCGTCCGGGCGTCGCACGAGCACGAGCCGCACCTCCACGTACCCGTCCGGGCGTCCGGGCCCTGCAGCGCGAGCGCACCTCCACGTACCTGCGTCCGGGCGTCGTCCGGGCCGGTGCAGTGCAGCACGAGCCGCACCTCCACGTACCTGCGTCCGGGCGTCGTCCGGGCCGGTGCAGTGCAGCACGAGCCGCACCTCCACGTACCTGCGTCCGGGCGTCGTCCGGGCCGGTGCAGTGCAGCACGAGCCGCACCTCCACGTACCTGCGTCCGGGCGTCGTCCGGGCCGGTGCAGTGCAGCACGAGCCGCACCTCCACGTACCTGCGTCCGGGCGTCGTCCGGGCCGGTGCAGTGCAGCACGAGCCGCACCTCCACGTACCTGCGTCCGGGCGTCGTCCGGGCCGGTGCAGTGCAGCGCGAGCCGCACCTCCACGTACCTGCGTCCGGGCGTCGTCCGGGCCGGTGCAGTGCAGCGCGAGCCGCAGCGCGGTGTCGTGCAGTACGGGCGAGCCTCCCGCCGCGTACACCTGCTGCACTGTTTGCTGTCCCCAGCCGTTCGCCAGCTTCTCGCTCACGTCCACCTGCCGCAAGACGCTTCCGTTATATCATATCATATATATATATTAAAATTTGCATGGTTGCCTAACCTAATAACCAAGAGGTAACGATCACTTGCACGTCTAGAAGCGCTAATGATTGTTGCGAAACAGTAATACGATGTTGTCGATTGAGATGATATCTATTACATTTGATAGTGAACTGATAAAATTATGTACTTTTTGACAGTTCACTGTCATCTCAAAATATCGGTCTTATATACCAAATAACAATAGGAAAATGTAAGGGATGGTTAAACAGTTTGTGCAGAGCATTAGTAACTAAATGTAAGGTGGGATGACGTAGTTTACACATGGCAGTGCTTAGTAGACAATATTTATTTTGTCTACTAGTCGTAATTAATTGCAAGTATTATATAGTGATCGTTGACTAAAACGCGCGCACTTCTAATAGCGTGTGAAAGAGGTGTCGATAAAGGTAGCTAGCGACCTTTATTTAGACGTATTTACGGTAATTTTCATAAGAATTTAACACTTAGAGATAATTAAAAAAATGCTTAAAACAAAGTTTATAGATTTGAATAGCTAAATGAATGAATAAATAAATGAATGTGTCCGTACCGAGAGCAGCGAGATGTCCCTGAGGTGCAGGTGGTAGCGGGCGCGTGTGGGCGGGCCGGGCCGGTTGGCGAGGCTCATGCGGCCCAGCCGCGCCACGAACGCCTCCCCCCCGCCCGCCGCGCGCGGCACCACCACCGCCGGGGACTCCACCTCCACGCTCACGCTGATCACGCCCGTCACAACACACCACTCGTTACACACACACATACCGCTGGCTACCACGTAATCAGCGTATGGTTTTTGTGTAATTAAAAGCAATAGGCAGATTGATAGTTTATCTTCTCATAATGAGGAGGTATGAAAATCAAAATTTTCTTAATGCCTTGTATGTTATAGAATATGGTAGGTCACGGTGATGGCAAAAAACGAAGATTTTTAGTCAATTGGATTTTATTTTCGATCACATAAATTTTATAAAAGTTCATTACAGATATGACGTGTGGTGTCGATCGCATCTAAGTACAGACTGCGTGGCGACCGTTGCGCCGGTTATAAGTTTTTAAAAACGACCACGACACCGCACGCAGAGACAATAACATAGACAAACATAATTTTAATTATTTTGTTTTTTGAGGCACAGAACGCGTCGCTTACAGCCTTAAAAAATAATAAACAGAACGGAACAAACAAACCGACAGACAGAGCGACAAAAATTGTAAAAAAGATGCGACGTGTAGTAAAAAAAAATAGAAACTCCAATTTTATTTATATTTTTGGAAAATACTCTCTGTACCAAAATGTACTATGTATACGTATTTATATTCATATGTATCTTCGCTGTAGTAAAAATGGTTATCACAACACAATGCGCGCGCGCGTCAATATTACAAACAGAACACAAACTAACGGACTCTAATATAATAATCTGTGCTTACGATGATACAGGGTAGATTTTGAACATATGTACAAATAATAGACTGACAATATGTACATAAAAATATTGATCTTATATACTACATGAAAATAGGAAAACGTCAAATTGGCAAAACCGAGCCACGACACCGCACGCGGAGGCAATAACATAGACAAACATAATTTTAATTATTTTGTTTTTTGAGGCACAGAATGCGTCACTTAACGAAACTGAGCCTTATGGCAAAACCCCCTATGCAGTGCAACATGTTGATATTAATTATAGGCACCTGAGCACGATGTTGTCGGAGTTGAGGTCTGCGGGCTCGTCCCGCGACAGCCCCGCGCTCACGGTGCGGCGGCGGGGCGCGGGGGGCGCGGGGCCGGCGGGGGGCGCGGGGGGGACGCCCTCCGACCACGGCGACGGCTTCGGGTTCGCGTACACCGACTCCCCCCTACAGTGCCACGTGTTCATATCATTATATATATAAATTGTATATATGGTCAATGTACAACATGTATTTGAAAAGAATACGAGCTGAATTTCTTGTCAGTTCCTCTCACCTCGAAATCATTCCCAACTAACGGTAGTATTGACATATCATAAGTCTGCAATAGACCTACATGAACAAAGATATTTTGAATTACGAATTTGAATAACTATGGCAATTTACCACAGAAATGCCGAAAACCCACCCCCTTCAGCCAGTAATCCTCCTTCATGAAAGTGGAGAGCACGTTGGTGGGGATCCGGACCACAAATACCTTGAAAGTCGCGTTGTGTCGACTCCAGCTGACCCTCAATGGCAAGTTACTCCTGGTTCGCATGTAATCGACAATGTCCTGCTCCTAGTGACGTAGTGTAATTTATGTTTTATACAGTAGAATAACGTTTAGATGAATATAGGGGTGCGTACCTGGCGGCGGCGGGGGCTGCGACGGGTGGTGCGGGCGGGGGTGCGGTGGCGGAGGGGTGCACGAGCCCGATGGCCATGTCAGCGGCGGCGGCGCGGATGGAGCGCGCCAGGTCGGCCAGGTACTGCTTGAACTCCGTGAGACACGACCGCAGCTCGCGCACCAGCGGCGCTGAGTGCGTGTACCACACGCTCGCCACGCGCACCGACACGTGCGCCTGCACCGCTGCGAACACCACCACGCTCATCACCACATGGATGACACGGTTTGTGTCATATCTTATTATTCTCATATGACAGAGGCATCATGGCGTCCCATACAGCGCAATCACCACGACCCCGGTCGATACTCCTATCGGTCCCCCGTGTAATTCAAATGGGGAGTGAAATTACAACAAGGCCTGAGCCAAGGTTCGAACCCCTAGTGGTGTCCTCAGACTAAAGTCGTATCCGTCGAGTGAGAGTTGGCCTTCAGTCGCTCCGTAAGTCCGCAGGTTTGGGGTGCTACCTACACTCCCCCCTACCGTCCGGTGAAACTGTAAAGACTAGCTGCGGCCAACAGTACTAGAGTAGTAAAATAAAAGACCGTCCTGTGGGTGAAAATGGCTAAGATAGTCGTATTATAAAGCCTAGTGAAAGGCAGTGGTTCCGAGGGTGGGTTGAAAAGCTGAAACCTCAAAATAAAAATATCAATTAAACCTACACACGTTACAAATAGCGGCCAGTTAAATCTACATTGTAGATAGGTTCTAAAACTAAAATACTTACTCGGCGCGTCGCTATCCTCGGTCGTCTCGACCGTTCTGGTGACGTGGAAGAACAGCGCCTTCTCGTCATCCCCGGCGACGTCGTGGTGGTGAGAGTGGTGAGGGTGGTGAGGGTGGTGGCGGTGGTGGGCGCGGCCTGCGGACAGCACGCGCGAGTGCAGGCCGGCGCCCTCGCACAGAGACACCACCTGCACGCCGCCCAGCGAGCCCTCCACCTCCACGCTGCTCCCGTCTGTACCACAGCATACGTTATTTATTTTAAGAATCAATATAGAAACGTTCTATAGCGTCCTAGCGTGAGCGATAGCTGCGCCTGGCTAGTAATGGACTAACAGAGAAAATATAATCTCTCGACTCCTTCGCATTACATCAATATATATATATATATATATTCGCATTATATAAATTTCATGTAATTGTTCAACGAAATCAACTCTGCAACCTACTCCGTTACAAACAGTTTGTAGTTAAGTACATTCCACACATATCAGCAATAATAATGTACTTAGTAAGTAAGTAGTATATATGGATTGATTATTATAACAAACGGGACAGTCTACTCAAATATCATTTGTGTAACACCACCCTTATAACTCTAGCGGACGCGCTCCTATTATAAAATTGTTTCAAAATATATATACATACTTATAATTAACAATTAACTAATCCCTAATTCCAACTTAAGTATCAGGTAGTTAATTTTAAACTTTCGTGTTTAATATACATTATTTAAATTATTAACCGGGTCTTAAAACGAATAATTTTATGGCAAATAAAGGTATTTACCTCTCTCGACGTTTCGACTAGGTTGCACTAGCCGTGGTAGAGTAACAGCGATGTCAATGTAGATAGGTGACAGCAGTTTTTTCTTCATCTACCGTCACTAGATTGTTTAACGAAAGTTCGCGACACACAGCACTCACGGTATCCGTACACTTATTGACTATTGATGCTACTGAGAGGTAAATACCTTTATTTGGCATAAAATTATTCGTGTTAAGACCCGGTTAATAATTTAAATAAAGTATCAGGTAGTCTCCTCACCGAGCGTAGCCTGTATCTTGGCCTCCGCCACGGTGGCGGTGGCGATCTTCCTGGCCACCAGGTTCCCGTCGTGGACCGCCGCGCGCAGCAGCAGCACGCCCAGCCGGTGGAAGTCGAACGTGATCTCGGTGCGGACCTCCTTCTGTATTCACAATTACTTTACGTTAGAACGTGTATCTAAATCACTAGCAGATTCAGACCGCTCGTGATTCTCTCCCTGCTCAGCCAAATCTTTAGATACACGGTAGGAACCGGTGCGAATCTCCTTCTGTATTCACAATTACTTTACGTTAGAACGTGTATCTAAATCACTAGATACAAGATACACGTTCTAATGTAGAAGTTATGATCTCGGTGCGGATGTCCTTCTGTATTCACAACAACTTCTACGTTAGAACGTGTATCCAAACCTGCAGGCTGCTACCAGATTTAACTGGGCAGGGAGAGAAATACGGGCGGTGAAGGCGAGTGTTGAAGTACATCGTAAAAGGGCTTAAACCTACACTCGGGTTACGAGTCCCGAGAACTGCTCGAAGTTTCCCTTTCTGCCACGATGGACCCAGCACCAGTACATGTGTTTAGCCTCTGTGGGATCATGATGACACGTTACATGGTTTCAGGAAGTAGGACAAGGAAGGACATATATGGGATGAGTATGCGTGAGTGTGACAGATATGTAAAGTTGGAAACCTAACGTTGACTGCAACCAAACTGCAACTTTCTATATAATTTAAGATATAGTAATTGAGTGATTTAGCTAACCTGAAAGTGGTTTGCGGCAGGCAGCGACAGCAGGCTGGCGCTGATGGGAGCCACTGAAGACCCCGATGGTATGGAGGAGTCTTGAGGATCAGGGGTGGGATCCTCGGGATTAAGTGTCTCAGTAGTAGACGGAACGTGAGGGTCAGGGGGTGCGCAGGAGGTACTCGCACGCGACTCAGTTTTCGGTTTCTTAGGGCCCATAACACGCTGCGCAAATCCGATCAGCTCCACTATTGTCTCTTGATTCGCTGCAAATTAATATAGTGACCATATATAAACCATTAAACAACAGTATTTCAATATATTTAAACTCTAGTACAGTATTACAAATGGACCTAGAAATGACTGGCGCGGTTTCGGTATAATAAATAGTACAATTATTCTGACCTCTACCTCTATACTTACTGCCTACATACTACAATAAACAATATATTATATAGCAACACCTCATCACATCACATCACATAAAACGCAACAGTGATGAGGTGATACCACCGCGCTACAGACTCACCAATAATATCAAGGTTATTGAAGAGTATGTTCGCTATCCTGAGATCTTCCTCGTCCCCCCTCACGAGGCACAGCTCGACCGCGATGAGCGCCTCCGTGTCGACGAGGCCGGGCGCGGCCCAGCTGGCGGGGCCCCCGGGGCCCTCCCCGCCGCCCGCGCCCCACCACCCCGCGCCCCCCCCTGGGCTGGTGGAGTCGCCCGGCCAGTGCAGGCCAGGACTTGTGCGACCCGTTTCTTCTCCTTCTGTACAAAAACAATATTGTTATATTATACGTTTTGGTTAACATTGCATAAAATGTATTTGATAAGATTATTATAATTAATCAATTATTCCTATTTGTTTTATACACTAAAATTATAGTAATATAATTGCAACCAATAAGATTATTCACTTGGAATATACGGAGCAAGAGAGATTCTTATCATCTAGTAAGAAAAATTACCAGGCGCTTGCTTTAGAAATCACTGTTTAATAATTTGCTTTGAGTAGACTACATTGTTAGCAATAAACATACACTTGCAATATTTCTGTCTATACTCGGCACCCTTCCGTTTATTTACGTCTCCACATAACTAAGATTTAGCACACTATCAAATAAACTTACTAATGTAGTTCAATTAATACAACTGTATACTCACTACACAGATACTATAGGAAACAAAAAAATAAGTAGCGACACCTCATCACATACATAACGCTACAGTGATGAGGTGATTCCCATTGCGTTCCAGTTCCATATTCAGCTAAATTTTAAGCAAATTTAGATCAATATAAATATTTTCACAACAATAGTAGAGACATGTTCAGGTTTCTTTTAAATTAAATATTAATACGTACTTTTGCTATTGTTGGTGAGCGAGTGCAGCGCGTGGTGCAGCGTGCGGGGGTGCACGGGGGCGGGGGAGGGCGCGGGGTAGCGGGCCTCGGGGGAGGCGGGGGCGGGCCACGCGGGGGAGGTGGGGGCCGCGGGGGAGGTGGGGGATTGCGGGGACGTCGGCTCCGAGCCGCGGATACTGCCCGACGTCGTATCCATCCTACAAACAATACCATTATTACTTGTTATGACGTAATTATCACATCGTAGACCATTTGTGATGCTGATGGTAGATTTGAAATATCATAAGAGTCTAAAATAGATCTACATGATATTTCAAATTCTAATTCTTTTTAAAAAAACTCTACGTGTCGTTGTAGGCATGAGGATGAGTTCAGATAAGAAAACTTAATTTTTATGCTATTTATACTTTGCAGACGAAAATTTTTTCACTAGTCTTTCATTTATTAGACAAAGTGTTAGCAAATTCATACAAATAGTGTACAGAAACAGAAATTAGAACAGTTAAATATAAAAATATATGATGAAATAATGTAGTGGACTCACCCTACGTGCTTGTGGCTGGCGACGAGCAGCTCGAAGTCGGGCCCGTAGGTCTGCAGCGCGTCCACCAGCAGCAGCGAGTGCACCGACAGCGACAGGGACACGTCCGCAGGACGAGCGCTCACAGCAGCCCGCACCCCGCACACCTGCACCTCGGCCACGCTGCGGCCCCGCGACTGTACCTACACACACACACACACACACTCAGCGCCGCCCGCACCCCGCACACCTGCACCTCGGCCACGCTGCGGCCCCGCGACTGTACCTACACACACACACACACACACTCAGCGCCGCCCGCACCCCGCACACCTGCACCTCGGCCACGCTGCGGCCCCGCGACTGTACCTACACACACACACACACACACTCAGCGCCGCCCGCACCCCGCACACCTGCACCTCGGCCACGCTGCGGCCCCGCGACTGTACCTACACACACACACACACACACACACACTCAGCGCCGCCCGCACCCCGCACACCTGCACCTCGGCCACGCTGCGGCCCCGCGACTGTACCTACACACACACACACACACACACACACACTCAGCGCCGCCCGCACCCCGCACACCTGCACCTCGGCCACGCTGCGGCCCCGCGACTGTACCTACACACACACACACACACACACTCAGCGCCGCCCGCACCCCGCACACCTGCACCTCGGCCACGCTGCGGCCCCGCGACTGTACCTACACACACACACACACACACACACACACACACACCTGCACCTCGGCCACGCTGCGGCCCCGCGACTGTACCTACACACACACACACACACACACTCAGCGCCGCCCGCACCCCGCACACCTGCACCTCGGCCACGCTGCGGCCCCGCGACTGTACCTACACACACACACACACACACACACACACACCCACACACACACACACACACACACACACACACACGCACACCCCGCACACCTGCACCTCGGCCACGCTGCGGCCCCGCGACTGTACCTACACACACACACACACACACACACACACACACACACACACACACACACACACACACACACACACACACTCAGCGCCGCCCGCACACACCTGCACTCGGCCACGCTGCGGCCCCGCGACTGTACCTACACACACACACACACACACACTCAGCGCCGCCCGCACCCCGCACACCTGCACCTCGGCCACGCTGCGGCCCCGCGACTGTACCTACACACACACACACACACACACTCAGCGCCGCCCGCACCCCGCACACCTGCATCCACGACCATCACTACACACTACACACACATACACACTCACTCATATAACACTCACTATACTCATACTGCTGAGTGCAGCACACACTCGTACTCAGTATCTAACTACACAACTTGCTTATTTTTCTTCTTTATAAAACTTTCTTTAAATACATATTAAATACCATCAACTACGTGATCCTTAATATAATTTTACAAATGTGTGTTTGTTACACTTTCTCGCAAAAACTACAGAACTGATCATCATGAAATTTTGTACACATGTTCTGGGAGGTATTAGAATGAACATAGGATACTTTTTATTCAATGCGAGCGATGCCGCGGGTAAAGGTAGTAATAATTATATATATATATATAATATATGGTACATTATATATACATACACGCAAAAGACATGTACCTCGAGTGACATCTGGTCGATCGCGAACTGCAAGATGAACAACTTGGAGTTGTGGTGCATGGAGGGGTCGGAGCGCTCGGTCTCGGAGCTGATGCTGGCGTCGTCGTCGGCCGCCGCCCCGCGGTGCTCCTCTGCCGGACCCTCGCTCCCTCTGCATCCCATACACCACAATTAAATCACAATGAGCACAGACTGTTTACTCTTAAAAGATGATAATACGAATCGTTTATTATGTATGTTAAGAAAATGTTACTGATATAAACTGATGACTAAAAATCTTTTACTACATATGTTCTCTACGATCGAATATATGCAAAACGTGTACAGAACTTACGCAAAATACTATATTTAGTCAATTTTGATGATGTAGTTATCAATTTAATAATCATAATCATAATAATATCTCAGGACAATTCACACAGCGCCATCTAGTCCCACGCTAAGCAGAGCTTGTGTTATGGGTACTATACAACTGATATAAATACATGGATTCATTTTTTTTTGTAAATAAATACATATTATACATAGAAAACACCTAGACCGATACAAACAATCATACTCATGAATACAAACGTTTGTGGTTTGCGAGGAATCGAATGTCATTTTGACCGTCGGATAGTAAAGCGGTGTGCTAAACCACTAGACCACCGAGGCTGTCACTGTTAATGAGTATATAATGGTTCTTTATTTATGGTTCATGAATGTTGAAATGGGTCTGCGTGTGTCCTTGAAATTTGGACAAGATCAGAACTGCACGCACAAATCACGAAGCGTTCAGTAATAAGAAAAAATTATGTTGTCTTTAAAAACTTATGAGTTTTTTTTATATTATAGGACATATGCAGTATACGTAGAGCTTTATATTACTCTCAAACAGTTGGCGGTTTAAGGGACGTTACAATGTCATTTTGATTAACAGTTTAAATGATCGGGAGTTCAATTTACGTTCATTACAAAAATACATGAGTGTGACTGCAAATAGTAGTGTTTGCAATGATTGTAGTGTTTTAATGTATGTGTACATGTAGCGTATGAGTATGAGTTTGAGTTGAAGTGAGTGTGAGTGTGTGTGGGGGTGTGGGTGTGAGCAGGAATGTGAATGTGGGTGTGAATATGAGTGGGAGAGTCAGTGTGATTGTCAGTGTCAGTGTGAGTGTGAATGTGGGTGTGAATGTGAGTGTGAGTGTGGGTGCGAGTAGTGTGTAGGCGTGTAGAGTGTGAGTGGGTGCGTGGTGGTGGTGGTGCGACCTGTGGAGGTCGCGGTGCAGGGCGGCGCCGACTGCCCGGAGGGCGGCCAGCTTGTGCTCGGCGAGGTGCGCCACCAGCGCGGGCAGCGCGCCGCGCACCGCCAGCGCCGGGTACGACGGGTCGCTCGTCCACACCACGCGCCGCTCCGCCTGCCCGAGTGCGGGAGGGGCGTTATTAATACACATTCACGAGTCCACACTCCTTACTCCATTATTAGCAACCGTGGCGGTTTGACCCACGCGGTTCCCCCGGTAAACCATCGTGATAAATTGGCATTTCACCTAGCCGGGCTGACTGACCTGACCGTCCTAACTTTATGCTCGTTTTATAATCCTCCACTGGCGCCCCGCCAGCATGGACCGTTAGCGCAGGCGGATGAACCATTCCAGTATCATCCACTAAAAAATATATCTTATCATACACCCAGATTGATACAAATAAATGTTTGCACCATGCGGAGAACCGACGTTCGCTTTCCAGCCAGTGTTATTTATTATAATCTCAATATCCTATAACTTCACTACAATGTCTTACCTTTCACCAGAAAGAACAAGATACAAAGAAGCTACTTTGAGGGCCTCAGTGGTCTAGTGATTTCGCACGCCGCCTTACTAGCGGGTTCGATTCTCGCTCAGTAGACACATTATATTATACCACTGGCTGCATGCATAAACGAAATATCTCCTTTGGAAAGTTTACTCTCTTTCCAGAGGAGATTAAAACCACTGCGGTTAAAAATATCCTTCAATTCTTGTCCCGGACGGGTCTAGGTACCGAACTTTGAATAAGGGCGAGCACAATAGATATATGTAGGTCGCAGTGCTACAGGCACCAGACAATAACCCAACAACCCAAAAAAAAAAAACACTGGCTGAAATCGGTAAAGGTCCTCTAATATTTTTTAAATTGTAATATTTATATTCCTGCATTTTTAATTTGTAAACTTTATTTCTATTTATAAAATGTATCTCATGTATGCTATGTGTTTGTAATTGTTAAATAAAGAATTTATCTATGTATCTATCTATTTAATAATAATTAAACTAAATCTATACTCCTTTATAGAGTGACAATAACGAACCATTCCTTAAACAAACACCTATACACAATAGATGCTACAGACAGTCCTCTTTGTCGGGGCTGCTTTGAAGCTGACGAAACGGCGGCTCACGTAATCCTGGAGTGCTTGCAGTGGCCACACAACGAAACAAAAACAAATCCTCGGAACGGTGAAGTCGCTCCGTAAAGCCTGTGAAGACACCAGGAGTGTTCTGCGCTTTTGGGAGGAGCTTGGCTGGCTACGTTAGTAGTCTGGCTATACACGCACAACGGCCCGAATGAGAGGCTAATTGCGGAGACTGGAGTCCAATTTACATTTTACTCCCTTAGAGATGGAAAATACACTTCTTACCTAATCACATCTATACGGATTTTAACGAAATAGATTGTAACATGAGTACAGACATCGAAGAAAGTCGCAGGTAATATCTAGTTATATACACAATAAACAACCTGCAGTGATATGCTGAATCTGTCGAGGAGGTGCAGCGTGGAAGTGCTTTTAGTGTGCGCGTACTTCCAGTTGTCGCGGGTACGTCCCACCAATATCTGTAGGTCGCTCAACTCTATCTTATATCTGAAACAGAAATATAAATAACATAATCTTTATTAAATCACTTAATATAGCTTTTGAATAGTCAATTTTACTTTACCACTCATTCGAAACGCAGTCTCATAACAGTGGATTGAGAAAAAAGCATGGGTGTTGTTTTTTTAAGATTTTTTTTTTATTTATGTTTGAGTACAACAATGTTAAACGACTTAATCAATCTCAATTTTAACGTTATTAAATTACTCATTCATTAATATACTTTTATGAAATCCGACTATATAATGTAATGAACTGAAGTAAAAATGCGCCCAGCGACTATGCTATTTGTTTCGCACAATGCCGCATCCTTCAATCGTGTGTTCTTTAACGCCTTATTGTAACCAATAATAACCATAACAAAATGGCGAACATCTGACTATGGAGCAAAGACATAATCATAGAGTTATTGATAATTTATTAATCTCAAACGTGTTTTTGGAAAATAAAATTTATAGAATAAAAAATATAAATTTAAAAGAAAGTGAAATGATTTGAAACATACGCGCCCAAAACGCGGGAAAGACTCAATTTCGTGCGCTTGGTTTCCCGCGTTAATACGCGCTTTCCTGTGTAACACGTGTACGCGTGTAACAACGTGTCGTGTAGAGCTAATGTGCAGCTTGGAGATAAAATGTGAATTTAAACCAAAAAATCTCATCAAAGGGTCAAACGACGGGCCTGTTCGCGCGTGTACAACGTGTCGTGTAGAGCTAATCCCATCAAAAACATAAATGTGAAATGTTAGCCGAGTTTAATATTATGATATATGCCTTGATTGTTGACTTCTACGACAAAAGAGATGAGATCTAAATGGGTGCCAAGTTCAATGGTCTGTCCTGAAATGTATTTATAACAATATAAAATATCATTTCTTCTTATAACTTAGGATAATATAGTATAACCTAAGGTCTAACTAGGTCATCTGGAAGTGGGTTATAATTTTGATCTATAGTTGATCAGTGATAAAAATGACGATTTTTGGACATTAATATCTAAATAACCGTTTGAGATATGTTTATGAAATTTGGAATACATATTTATCTCGCAAGTCTCAATATATGAACCAAATTTGACAGGTTTATGTGAAAGAGTTTTTGAGTTATGAGGGGGTCAAAAGTGGCTCCAAATGGTTCGTGTAAATATACACACGGTGCTGCAGGCCAGTTTACTTGAAACTCGGCTTGACACGCTACCGCGTGTCTAGATGTGCAGCTTGGAGGTAAAATGTGAATTTAAACCAAAAAATCTCATCAAAGGGTCAATAGACGGGTGAATAGGGTTACCTGTCATAAAGGCTGTGATGTAGATGTTCGGCGTCGAGCGAGTGCTGGTGGTGGTGAACGTGGCTGTGCTGGTAGGGCACCAGCGGCGGGGACGCCGGCGACAGCAAGCTGCCAGGCGGCGTCGAGCACGGCGTCATGAACAATTCTAAACACAACAGTTATATATAGTACTAGCTGTCCCGGCAAATGTTGTTTTGCCTTAAAATAAAAGAAAAAATTTAGGGGTGGACTACCCCTAACATTTAGGGGGATGAAAAATAGATGTTGGCCGATTCTTAGACCTACTCAATACGCTCACAGGATTTCATGAGAATCGGTCAAGCCGTTTCGGAGGAGTATGGGAACGAAAACTGTGACACGAGAATTTTATATATAAGATAAATATATAATTAAGATATTGAAATCGTCTGTGTGGTTACGGCACTGATGACGGCAGTCTACCACGGTAACGCCGATACATCACACCCTTCGGCTAGTAGTCCTCCTTTATAAAGGTGGGCAGCATGTTGGTGAGGACCCGGGCCACAAACGCCTTGAAACTCGAGTTGTGACTCGACTCTGACAGCTGCGTCACCCTCACTGTCTTACTCTTGGTTCGTATATAATCGACAATGTCCTGCTCCATAGTGGCGTAATGTAGACGGGACAGGTACATTGCCATGTTAGGTGTAGCAGCTCGCAGCTCGCAGCAGCAGGAAGTTGGGTCCAGTAAGTGCAGTGCCGCAATGGTTCCTATTGACCCGGTTTGTGCGCCTCTTCTGTACCACGACGAAGCCATCATCGTCGCGGTTACCAGGGTCAATGGTCAGTGCCGTTTTTGGTACACGCTGCTGTTTGCTAGAAGCTGTAGGTTTGCTAGCGACGAAGGCGGCAAAATCTTGACGCTGTGGTTGCAACAAGGATTTTATTGGCGCTGCTTCCACGGGCAGCGATGCAGGCACTCACGGCCTGCAGGCTGGGAGCGCGGGGCGAGAAGTGATTATTATACAGACAATATAAGTATAGACAAGCTGTGGCTTACCTTCGTCGTCGAGAGCGTCGTCTGCGGCCGCGTTGGTGGTGTTGGCGGCTGTGGCAGTGGCGGTGGTGGTGGTGGTAGGCGGCAGGTCGTGCGGGTGGTTGTGCAGCCGCAGGCGGCCGAAGTCGACGGCCAGCACGGCCGCGTCCCGGTCGCACAGCCGCTCCACCACCACCAGCTGCGGCGCCCACACGTCCAGCTCGATCTGCCACGACCGTCGCTCACCCTGCTTGTCAAACAAACACTTGATGTCTTCGGAGGAGAATTTTAAGAGGCTGCGGGTGTCCGCGCATCAGTTGCACTGGAGGCGGAGCGAGTACGAGAGGACGGAAGACACGTGTTCAGAGAGGATGAGAAGCCGTATATGTTTCGTCCGCTGCCCCAGAAGGAGGAGAGTACGACAAAAGGTACAGGAGTAGACATCATTTGTAGGGGTCAAGAGAATGCGTGCCGACCGAGAGGTTGGTATGGCCATGGGTTGGTGGAGGGTTGGTCATACAAACAGTTGTGTCTGTGTCCATATATACCAGTGAGGTATATAGTTAGTGCACACATTCGAATAGAAAGAAACTATATTCAAATATGCTGAACATATATTTAAAAAAACAAAACGCAAGTTACTTATTTATTTTTCTTTCTTCTTTCCGAAGAAGTATCAACTAGAAACTTAAGAATAGAATAAGAATAATTTTATTGCTGCCGATCAAATTACATGAAAGAAATACATAATGTATATCTGTAACATATATGTTATTTAATTGAAGACGGCAAAAGCACTGGTTTCAGAACGAACCCTTTTCTACAAATTTTGAAGATAGTATAAAAAAATAAAAAAAACTAGGGTAGCAGATCACAGCCAAACTATACCACAAATACAATTTAACAAAACACAAAAAAATTACTCTTTGCTCTTTAAATAAATGTTGTTGAACATCACATTTTAAGAATAGAATAGAATAGAAAATCATTTATTCAAATAAACTTGATTTAAGCACTTTTGAATAGTCATAGTTATCATTATTTTAATCTACCACTCGTTCGGAAAGCTGTCTCATCACAAGAAGAACGAGCGAGAAACTTGTGCGTTGCTCTTTTAAATAATCATTGTAATTTTACATAGCCTATTCGAAATTTGAGAATACAAACCACCAACTAGCATTTAAGATTTTGTGTCACTACAAACTGCCAAAAAGAAAGGTTGAATTAAGTAAATAAATAGTTACTCGAGTAATAAAACGGTCATAGTTATCAGAGCAGATCAGTTCGTGTCGTTGCGTGTGTAGTGTTACCATGTGCGCGCGCATGATGTCGTTCCAGTGTCCCAGCAGGCGCGCCTTGGTGGTGTCGCGGGCGGAGGGCTCGTGGGGGTCCGCGGGGAGGTCCCCGGGGCCCCCGGGCCCCCCGGGCCCCGCGGGCTCCGCGGGCCCCGCCGCGGCCCACGGGGCGCACAGCAACTCGCGCGCCCACCGCGCCGCTTCTGCGCACCAAACCACCTCCAGCGAGCCAGATTTCACCCACAACCTGGCGACGAACAGACCAACTTGCAAACTGTTCTCTCTCGCATTCACCACAGAACAGATGAAATACTCCTTAAATGCAAACTTTAAAAAAAAATATGTACGATGCAACCATAGATTTTATGGTCGATAGTTTTACGCGACATGTGCGCATTATTATTCGTCGAGTCTGCTAACGAAGTCTAAAGAATTCAACTCCATTATAAATGAAAGAGGGAAAAAAATAAAATTATAAGGTAAAAAATTCGACGTTCATAAGCGGCTAAAATGTCCTACATGAATAAATCATTTTTTAATTATTAATTTAAATTTTGAAATGTAATTAAATACTACATCTACTACTTTAGTTTTTTTTTCTAATTTCTCAATTTGTGATTTTATCGCCTAGTATCATCATCTGCTTTTTCCTTATCCCATTTATTTGTGGTCGTCGTAATATGTTTTTCGCTTCCATTCATCCCTGTTCGCAGTCATCGCGTTATTTACTTCCTTTCTTACCATATCATCTTTCACACAGTCCATCCATCTCTTTTTTGGCCTTCCTCTGCCCTTATAACCATCCACATTCATTTGTAACATCTTTCTTAAAATATTATCCTCGTTCCTACGCATTACATGTCCATACCATGATAGACGATCGCCTAGTATGATCTCCTTTTATTTTTGGTCTACTCTAATGCTGCTGGCCGCAACTGGCCTTTACAGCTTCACCGAACGATAGGGGGCGAGTGCAGATGGCACTCAAAACCTACGAAAGAACTTATGCAGCGGATAGGGAGCAACTCCCGCCTGACGAATACAACTTTAGTCTAAGGGTACCTCAAGGGGCCCGAACATCGGCTCTGGCCGTCGTAATTACGATCAACATTGGAATTGAACGGGGGATCGATCGGACGGAGTATGCTCTCCATCATACTCCTTCTATTGCCCTTTGACACTTCGCTAATCTGTCTCTATGATTTTCTGTCAGAGACCATGTTTCACACTCATGTTATACAAGGCAAAATACTTGCATTGAAAGTTTTACTCTTAAAATGCATCTTTGCTCTTCATTATCTTTCAGGGACCAGTATTTCTTCCATTTCATTACATTTCACAGACACAAAATAAACTTTAATGACAAATAAGAATGAATAATCTTTCATCTGCGAAGAAGCCAAGAACTCACAGATGGGGTGTTGATGTCATTTTGACAGCTAACAGTTGAGAAGAAAAAAGAAAGAGAGATAGAGAGAGTTTGAGAAGAAATAAAATGAGATACACTCACTTGTAATCGCAGTTAAGTCCAAACGGCTTTTTCTCGTACGAGAGTTGGAAGAGAGGTTCAGCAGTGTCGTCCTGGTGCTGCTGCTGTTGATGCTGCTGCTGCCAGGAGGTGGGCGTCACCTGCGCCCGGCACCACGACATGGTGCTCGCTGTCGTGTTCATTGCGCTCAGACCCTCGCGGATCATGCCCTGTATTTTTTTTTTTAATTAACAGTCGGCTTCGATGATCTTGCTGTTTAGGATACGGTTTTACATCTGATGGTCGCAGATTCGATTCGTCGTCGTTCGATCGTCGCACGGTACGAACATTTGTATTCATGAATACGATTGTTTGCATCGGTCTGGGTGTTTTCTATGTATATTATATATGTATTTAAAAATAAAAATATATATAAGCATTTATATCGGTTGTCTAATACTCATAACACAAGCGTTACTTAGCTTGGGACCAGATGACATTGTATTTATTGTCCAGGGTTATTACTTTCAATATTTTCGAAAACAGAATTATAATGAACTGGGCGTGAGTGGTATCACCGAGCGGTGGATGGTCTGGACGGTCACCTGCGGCGCGACCAGCACGGGGAAGAGCGTGGCGGGCGTGAGGCGGTCCCGCAGGCGCAGCTCGCCCAGCGACACGTGCAGCGCGTGCGAGCCCCCCCGCGGACGCCACTCCACGCTCGCCATCACGCGCTGGAACTGCAGCTCCAGCCCGCCGGCCTCCCTGCGGACGACACGCCCATCACTACGTACGTACAGGCTACAACACTGACCGCTAGCTCCATCATGACAGTGCTTATAATGTTACAAAAACAAGAAAAATAATGTGAACATTAACATACGAGAGTAGGTCTTTCATGGGAATGGGCAAAAATGTATAAGCTATATTACTGTAAAGTTTCATCAAAGTTCGTTGAGTAGTTTTTGCGTGAAAGAGTAACAAACATCCATCCGTACTCACAAACTTTCGCGTTAATAATGTTTATAAATGATTGAATAAATTCATAGACAATTATTAGAAAGATTTATTGAATAAAGCATAGAGAATTTAGGCTTTACTATTTTTTAACGCTTACGTCGGACTGCCCTGGACTCTGTTGAGCGCCGAGCTTTGAGGTTAATTAGAGATAATACTTTAATAAAAGCTAGACTTCAGACGATGGAATATCAACGCAAAGTGGCCAGTCTGTCGCTGTTTTATAGGATACACTTTAGCGAGTGCGCATAGGACCTGTATAAGTTGATCTTGCCTTCTCCTTTTTACTACCGAACTACACGACGAACACTAGTACTTCATTCTTACGTCGTGGAAATTCCTCACATTCGCACTGAGCGGTTCGCATCGTCCTTCCTAATACGCACTGCCAAACAGTGGAACACACTTCCAGCTTTTGTGTTCCCGGAGAAATACAACCCCGGATCTTCAAGTCTATGAATAGATATCTTCTGGGTAAGCACGCTACATCCTAGGTCTTGCTATCATTTACCATCAGATGAGGTAAGACCAAGCGCAATCCCATTATTAATAATAAAAAAAAGACCTTTTGTATGACTTTAGTTGTACCTTTGGCATTGCAGTAACATAAAAAAACAATATATATAATAAACTGGTATACTTGTCTAAGAGATAATGTCAGCACGCCAGCAAGCAACATATCAATGTGACCAATTTCTACTAGTTGTATTATGAAACCTAATGAAAGTCAGCTAATGTTCTGAGCAACCAGAACTAAATCTTGAGGAAATTGGTTCCTCAAAATATTATCAACTTTTAAATATAGACCTAATGCCTATAATTTTAGAGCTGAATATGGCTCGGGGACTATATTATATTACAAAACCACTCACCCATCATCATTGTCACCATCCTTGTCCTTGCACAAGTAGAAGCTACCTTTGTTCAGTACAAACTCGAATTTTCCGAACACTGTGTCTCTCTTGAGTAGCGTGTTGTTCTCTATGGAGTCAGCTATCACATCTAGGATCTCCTCCTCGAGTTCCGGTACGGGGTCCGGGGCGTCAGCGTCCGCGGGGGCGGAGGCCGGCTCGGGGGCGGCTGAGCCGTACCAGCCCCACCACTGCGGGAACCAGTGCACCAGCATGCTGCGGCCCGAGCTACTCGGCTTCTCTGGGGTCGACACTGGCGTCGGTTTGGGTACTTTTCGCATCGCCACCTATGACCAGAAAATTATAATCTGTGGTGTAACAGTCACCCGCCGATATAATCGTTATGATTGTAACTATTCTTATCATTATCATTATCATCAACATTATTATTATAATATTTTGAGTTCCTTATATTAATATGAAACACTAACCTCCCGCAATGGTTTCAGTACATGCAACGGAGTCTTCCACTCGTATTCGTCTTTACACTGCTTCTTATCCGGGGGCAGGGTCGCTGTGGGGTTGCTCAACATGCTGAGACATATATCCACGTACTGGCGCGTCTTGCGAGCCTCCTCCAGACACGACTCCCACGTAGGTTTAGGAGCCGTCCCTGACATACAGATACAAAATGAAAATCTAAATTGGACTCTAGTTCTTCTGTATAAAAACTTGCTTTTTTAAACGGTTGTGCGTGTACAGAAAGAGACTGCAATAACTAGTCAGGCTCCTCCCAAAAGTGCAGAAGTTTCCTGGTTTGTACAGGCTTCACAGAACGATTTCACTATTTCGGGAATGTATATAATATGAAGGTCACTCTAGGATTACGTGAAGTCGATTGTTCGTAGTAGCCTCGACAAAGAGGAATCCTTATACAGATAGGACACTACTAAAATGGGATGCTCGCTGCATGTGATCAATTAACGGATTTTTGGTTAAGTTACGCTTTTTTGATAATTAGCTGTTGTCCGCAACTTGGATTTGGTGGTGCTAGAGGGGATAGTGAAGTACTGACAGCAGAGGATGATGTAAGAAGTTACGGTGGTGGTAGTAAAGGGGATAATGAGGTATTGAGAGTGGAGGAGGATGTGAAGACTCATGGCGATGCTAGTAGAGGGGATAGTGAGGTACTGACAGCAGAGGATGATGTAAGAAGTTACGGTGGTGGTAGTAAAGGGGATAATGAGGTATTGAGAGTGGAGGGGGATGTGAAGACTCATGGCGATGCTAGTAGAGGGAATAGTGAGGTACTGACAGCAGAGGATGATGTAAGAAGTTACGGTGGTGGTAGTAGAGGGATAATGAGGTATTGAGAGTGGAGGAGGATGTGAAGACTCATGGTGGTGGTGGTAATAGAGGGGATTTTTTTTTTATAACACAAACGAGCATCCGGCTCACCTGATGGTAAGTGATTACCGCCGCCCATGAGCACCCGCAACACCAGGGGAATTGCAAGTACGTTGTCGGCCTTTTAAAAAGGAATAACCTCTTTTCTTGAAGGTTTCAATATTGTATCGGTTCGGAAATACCATTGCTGGAAGGTGATTCCATAATGTGGTTGTGCGAGGAAAAAGTTTCTAGAAACCGCACTGTGGAAGACCGCAATTCATCCAGATGATCAGGATGGTATTTCAGTTTCTGGCGGGTGGTACGGTGGTGAAACTCAGCAGCTGGTATTAATCCGAACAATTCCTCAGAACACTCTCCGTGATATATGCTGTAGAAAATATACAGAGATGCAATATCACGCCGCAAAGCCAATGGGTCGAGTCTGTCACATAGACGTTGATTACCAATGATTCTGGCTGCTCGGTTCTGAATGCGGTCAAATGGAAGTAGCTGGTATTGTGGTGCTCCCGCCCAGAGGATAGTGAGGTACTGAGAGTGGAGGACGATGCGAGGACTCTCGGTGGTGCTAGTAGAGGGGATAGTGAAGTAGTGTGAGCGGAGGAGGATGTGAAGACATAGCGGTGGTAGTAGAGGAGGTAGCGGTACTGACATGTGAGCGCGCGGTGCGGCAGGTGCGCGGCGGCGGCGTAGAGCCACCAGCGGCGCGCGTGGCCCCGCACCGTGGAGGAGGATGTGAAGACATAGCGGTGGTAGTAGAGGAGGTAGCGGTACTGACATGTGAGCGCGCGGTGCGGCAGGTGCGCGGCGGCGGCGTAGAGCCACCAGCGGCGCGCGTGGCCCCGCACCGTGGAGGAGGATGTGAAGACATAGCGGTGGTAGTAGAGGAGGTAGCGGTACTGACATGTGAGCGCGCGGTGCGGCAGGTGCGCGGCGGCGGCGTAGAGCCACCAGCGGCGCGCGTGGCCCCGCACCGTGGAGGAGGATGTGAAGACATAGCGGTGGTAGTAGAGGAGGTAGCGGTACTGACATGTGAGCGCGCGGTGCGGCAGGTGCGCGGCGGCGGCGTAGAGCCACCAGCGGCGCGCGTGGCCCCGCACCGTGGAGGAGGATGTGAAGACATAGCGGTGGTAGTAGAGGAGGTAGCGGTACTGACATGTGAGCGCGCGGTGCGGCAGGTGCGCGGCGGCGGCGTAGAGCCACCAGCGGCGCGCGTGGCCCCGCACCGTGGAGGAGGATGTGAAGACATAGCGGTGGTAGTAGAGGAGGTAGCGGTACTGACATGTGAGCGCGCGGTGCGGCAGGTGCGCGGCGGCGGCGTAGAGCCACCAGCGGCGCGCGTGGCCCCGCACCGTGGAGGAGGATGTGAAGACATAGCGGTGGTAGTAGAGGAGGTAGCGGTACTGACATGTGAGCGCGCGGTGCGGCAGGTGCGCGGCGGCGGCGTAGAGCCACCAGCGGCGCGCGTGGCCCCGCACCGTGGAGGAGGATGTGAAGACATAGCGGTGGTAGTAGAGGAGGTAGCGGTACTGACATGTGAGCGCGCGGTGCGGCAGGTGCGCGGCGGCGGCGTAGAGCCACCAGCGGCGCGCGTGGCCCCGCACCGTGGAGGAGGATGTGAAGACATAGCGGTGGTAGTAGAGGAGGTAGCGGTACTGACATGTGAGCGCGCGGTGCGGCAGGTGCGCGGCGGCGGCGTAGAGCCACCAGCGGCGCGCGTGGCCCCGCACCGTGGAGGAGGATGTGAAGACATAGCGGTGGTAGTAGAGGAGGTAGCGGTACTGACATGTGAGCGCGCGGTGCGGCAGGTGCGCGGCGGCGGCGTAGAGCCACCAGCGGCGCGCGTGGCCCCGCACCGTGGAGGAGGATGTGAAGACATAGCGGTGGTAGTAGAGGAGGTAGCGGTACTGACATGTGAGCGCGCGGTGCGGCAGGTGCGCGGCGGCGGCGTAGAGCCACCAGCGGCGCGCGTGGCCCCGCACCGTGGAGGAGGATGTGAAGACATAGCGGTGGTAGTAGAGGAGGTAGCGGTACTGACGCCGCGCGCGGTGCGGCAGGTGCGCGGCGCGCCAGCACCCCACCGCGGCGCGCGTGGCCCCGCCCGTGGACACAGCATGTCTATTCATTCATTTTATAATTTTTCGTAAGGCGCGTACGATAAAGCGGCGCGCTGCCAGAATCTAGCTGGTGACTAGCGGTGGTAAAGATTCAAATATGCGTATAAAAACAATTGCTTTTAGCAAGCGGCGCGCGTGGCCCGCACCGTGGAGGATTATGAATGATAATAATTTTTTGTTGAAATAATTTAAAATTAATAATGCTGACGCGCATTATCTATGCGCGGAAACAATGAGTGCATAGCGGCGCGCGTTGAAAACACCGTGGAAAGATATGAAGAATAGCGGTGGAATATAAAAAAATTTATCTAGAAAAATAGCGCGCGGTGCCATTGCGCGGCATTAGCTTTCCGAACTAGCGGCGCGCGTGCACCGTGGAGGAGGATGTGAAACAACAAGCCGTATAAAATTGAGCGCGCGGTAACAGAAATACTTGCAATGGAGCGGTTAACATACCAAGTCCAGCGTGAAGTGGCAGGCGAGGCGCGGTACCTGTGTGAGGGTGAGCAGCACGGTGTCCAGCGTGAGCGGCGCGCGTGGCCCCGCACCGTGGAGGAGGATGTGAAGACATAGGTGGCAGCGGTACGCGGTAGCGCGCTGTGTGAGGGTGAGCGGCACGGTGTCCAGCGCGCGCGTGGCAGGGAGGCGCGGTACCTGTGTGAGGGTGAGCAGCACGGTGTCCAGCGCGCGGGTGGCAGGCGCGGCGCGGTACCTGCGGCGCGCGTGAGCAGCACCGGTGTGAAGACATAGCGGTGGTAGTAGGGAGGCGCGGTACTGTGTGAGGGTGAGCAGCGCGGTGTCCAGCGTGCGCGGTGGCAGGCGAGGCGCGGGCGCGCGTGAGGCACCGTGGAGGAGCACGGTGTCCAGCGGTGGTAGTAGAGCAGGCGAGGCGCGGTACCTGTGTGAGGGGTGAGCATAGCACGGTGTCCAGCGCGCGTGAGGTGCGCGGCGGCGGCGCGAGTACCTGTGTGCGCGCGTGAGCAGCACGGTGTCCAGCGCGAGCCCCCGCGCCGCCGCCTCCAGCCCGCGCCAGCACCCCACCGCCTCGCTGTACTGCCGCTGCGACACACGCATACTCTATTCATTCATTTTATAATTTTTCGTAAGGTCGTACGATAAACTGCCAGAATCTACTGGTGACTAAAAGATTCAAATATCGTATAAAAACAATTGCTTTTAGCAAAAAAGCTTATAAAATTGAGATTATGAATGATAATAATTTTTTGTTGAAATAATTTAAAATTAATAATGCTGACAACATTATCTATTTGTAGAAACAATGAGTGCATAGCGGTTTCAATGTTGAAAACAATATGAAAGATATGAACAAAAGAGTGAATATAAAAAAATTTATCTAGAAAAATAGTCACTTACGATTACACGCATTAGCTTTCCGAACTAAACCGCGTGCACCGGAATACACGTGAAACAACAAGCCGTATAAAATTGCTAACAGAAATACTTGCAATGGAGCGGTTAACATACCAAGTCCAGCGTGAAGTGGCAGGCGAGGCGCGGTACCTGTGTGAGGGTGAGCAGCACGGTGTCCAGCGTGAGGTGGCAGGCGAGGCGCGGTACCTGTGTGAGGGTGAGCAGCACGGTGTCCAGCGTGAGGTGGCAGGCGAGGCGCGGTACCTGTGTGAGGGTGAGCAGCACGGTGTCCAGCGTGAGGTGGCAGGCGAGGCGCGGTACCTGTGTGAGGGTGAGCAGCACGGTGTCCAGCGTGAGGTGGCAGGCGAGGCGCGGTACCTGTGTGAGGGTGAGCAGCACGGTGTCCAGCGTGAGGTGGCAGGCGCGGCGAGGCGCGGTACCTGTGTGAGGGTGAGCAGCACGGTGTCCAGCGTGAGGTGGCAGGCGAGGCGCGGTACCTGTGTGAGGGTGAGCAGCACGGTGTCCAGCGTGAGGTGGCAGGCGAGGCGCGGTACCTGTGTGAGGGTGAGCAGCACGGTGTCCAGCGTGAGGTGGCAGGCGAGGCGCGGTACCTGTGTGAGGGTGAGCAGCACGGTGTCCAGCGTGAGGTGGCAGGCGAGGCGCGGTACCTGTGTGAGGGTGAGCAGCACGGTGTCCAGCGTGAGGTGGCAGGCGAGGCGCGGTACCTGTGTGAGGGTGAGCAGCACGGTGTCCAGCGTGAGGTGGCAGGCGAGGCGGGGCCGCAGCCGGGACCGCAGGGGCTGCTCGGTCCGCTCGCGCCGCACCCTGGCCCGGGCGGAGGCCGGCGGCACCAGGTACCGGTGCTGACACTTCCACGTCTGCGACATGCGCTCCTAACACATACAAACCATTATTGCATATCTAGATCTACATCCAAAATCAACAAATTACATATGTAAGTCAACAAGAAGAACTTTACAATATCGTATAGTTTGTACATTAAATGATACAGACACTGTAAGTCATTAAAAATCTTTCACAAAATATTTTGTATTCATTTCATTTCTTTGGCAATATTGCTAATGAAAATTTTGATTTTTTAAGGAGATAAAATAGGGGATGACTTTTTATTTTTCTTCCCTGTGTGGACAGTGTTATTGATAGTGACATTCTCTATTAATAATAATAATATTTTTATTTCAGACAACATGATCCATTGTGTTAGTAACAGCTTTAATGACATAACTTATCCTATGTTAGTATTAAAATATAAAATAAAATATAACTTTTAACATATTTCCTGTCCCACCCAGTGTCTTAGAATGGGACAACCCTCCACCAATCCAATTGTTTCCAAGCAATTGTCTTCAGGACACTGTTGGAACTCGCCCGCACTCTGCCTAATAGGGACGTTATTCGCTTCCGCCGTATAGAAAAGTCTGTGCGCTAACTTGCGCAAACTGGTATGGGCATGTTATGCGGAGGAACGAGGACCAATGTCTTATGGAAAGTGTATAATATGAATGTGGATGGATGTAGGTTTTTGAGTATAGTTGACCCATAAGCCGCCAGTGTAGGAAACCTGACAAGTATTCCTTAAAAAGTGTTATTTTAACTTGTTTTGTACACCAGGCAAGTCTGCGTTCCAACATATTACTTCTAACTGCCAATGCTCTTCTTTCATGTTCTATGTCCATATCATCTTTTAATATGGATGTAACAATATGTCCAAGATATTTAAAATTTGTTATAGAAATAACAAAAACCAGTACTATTATACAATATTCTTACTCTGACAAGTAAAATCTATATAAAATGTCTATGTCCCAGTGAAAGACTATTTCTTCAACATTAACATACTTATGAGAAATACTAACTGTCAACTCCGTAATAGTACAATGGCAGAACATTCCGCTGGGCACTTGCATAGGATCCCAGTACACGGCCAGTTTCTGCAGCTCCAGCAACTTGAATGAGCAGCCTTCGGGATCGGAGAGCAGCGTGAAGCCGCGCTGCCACTCCGAGTCACATGACTCTGCCGTGAGTGACTCCACGACCAGCCCGCAAGCGAAAGATCGCGGCGCGCACGTGAGTGCATCCTCGTATCGTATATGTACATCGTTCAGTTTCAACTATAATACAGAGAAAAGGTTAAAATACAGACGGAACTTAACTAAATTAATAAATCAGTTTAGTTAAGTTCTATAACAGTCCCTAGTGGACGCCTACGCCCTAACGCCTGATCCTGGTATATTAATGTCTTAGATCTTTGTATAATAATTTATATATATATAATATACTAGCCGTCCCGGCAAACGTTGTTTTGCCATATTAATTAATAACGCTATAAAAAATAGGGGTCGATGATAGTAGGGTGAAAATTTAGGATTGTATGTATTTTTGTATGTTGTATCATAAAAAAATAGAAACTAAAAATTTACTACGATGGGCTTACTGACCTGACCTCATGCTCATCTTGTCATCCTCCACTGGTGCCCCGCAGTGTAAACCGTTAGCGCAGGCGGGTGCACCATTCCACTATCATTCACAAAAAAAAACATGCTGTCACTAGTATTAAACTACAAATCTAATCGAGAATGTACCTGTAAATTCTCCACAATATTAGCCAGTAGTCCTGTTCCATAGCTGAGCCAGGAGGAGTAGGAGGTGGCGTAGTACCCTGCATCGTTAGCCTCGTGCTCGGCGCGCCACTGCGCTTCTAGCGCGTCCAATAGCGCGATTTTACGCTCATGCGCTATATTCGCCTCCACTACACTGTCCCACTGAAAATAATAACAAAGTAATATTTACTAACGCTTATAGACCACTTAAAATGGAGTAGAACATGTTAAATGCAAAAACAACACACAGCGCCATCTAGACACAAGTTAAGCTAGCTAAAGCTTGTGTTATGGGTACTAGACAACTGATATAAATACAAAAAAAAAATATCTATTTTTTTGTAAATACATACATATTATATATAGAAAACACCCAGACCAATACAAACAATCATACTCATGAATACAAATGTTTGTGCCGTGCGAGGAATCGAACCCGCGAGCATCAGTCGTAAAGCGGTGTGCTAGACCGCTAGACCACCGAGGTCGTCAAATGGAGCAAACAAGTGACTCTTTTGTATCCTAGAGATGGGATCACATGATAGGGATTCCGAAGAACATGTTGGAAAGACTAACAACCTGGCTCTGATACCACTCAGTAATAGGGTTGCAGTGGACCAAGTTTAATGGAGAGAACTGGAGGAGTCCTAACGAAGTTGTGGGACATTCTCTAAACTACAGAATGTAATAATCTCAAAACAAATGTACCCCAACCTTGGAAAAAAAGGATTTATTATCTGGTCTGGTGTTTTGAGTAGTCATGCTCACTAAAATGTCCAGACTTGTGGCGGCGTGGTGGGCCGGGTCATTAGGCTCCCTAAAATATGGTCGAGCGCAGTGATGGCTGGCTCATCCGTGATACACGTGAACGGGTGCTGCTTGTAGGGACAGGTCTGCTCTAATCACTATGACTGATTTCCTCTTATTAATTGTTTAACCAGTTGGTTATATATTCAATATGTTTTCTATTTGAGTATTTAATTGAATTAGTGCTAATTGGTGGTTTGTATTCACACACTTAAACTTAAAAATGTAAAGTAATAATAAAATTATTTAAAAGAGAAACACGCAAGTTTTTTGCTCGTTCTTCTTGTGATGAGACAGCTTTCCGAATGAGTGGTAGATTAAAATATGTAATGACTATTCAAAAGTGCTTCAATATAAGTTTATTTGAATAAATGATTTTCTATTCTATTCCATGATTATTCTAACAGGAAAAGACCATTCTCAAACTAATCACATAAAGATGATCTTAGCCAGCTATCATAGTATACAGATATAGTTTTATTACTGGAGAAATTATGTACCAATCAATATGCAGTAATCATGCAGATGCAGAACAACTGATCAATAAATATATAATTATCTAATACTAATGCAGGACTCTCCAAATTTTGTTTATTGTTAATCTAATAATGGATTGCTCATATAAATGTATTAGAGGAACAATATTAATGGGATGATGACCTTTCATGATGATGATTTAAAGTACAACACAATAATCCATCACAGATAAAATGAGCCCAGACAAAACAATGATAACAATACATAACAGCAAACACTAAGTACAATAAGTACAATGAGTCATTATTTTATTTATTTATTTATTTAAAGAGCAACACACAAGTTTCTTGCTCATTCTTCTTGTAATGAATCTGCATTCCAAATGAGTGGTAGAATCAAGTAGAGTAGGGTAGGGTAGGGTAGGGTAGAGTCGTAGATAGATAGGTATATTTCAAAGTAGGTTAATTATGGACCCTGATGGGCAGCAAGCGGAATAGAAGAGAATAAAGTTTATTATAATACCATTTCAATTTCTATTATCTACTAGCTGTACACGCGACTTTGTCCACATGGAATTTAACGTTATTTTTCTAAAATAAAGTAGCCTAAGTTACTCCCTATTACATAAAAAAAAAGTCCCTTCAAAATCAATCCAGCCATTTCAGACATTGTATTTGATTTGAATGTTATTTTGGTGTATACACCATATTTATATTTATATGCATGTGGTAAAATCCTTTAAAAAAAAAGGTAAAAAGGTTATTTCAATATTACAAACAGACACTCCAACTTTATTTATATGTATAGATAGCTTAAGAAGCATTATGTAGCATAATCATGTTATCTCACCATATCACTGAGATAAATATTGGATGTGAGAATGAGAGAGTTTAAAATTAACAATTGATACAGAGGCGGTGTGATATCCTGCTGTATATTCTATAATAACATGTGATGACTATGCATGAATACAAATCTTGTAATGATCTATGTAGTGAAATTTAGACTGTCTTGATATTTGCTAGTGAACCCACAGTTCAATACTCATTCAAACTACAAACATGATTTATAATCGTAATATTTATGATAAATCTAACTGGATGGTGTTAGTAATAATATATAAAATTTACATGCATAAGCTCAAATTGTAGAAATAAGAATAAATGAATCTAAGTCTGATTATATACAAATAAATATATATTAAATACCGATATATATATATTATTTTACAAATCATCATGTGGATTTTCGAAATGGAGGACATCATAATTTGATTAATATTATAAACGCAAAAGTTTTTGAGCTAAAACTGCTGAATCTATTATAATGAAACTTTACGGTAGTACAGCTTATACATCAGAATAACATATAGGCTATCAATTTTATGTGGTTGAAACCGCAGGCACAGCTAGTCATTATATACATTATTATTCTACTTATCCATAATGCATGAGAACCATACAATTAAACATACCTCATCCAAGTCAACGGGAGCAGCAACCAAATACAACTTTTCTATCGCAATGAGCCAGGGAGCGGAGCGTATCTGCCTGACGGGCACCTGCAGCTGCACCTTTCCTATGAAGCCTGCCTTTATTTCCACTGGCAGCCCCAGGTGACGGAGAGCATCTTTTCTGAGCGGCAGATTTTCCAGTTCTACTTTGCCTATACAAATCATTCATATTCTAATGAAAACAATTGTAATGATGTAACATTAGTTAACTGCATTACAAGAAAAGTAGGTTAACGGTTCGGCTGTTACATAAAAATTAAAAGAATAATATAATTATGATACCATACACAGCATTTTTTTCTATTAAATATATAGTATAAAATAAAAAATGAACCTAAATACCAAATATCAGAGTCTTGTTTTGAGAATATAGGACTTAATATTTTAAATGGAACACTTACCAGACAGGAGGGCCACACTCAGCTGATCTGTATTTAAGTTCTCCACATATTTCCCAAGGTAGTTGTTCAAAACCCAAGCCACCAAGCCCTCCAACATCGTGCATCGTGCTCTGGGCGGTCAGTTTGTGGCACAGCTATACTGTAATAACAAGATCTTTTAGTGCAAAAGAAATAAACAGTATTATTCAATATACTCACATTGTACTTTAATTTGGTAAACAAAACATTTTTTTTATTACATTAATACTTTGAATTGGAACACTATTTGTGTATATTTACTTACTCGTTAAGATTTAAATTTGAATTTTATTTCTGTTTTGATTTTTTTTAAAGTTTAATCAAAATAAAAAAATATTATATATTCAATTCGCAATGAGAACTATGAAATCACGAAATTTTACTGTCAGTATTATTGTCAGAAATCAGATACTGACATCAAAATGTCAAACCTAATGTCCAAACCACAACAAAATTCGACAGTGACAGTTAATTGCTAAATAAAACCCATTATATGCAGAATACATCGCTCTGATTATATAAAAACGACATAATTTTCGAAATACTAAGAGGTAAAGGAACGTTGAACGTCAAATCAAAAAGTCAAAAGTTCATGACTCAATTCGAATATTGTGTTATTTTTTTTATATTCACGTAATTTGAAATAAATTATGAAGGGAATACAATTTATAAGGACATTTTGTTGCTCTCCGTTAATTAATGTTCCGTCGTGCTATAGTAAAAATACGTGTGTAGTACAAGTGAGACATAGTGCATCACAAGTATTTTCTAAATTGAAGATTTTATGTCCTGTAGCTGTGAAAATTCGCAATTTAGGTTTAGGACCAACTTCAAAGGATTTCGAGGAACCAAGTCAACGAACGGGTCCACTTACTAAGTTACACGCCAATGAATTAGTCCTACACTTGAATGACGAGGAAAGAAAATTATTATTGAATGCCCTACAGGAATACGAGTCCAACAAAATCAAGGAGGAATTTGAAGGTTTCATATACTTTTTGAATTAAATTTCTATATTTATATAATTGTAACAGTTATCATTTAGAAAGAAAGAAAAATTATTTCTGGTACTAAAATTTTAGACAAATTAGCTGGTCAGAGATGGAGAAGCAAATTTGGAAGGCCAAGTAAAGTTCCCACACTAGGTGATGTGGACCCTACAGGGACGTATTGTCCAGTTCCAGAGGACTGGCTGAAGAAGAAATATGGTAGGTACATAATATATATTTAAAACCTACAATAGTGTTAACATTTTATGATTATACAGTACAAATATGCTAAATAAAGTAAGTATTAATCTCAGATTTTATTATAAGAGTGTATTTTTGTAAACCATTTAATATTTAACCCATATATGGCAATAATTGACTACATATTCAAATGGCAAGTATTTGACATTCATAATTCATACATATTCGGATGGCAAGTATGTGACATTCATAATTCATTGTATTATTAGATAGGATATGTTTTATACAATGATAGAAGACAGGTATAATTAATTAGTAACTAAACATATACATATAAATACAGCAAGATGACCTTATAACTGAAATCTTTTTCACTTTATTATTTTCAGCTGCAACAGTTCCACCACCTACAACTAGGGAATTATTTCATTGTAAGTATTCAAAATGTTCAACAGAGAAGTTTAGTAGTTAATAGTTGTAATTATATTTGAATTTAGATAGTGCATTTATTATTATAGTATTGCTATGAAATTTTATAGATATGCTTGTAATTTAAGTATAGTCTGTTCTTTAATCTCCGGAGACAAATTTGACATTACCAATGTTGCTAGGTTTTTGAATTTTTTAAATAGAGTCGGGGCACTATCAGCAATTAATATTAATTACTCATTTTTATAGGTTAATATGCGTGGATTTAAAATGCATTAACACAAAATTAATAAAGTATAGGTATTAATAAATATATGGTTAACTCAATTAAACTCTAACTGTCTTTTTTATAAAACAAATAACATTTTATTGTGTTGTATATCATAAAACAAACATCTGTTTAAAATATTTAGCTGTTTGTAAGGAAAAAAATATTAGTTTGTAGCTTAATACAGTAAAAATTACTATTTATACAGAAACGACAAAAATGTATTTTTGTGCTATATAATACGACAACAGTAATGGAAACACTAGTATATGTACATTATTATAATTCATAAAAATTCTGTTGTGGAAAAGTCATTTAAAGCTTATTATCCTTAATAATAATGGTACAATAAAATATATTATTAAGAAATAGAAATAATCTTTATTCAAATAAATCTGAAAACTAATATGTTAAAATAAAAGTTTCCGATTTAAAAAATCGGTATCTCAGGTACACCACTACCCTGCTATGGGTGGTAACATTATTTGAAAGTTTAACATTTATACATGTTAGTTTAGTCTCTGGAATTAAAAAAAACAGACTATAGGTTAATGATATACTAGTTTGGAGGTGATGACATAACCGACATGCTAGTGGTGTCTATGCATTATAAACTTATAATAGTTCATGACTGGTATATGATAGTTTAATATTTTAAGTCTGTATTTGGTGATGTTGGCGAGATGTTCTCATTGTCACATTGGGATTGTCATGTCTTATATACTATTGCTATGTTATATACTAAAACATCCTTATTTAGACACTGTATATTAGAGATGAAATGGATATCCGGTAACTATCCGATATCCGGCCTATCCGGCACTATCTACTATCCGGCCGAATAATGGATAACTACTATATAGAATGTCATCCAATTTCTCCATATTTGCTTTATAAACTCTAGACACTACCCAAATTAGCGGATCAAATAATTTTGATATTTCAGTCATATTTCTGTATAGGCATCCCAACAATTTAAATAAAAAAACGTAAAAAACATATTTTTTTAAGTAATTTGCTTTATTTAGTTAGTCTTAGTATCATTTAACAATAAAAATAAACATTTAACACAATAGTAAAAAAAGGCGAAAGATTTATGCGTTTTGAAGGAAAACCAGAGTAAATAACTGTAATATGATATCCGGATATTCGGCCACATGGTTAGCCGAATATCCGGTATCTGCTATCCGTTTCATCTCTACTGGATATATATACATAATCCTTGGTTTCAGTGTCACTAGCGAATTCAATTCCTTTCATTGGGTTTGGATTTTTAGACAACTTCATTATGATAATTGCGGTAAGTGAACATTATTTATTGACATGGCTAATAGTATTTGAACTAGCTTCAGAAGCATTTAAAAACTATTTACTTGTTTTAGGCATTTAATTAAATATTTACTGTATATTTCAATTGTATTTGAAAATAATTCTATTATAATAATAATCTCAGGACAATTTACACAGCGCCATCTAGACCCAAATTAAGCTAGCTAAAGCTTGTGTTATGGGTACTAAATACTGATATAAATACATAGATACATTTTTTTTCGTAAATACATATTATACATAGAAAATACCCAGACCGATACAAACAATCATACTCAGGAATACAAATGTTTGTGCCGTGCGAGGAATCGAACCCGCGATCGTCGGAGGTAAGGCGGTGTGCTAAACCGCTAGACCACCGAGGCCGCGATTGTATCCTTAATAATAATGGTACAATAAAATATATTATTAAGAAATAGAAATAATCTTTATTCAAATAAACTCAATACAAGCACTTTTGAATAGTCATATTTTTGATTCTACCACTCATTCGGAATATAGATTTATCACAAGAAGAATGAGCAAGAAACTTGTATATTGCTCTTTTGAATAGATGCTTTTTTATATAAATAATTACACAATAACAAGTAAGCGGCATGCGATAATCAACATAGAAACTGCTACGCGCACTGTACGTTGCGTCACCGTACAGCCTATTACTATTCAATTGAAAATTCAAACCGCATTTTACACCACTCCCCGTCCTTATAACGCCCACACAGTCCTTTGACTCGCACACGAAAAACCGACAATCGAGGGAGCGCCGGGCAGCGCGAGTGGCAGCGCTAATGTCAAGGGAAGTGTTTCCACTCGTGTTTACACTCTCGCGCTGCTCCCATCCCTGACCACTCGGGCTGAGTGTAAATTGGGCATAAATATTGACCTCAATTTCTACATAAAATCAACTATTCCAGGGCGACAGTATTGAGAGCAGCAAAGCTTCTATATAAAATAACAAACTTATACACCCACACATACCATTTTATTGAGAGCAGCATGAGTGCGTACATAACGTTATCGACGATGGCGGCGGCAGCGCTGGGAAACACGTTCAGTGACGTCATAGGCATCGGGTCGTCATACTACGTAGAGCGCGGCGCGGCGCTGCTCGGGCTGGGAGCGCCCGCGCTCTCGCCCATACAGCTCGACATGCCCGTCAGCAGGCGGTTCGCCAACATGGTCAGTTACTGTTAATTTTTACTCTATCTTATATATAACATTCTCGTGTCACAGTTTCGTGTTTATACTCCTCCGAAACAGCTTAGCTATTTTGATGATATTTTATATGTGTATTCAGGAGGTCTGAGGTTTATTACTAATTTTTAAGTGCTAAGGCTCTACCCCAAAGATAGATTTTCTTTTTTCGGTTTTTTTTTTTATTTTTATTTTTTATTATGTGGCATTAAAAAATACATCCAATTTTCATCTTTCAATCATCAACCCCTATTTTTTAATAGCGATTTTAATTCATATTGCAAAACAACGTTTGCCGGGACAGCTAGTACCTATGTACCTTTTTCCACATCTCCTTCCTATCTGTTTTTAATCTCAGAGACTAATTTGATAGGTGTAAATCACAAAATTTCAAATAATGTTGTTAGCTGTAATGGGGTAGCTCTTATTAGATTTGTAGCATTTTACTTTTTTTTAGAGACATAGTTTTATTGTTTTGTAATATTTTTCAACAACATTATTTTAAAATTTATTTACATACACTAGTTTCCATTACTGTCTTTGAATTAAACAACACATTATGGTTGTTTCCGTACATGTAGTAATTTTAACGCTACAAAATGGAGCGTTATTCTCATCAGTTACTAGAACAAAGTTACCAATATGTTAAAGAACTCTGTTCAAAATCTACCCTGTATCATCGTAAGCACAGATTATTATATTAGAGTCCGTTAGTTTGTGTTCCCGCGGTTCCCTTCCCCTCCCTTACCTAGTACTGAACTGACCGTACAGTGGCCATGACGCGCGCGCATTTGTTATGAATTAAAATAAATTAGAACTGTGTTAAACCTACTGTGAAACTGGAAAGCTAGCGAAGATATCTTCAAGACCCTGAAGCCCAAGAAATCCGCAGAACCATACAGGTACGAGACAGACGTTTCCACACATATTTTACCCTATATATATACATAGTAAATTCCCTAACATTTTGGTAGCAGAGAGTAATTTCCCTAACAAACTCGTTTATAAATTATACAGCTGGGTAAATGTTAACAATTTTTTTTTGTCATGAACTGCAGGGCCGTGTAATCGGGATCACGCTCGGCTGTTTCCTGGGCATGACGCCATTACTATTCAAAGACGACGAGAAAAACCCCAAAGATGAAGAAGTGCAACCAAAAAAATAAAGTAACATATACACACTTAATGTACTTGGGATATCTACTTTAAGTACTTAACTTTAAAGTCGATTTTCCATTGTACTGTTTTTAAGTTTATGCAGTTGATTGTTAACTATGTGATATGGTACCATCACTATCATGCTGCATGAGTTTGACTGACGTACATCACATCATTCACGGCATTATGTTATACGAAATATTTAGTAGAATAACTGTTCCATTATGTAGAACAATTATTCTGTTAACAAACAAAAAAGAATTAATTTTATAATGGAGCCGTACTGACATCCACTATATGTGTCGCTCATTCATTATGGTGGACCCTATAGAACATTCCAGAAAGTAAGAAATTACAACGTCTTGTTTTCTTGAATCGTGCTCTATACACGTTTCTATGCATAACTCGTTTTCCGTAGAACGAAATGTGTAAAACTGAGTAGTGTTAATATGTACTAGTACTTTGATCGTATTGCCTAGGGACTGGCCTGGCCACATGGCCTACAAATATTGGAGGTACGTGCATGCATATCTCTCAAAATGATGACTGACAGTGTATCCTCAATGTTACACATTTCGTTCATAAGAAGATAAGACGTCTGGATCTCGTATCTTAGTATGGCTTCAGTATGAACGAATATTTACTCAATTCTTATTTATATATTTAGATACAGGTATACGTCATGTTGATTTAAGTATCAAACATCTACGTGAGTAGATAACGTTTATGTACATACTAACTATATATATTCTCGCAAGGCATCTGAATAGGCAACTATTTGTATTTGTAGATTACTGTATAGAAATTCTTATATATTTAAGAATGATAATTACAAACTTATTGTACTTACAAAATATTATCATATTTTCTAAAATACTGTAAAAGTTTATATATTATACATATCCTCAATACTATAATCACCTAAACGGTAGTCAGTTTAAATACTACTTTATGGAATTATATTATTTTGTTTAATTCCACTACAATAAGTATGTGTGAGACCACAAATATTCGGTGTGGAAACTTGACTACCGTTATGACCTTCTTTAGTGGCGATCAAATTCCGACCGTTATTGAGTCTACACCCATATCGCGACACGTGTTTCGCCTCTGAACGTGGCATCATCAGGCGTTGAATGGAGTTCGGATATAACTTGGAAGCTATAGAAGTAACGGTAAACAAGTTTCAACACCGAATATTTGTGATCTCACACATGCTGATTGTATAAATAGTATAAATACATCAAGTAGTGAAATGAACTTCCGCAAAATAACACCTACTTCGGTTAATTATAATTTAAATACTATATATTAGTAGATACTGTCATGAGTAGATGATTTCATCTTGGTAATTACACACGATTGATTAGGCGTCAGGTTGCCGAAACGTTCGTTGCATTGACCATTGCCTCCGAACAAACTGACGGGACGTCAGGTTGCCGAAAACGTTGATTGCTTTTTTATATATGTAACTGACAAACCTGACGACGAACCGAGTGTATGTGACTACACTTATGTATAATATCTTCCATATTCTTCGAAGCTGTTTTCTCAAAATGGAGACAAAATTATAATACTCCAAAATTTTTCACTTTTTTATGAATAAATAAAATAATGTCATTGTAATATATATACATTTTCTTATGAAATATAGAAGTATATAATTAAAAAAAAATTACTACCAGTAGCGTAACAAAATAGTGACAGAGCAAGCAAAATAACCATAGTTTCACAGTATATAAGCAGCCTCTGAAACCACGGGTGCTCTACCCGCAAGTAGAATAATTGAATATATTATTATTTTGATATGACAAGCCTTTTAAGATTGCAGGCATCAGGCAAAACCACGGGTCTCAAATGGTACAGTTATGCTACTGGTTGACACTATAATTTGTAATATTTTATATCTTTGACATAAGTAATTTGATTCTGATACCTAATTAGAAATATATTTAAAAAATGGCCTACACACGACTCCAAAAACAGGGACGATATCGGACCAGTGCTGAGCTGCCTTGACTAACCTAGCTTTAAAAAAAAAAGAAATTCTATTGAGTTTCTTGCCAGTTCTTCTCAATTGAATCTGTATACTGAACTGGACGATAGGGAAAATGTATAATATAAAAAAAAATACATTCATAAGCAGCTAAAATGTCATAAATGATTTTTGAATTTGAATCGTCTCGTGTGTATCAAAATGGCAACTGATTTTTTTTTAATTATTTTTGCACACTTATTGTGACTTATAGTGTGGTCGTTGGGTGATTTTAACACCAACTCCACTGATCCAATATTATCTCTAATTGTCGTGTTGTGTATAGACCGTTTAAAGGTACTACATTCTAATGGGTATTAGAATCGACTAACAAATATAACTTATAGGGTTACGCTTGGGGCGACATTTGGTTTATAATATAATTTTATTAACAAATTGTTAGATAATTTTATTTGTGATTTAATTTTAATGTCTATTTGTTTTTAATTCTCTACACGAATCTACCTATTAATTTGTGCTCAACATAAGTCGGTAAGTCCACAGATGTATTCGAAATTGTGCGTAATTTACAGCGATTTAGTAATTTGGTGGATTTATGAATAATTTATTAAAAGTTTTTGACTGTCATTTTTTAATTCATACAAACAGACCCTCCAATTTTACTTATATGTATAGATCTATACATAAATACGGACTAAAAGAAATAATTTAAACAACTTGCCATTTTGAGGCTCTCTACAAATATAGCTTAATATGTCGAATATATCACGCATGAAACATGTAAAACTAAGCTTAAAGAAAGTTGAGAATTGACCCCGTTATCACCGGAAGACGATCTAGTAATGCTAAACCACTATACATCTATGGTTAATTGCAGTGGCAGTGTTATTATTATTTTAATTAGGTACATTTATTTTTATTGTGTTGTTTGGGCTATTGTCAGATGTGTAGCACCTGTAGCACTGCGACCTACATAGATCTATTGTGCTCGCCCTTTTCAAAGTTCGCTACCTAGACCCGTCAGGGACAAGAATTGAAGGATATTCTTAGGAGCGATGGTTTTTATCTCCTCGGGAAAGAGTGTAAACTTTCCAAAGTTCGTTTATGCATGAGTGGGCTACAACCACATAGGATGTGAAGCGGCGTTTCCTCTTCAGTTTGGCAGAATCTGCAGATACTTGTCGTGCATAGGCCTAGTTTAGCCATATGCTTGTTTAATTTTGCAGTGTCCTGTGAGGGCCCTAGTCATCATGCATATGTTGTTTTTACTCAATAGCAGTAGTCTATTGGAGTATTTGTTCGAGAAGCTCGATATTAGGCCCGATTTTAATTAAAACTGTAGACCGTAGCATTTTGCATATATCTTGTCACGTGTCTGGCTTTTTTATTAAAAATGTGTAGTACTGTAGCCAGTGTTTTACGTATCTGGCCACCTATCTTATATTGCCTGTTGCTATTTAAGCGAAGCGTATAGAATCTGATAAGATCACAATATCATAGATGATCACTTTATAATTAAGAGGGTTAGTAATTCAGAAATTTAATTAAATTTATTTATTTACTAGAAACATTGTGTAAATAGATGTCACCTTTTTAGTCTGTATCATAAGTTTTACCACGGAATTTCACGAACAACTGTACCTAAAATTAATATATAGAAGTACTATATATATATACTAGCTGTTTTCCGCGACTTCGTCCACGTGGACGAAGTGGAGTGAAATTAACTTTATTTTTCTAAAATAAAAGTAGCGTAAGTTTCTCCTGATTACATCAGCTATCTGCAAAAAAAAAGTCCCGTCAAAATCGGTGCAGCCATTTCAGAGATTAGCCGCAACAGACAGACAGACAAAAATTGTAAAAAAAATATTTTGATGTATATACCGTATTTATATTCATATGCATGTAGTAAAAAACGGTTATTTCAATATTACAAACAGACACATCAATTTTATTTATATGTATGTATAGATATATATATATTAGTTATAACCTACCATTAATACAAATGTGGTAAAAATCATGTTTGGTATTACATATATTATCTTATATATAAAATTCTCGTGTCACAATATTAGTTACCATACTCCTCCCAAACGGCTTGACCGATTTTTATGAAATTTTATATGCATATTCAGTAGGTCGGAGAATCGGCTACTATCTATTTTTCATACCCCCAAGTAATAAGGGTTTTCCATCCCTAAAACTTTTTTATTTATTGGTCATTTTTTATTATTTTATTATAATGTGGTATATAAAATAAATTTCACCCTTTGATGACTAACCCCTATTTTTTCATAGCGACTTCAATTTATATGGCAAAACAAAGCTTGAGGGGTCAGCTAGTATAGTGTAATATTAATTAAATCGCAGTTTCCTTGACGTAGCGTTGTCCTACAGCTGTGCGATTTCAGTTTCGTGGAATCTCTAGTCGAGGTTGTTCTCGGTACCTTTTGAGAATCATTTTGAGTATTTTTTTTTACAAATATCCCTGTAGCATTTAGAGAAGCACAATACGTAACGTCTAGTCAAAGCACAGTAATAAAGTAATCGCGGTTGTTTAGTACAAATAGGTACCTGGAATGCTGGTTTTGTGACTTTTTTTGCCTTTTTATATACAGTGGACCCCCGGTAGTCCGACAATCATTTTGCAGGGCAGTGTCGGACTATCGAATTTGTCGGATTATAGAGTACTGCCTAAGACCCCTTATAGTCCGAATTTTTTTACAAAAGAGTACCTTGTAATCCGACAAATTATAGATCCAATGATGATTCTTTATATTATATATACATATACAGTGGACCCCCGGTTATCCGACAAACGTTTTGCAGGGCAGTGTCGGACCATCGTATTTGTCGGATTATAGAGTGCTGCTTAAGGGTCCCCTGCTTATAGTCCGGAATTTTTTACAAAAGAGTATCTTGTAATCCGACAAATTACAGATCCAGTGATAAGATTCTATGTTATATATGTATGTATGTATATGCACTCTGAAGTATATTGTCAAAGTAATATTCAATAACAAATAATAGACAATGTCGGATTACAAGGGGGGCCGGATTACCGTGGGTCCACTGTATGTACAGTTTGCTTTATATAAATCGTAAGAACAAAAAAATATATAGACAAATTTTAATATACACAATAATTACTTACTATACTGGTTTTGATGTAATTTTAAGTTTTTTTCCTTGTTAGTAGTCTTGCTTTATATAGATCGGCAAGAATGGTTATTAATAATTAACGAATACAAAATTATTAAATATAGTTTTATTTTTATTATACACAATGATTTTATAGCGTTAACCGTGAGATATATTTGAAAGCAACAAGTCACTTATCATTCTTGTCTACCCCTTCGATCGACCCCCGTCCAATTCAAACGGGGATCAATATTACGACGGCCTGAGCCGAGGTTCGAACCCCTAGCGGTGCCCTCGGACTAAAGACGTATCTGTCAGGCGGTAGTTGGCCTTCAGGTACTCCATAAGTCCTTCGGTTTGGAGTGCCATCTGCACTCGCCCCCTATCGTCCGGTGAAGCTGTAAAGGCCAGCTGCGGCCACCAGCATTAGAATAGCCTGAAAAAAAATCTTGTCTACTAATATAA